AAAGATATAGTATTCACCAAAGAGGTAAACAATAATAATGACTTTAACTGCTAAAACATATTTTACTAGTAATGGGGAACCCATCTATTGTTATTGCTCCTTGTATATCCAAAATATAAAGGATTACAAAGGGTATGAAGATATATAACCAAGTCTTTTGAATCCCAACTGGTTTTCTGTATTAGGATACAAATTATCGGATGGAAGATAAAGGTTGAAACCAAATAGGATTTCCACATAAATATGCCTTAATACTGGTATGCATAAAGTGCTCATTCTGGAGTTCACTTCTTTGATCCCCTAAACAACATTCACTAATAAAGTAGGCTTTACTGTAAGTGAATGAATATCGGATGATTAGCGCACTATTCGGCAAAAGAACTGGAAAAATTTAGAGTAATAACTGCAATGATAAGGTTTCTTCGATAAGGGAGAAGTTTGGTCCTTCTTCAGAATTTACAAGGACACATCTAAAGTTTTGCTTAACACAAATATTTCTTTAAATTCAAAAAATTATTAAAAAAGTTTTTAGAAGATACTTTTAGTAAAATTTACGGTTTTGTGAATAGAGATATAAAGTTAGATTTCTGGTATGTATCTTTTCATCTCATTATATAGTTAAACAAATCAATGGTTAATTACTTGAGTTGCAAATATATGCAAGCAACTTATATAAGACCAAAATCAGTAATTTATTGCTGTGTTACATAATCCAAAGAGTAATGACCTAAAAAGTCTATAAAGCTGTACTAGCACATAAAGCAGCACCAACACCACTTCCATCTTTAGCGATACTTAAATGTATCTTTTTGTTGGATCCCTTTAATGGATTGATAATATTGATGGCTTCTAAGACGCTATCCTTGAAACCTGGGTAAAACTCAATAACAGAACCATCTAATCCAAATTCGAAGTCGTTCTCATCATCCTTATATTGTTCGGCAACCCTTCTGGCGATAGCTGCCAAAGGAACTGCAGACAAATAGGCGGCTCTATGCGCAATTGCCTTGGTCAAAGTCTGGATGACTAATCTTTCTTCTTTTGTAGTTGGCAATCTCAAATGGTTTTGCAAAATCAATTCTGACATCTTCAAGTCAGTTGAATCATCAATTTGTAAGTAAGATAATACTTCAGCATCAAGCAACCAAGGTTCAGCCAACCTATGGGGCAATGTACCGCCTCTACTCTTGAATAATTCTACAAATATGTGGTTTTGCTCGAACAAGTCTATCAAGGTGACTCTAAGCAACTCACCCAAAAACATACCACTGATTCTCTTTTCAAAGAGATGGTATCCTGGGTTTGAAGTTTGAGCATCGATGATTTTATCATATCGGGTGCTTGGTAATATCTCTAGAGTATTGTCAAATGAGCCCCATTCAGTATTGATGACCATCCCAGTCTTGTCTTTGAATTTCGAAGAGTCCAATTTGGGAATCTTGTCGAAGGTTTCGAAGTAAGCACCATTAGTACCAGTTCCGAAAATTGCTCCAACGATAGTGTTGGTTTTGGATTGTGAAGAGTTATTGGAGTAGGCTCTAGATAACAAAGTACCAACAGTATCATTCGCCAAGGCAGCAACCTTAACATTGGCTTTTAAGTTATCGAGATGGGTTTGTAACAACTCTACTACATCTTTATCCACACAATCTGGTAAATCGAATCCTTTAGTCCATCTTATCAAAGTACCTTTATTTAATGCAGTTTGGTTCACTGGGAAAGAAAAAGTGAATCCCAATTTCAAAATTTCACTACCTTCAGCTCTAAATTCTTTATGGTGCTCATCCAAGAAGGCATCAACCTTTGTTGCTAGGTAGCTGAAAAGGTCTTCAGCAGTAGAATTTGTCATCAAATCCAAAGGAATCTTGAACTTGGACTGCTTCAAGTCAAATGAGTGGTCCCCATTCAAATAAATAGAGCAAACCCTGAAGTTGGTACCACCTAAGTCACCTGCTAAGAACAAGCCTCTTTCTTTTCCAGTAGGGATATCAGTGACAAAGGTGGGAATCATTGGCATGTATTCTCTGGCAGGAGAAGATTTCAAACCTTGGTCCATAGATTCTTCAAATTTGTCGGTGGCCTTGATCAAGAACTCATTGCTGATAGAATACTCAGCAGCAACCTTATCTACTACTTCCTTTAATTGAGAATTCATTTCTGAAAAGAATCGTCCAATATGTAGATATATTCAAAAAAAATGTTTTTGTTTTTTGTTCTGGTGAAAAAAAAGTCTCGGACTATTATGTTCCTTTTAAAATTTATATGAGGGTAGCAATATTAGGGGGATACTGATCTATTAATAATTAGAAAAGGGTGAGTATTTTATCAAAGAATTGAAACAGGAGACCACAAGAAATATGGCGTGGTACGTAGTTTAATGTCCACAGCATTATTATTGACATACAGGTCAGTGAATTTGACCAAATGATGCACCATATACTCCGGATTTTTAGCGCGATCGGATGATGCACAAAAGTGAACGTGACGGAGGATTGGACCGTGAGAGTGGAAAAAACAAAACTGATACAAGAAGAAAGCTTGAGACAATTAATAGAGACTCATCTCTGCATGGCGTAGAAAATCCTGCTTGTATGGTCAGCAATGTTTACCTTAGTGATATTCAGATAGTTGAGGGTAGTGTTCAGGCCGGGAATTCTGCAATGACGATATTTCTTCGCGCAAATCTTGTTTGACTCCTATAATTTATCCTCAAATGCCAGACTACTTGAAAAGAGCTAAAGAGCTCATCTCCAAAAACGATTTCCTTATGGTTTCCAAGACTTGGTGTGGAGACTGTCAGTATACTTACAGAATTTGGGACAAATATCATGTGAAATCCAAAGTCCATATTATCGAATTGGATAAGTTTGAGGACCAAGCAGAAGCTTCGAAATTGGAAAGCGCTATAACAGAACTTGCTGGACGTAAGTGGGTTCCTACTATATATTTGAAGGGGCAAAGGTTCGACGAACAAGACTTGAAAAGGTGGGAAGCTGAAGGTATCACTGAAAATGAGTTCAAGAAGGTTGGTCTTTTGTAAGTAATAACACCTGTATTTCTCGTTACGAAGACAAATATAAACATATGTATATACGGAAAAACTACTTATTAATAACGATTTGAACTACGAATAGTTGAGTAATCGTAACCTGCGAAATCATTAGTCATAATATTCATTAAGTTAATTAATGAATTATTTTTGAAGAAACCGCTTAAGTGGCTAATGGAAATTCACCGGCCCAAGCACTAATTTCTTGTTTCAAGCTCGAGATCTGTTCACTACCTTGAACAACAGCAGCTTTGAAGTCTCTCAACCTGTTAGCGCTCTTTGGCAAACTGTCTTGAATCTCTTTGGCGATAATAACGGCTTGGTCAATGTAACTAACAATCTTCTTGAAGTCTTCTTCACCCAATCCTCTGGTCGTCATTGCTGGAGCTCCAATTCTGATACCACCTGGAACTAAAGCAGACTTATCACCTGGGATGGAGTTCTTATTCAAAGCAATGTTGATATTTTCGCAGATAGTTTCAACCCTAGCACCATCCATCTTCTTATCTTTCAAAGACACCAAAACCATATGAGAGTCAGTACCATTACTAACTAAGTTGTAGCCGCGAGACAAAAATTCTTGCTCTAATATTTTAGCATTCTTCAACACCTGTAATTGGTATTCCTTAAACTCTGGGGCAGCAGCCTGTTTCAAAGCAGTGGCTAAAGCAGAAATAGTGTGGTTGTGTGGACCACCTTGGTGACCAGGAAAAACAGAGAAATTGATTGGGTTTTCTAAGTCATATAAGATTTCCTCACCAGTCTTGGGGTTGACAGATCTAACTCCTCTTCTGAAGAAGATCATAGCACCTCTTGGGCCTCTCAAAGATTTATGAGTAGTGGTAGTAACAACGTCAGCGTACTCGAAGGGAGAGGGGATGACTCCAGCAGCGATTAAACCTGAAATGTGAGCCATGTCCACAACCAAGTAAGCACCAACCTTGTCAGCAATTTCTCTCATCTTTTTGTAGTCAATCAATCGACAATAAGCTGAAGTACCAGCCACCAAAATTTTTGGTCTGTATAATAAAGCTGTTTTTTCCAACATGTCGTAGTCAATAATGCCAGTTTCCAAATCGACCCTGTAAGGCATGGTTTCGAAGTAGGTAGAGACGGCAGAAATCTTTCTGGCGTCTGTTTGGTAACCATGAGACAAGTGGCCACCATGAGGCAAGTCCAAGCCCATCAATCTCTCGTGAGGCTTCATCAACGCTTGGTAAACTTGTAAGTTAGCAGGTGATCCAGATAAAGTCTGTACATTAACACCCCACTTATCACTTGTCAAGTTGAAAGCTTTTAAAGCTCTTTCTTGACACAAGATTTCCATCCTGTCGATATGTTCGTTACCACCATAGTATCTAGCACCTGGATAACCTTCACTGTATTTGTTACACATCGGAGTTCCCAATGCATCAAAAACAGATTTAGTGGTGAAGTTTTCAGAGGCGATCAAAACGATGGAGTGTTTTTGTCTTTCAATTTCATCCTTGATGATAGCATCAACTTCTGGATCATAGGAAGCCAACGAGCTTTCGGTCAATTGTCTGTGTTTTTCACTTAAAGCGTAAACCATTTTAGAAGGTGGGATTTTCCTAGAGATGAAAAATTGTTGGAAGGTATTAGCACAGGTGGGAGATGGGCCCTTTTATATGGGCGTAAAAATGCGGGCCGGAGTCAAGAAGCAGTCAGCAATTAAAATTGCGAAACCTGGAGTTATAGGCGTACACCTTTGAGGTATATGGGGAGAGTCTAAATTTGTTGAAGAGATGAATAGCATTGAAACCATATAATCCATATATAATGATGTGATAAGTTTTGGTATGTGTATCCATATCCGTGTTCGGTTTGAATCCAAAGTATGAAAGTAAGTACTTAAAATGGAAATGGTAGCCTCATTTCACCTCCTAAAACCATTGAAACCGACCATGACCACGATGATCTTGAAGGGGTAGAAGATTTTTTGCTCAACCAAATGAGCTAGCAACCACACAATAATACACATATAAATGGTGGGATAATTACTATTAATACTGAACATGATATACACGTATAAAGTGATATAAGGTGGAAATCACCGATATAAATAAGGGCAATTACATCGAAGGTATTGCCATGAAATTTGTGTCATTTTGAGGATTTTGTTGTCTATTATTTGGAAATCGAGCTTATCACTATAGAGAAGCTTGCCATTCATTCACATAAGGAAAGTAAATGAGATTATGATAACAAAGGATTCTTCTCATTTTGAAGCATGTGTTGTATCATTCCCTTTTCCACTTGACTCGACTAATACAAAGTAACCCGTAAGCGGTGACTGATAGCAAGTTTTGGGACCACAACACACAAACAACTAACACCATTCAATATAAACAAATTCAAGTTATAATAACTGTAGTGAGTACTAACTAGGAATAGACCAATAGGCACTAACATCAAAAACTTCTTGGTAGGGGTATATTGATCTCCATTATCGATCTGCTCCCACATAGTTAAATTATCGTAAGCACCGCTATTGAACTCGAAAGGGGTACCCTTCACTTGATGAAACATTATATAGGAGCCGATATTGTAGGTTAAGTTTGTTAAGGTCCATTTCCAGTTATTGTCTAATATGGTGATGAAGTTGAAGAATATCTTGAGAAGAACAATAATCACAATATGTACGATCCATGCACCTTTATAATGAACCCAATCGGCATTCAAATTAGGATTTAGTTGTTGATCAATTTTTGTGTCCTGGGTGTCAGGTTCCAAATGCTGGATCAAGGAAGAGGATCTTCTCTTTCGAGTAATATGCGATTGCGAAGGTGATAAGTTAGCAGAGCCAGTGCTAGGGAATTCTGTTTCTTTGGACATTCCTGCTGTTTATCTGTTAAAAGAATACAAAAGTTGATGTTATCCTTGATGTTTTTGAGTGACGATTAAACGACACTGCGAAAGGAAGGCGGAAGGCAATAGTTACCCGGAGAAAACTTCCTCACTACTGCTAACGCGAATTCCTGCTGAGTGCCACCCCGCTGCTGCCACGGCCACCCATTGGCCCTCGACCCGCACTGGTTCCATAACCCGGCTGCTATTGCGGCCTTCTTGTCGTTTCTCTTCATAGTCTCCAACGCCTAAACATCCACACCCATTAGATTCGATTCCCCAGCTGTATACGTCACCTTTATCAGTAAGGGCAAGGTAATGATAATCACCCATTTCAAGTTCGACTGCTTCAACTCCATCTGGTAGCTGGACCTCTTCCACATTCTCTCCATCGTAAACAGTGCGTTTATTACCCAAAATCAGTTTACCATTGCAAAAAACAACAAAACTGTTGTAACAGCCATTAATTTTTGAAAATCTGTGACGTGTACCTCCAGAATTGTGTTGTGTTAACCAGTTATTTAAAGGTTCGAGTCTGTCTAAGTCAGAAAATGGGATATCTGTTCTTCCCTCTCCCAGATGATGCCCATAATAATGCATTATATCAAAAGGATAAACAAATGCTCCTGCTGGCATAAGCAAAATCACAAAATCGTTTCCCAAATGAAAGTCAATAAGATCGGGAGCTTCAAAACATAAATAACTGGCATTGGAACAATATTGGCTCGTTTCTACTTGTTGCTTTGTAAGTGGATCACGAGAGTACCAAACTACTAATTGATCTTTCGAGTTAAATCCAGAGAGGTTCCATCCGCATTTGATTTTAATAATGGATGCAGGGGTGATCTCTGGGAAAGCCATTCTGATACCGATAATGCTGCTGCTCCCGGTATCCCACGTGAATATCTGGTCTTTATTGTCTAACGCAATGAAATGTTGTCTACCACTTGATATCGAAATTATCGTACCGGCCTCAATTGGGAGTTGAATTCGAGTGACGAAGTTCGATTCGACATTCAGATTGGAATCACCCGTACTAGAGGCTTGACTTGCTTGATTTGAGGTATCCTTAGCATTAGTAATAAATTCATTGAGCAGAGGAAGCTGCTCAGGTGGCAGACGAAGATTCACATTTGTAGATGCACGAGTTTGGGATCCATGGGGAACGAAAGAATGATGATGACGACCTCTGATCATAGGAAAAGTTGCTGGTATCAGCCCAGTTGACCAAGAAACATCTAGAGGGGGCTTATAGTCACTAGTTGTTGGACCAGGGGCTGTAATATCGTGGAATTGTCGATAATCCCCACCAGTATAGTACAAACCTTTCAGTGTTAAAATCTGAAAGCTGAATCCCCCAGCTTTTATATCAATAATGATTTCGTTATTGAAGTTGGGTAAGTTAGTAGGCACCTTGACATTTCTATTGTGAGTTATATTCTCTTCTGGGATATTTCTTACTAGATATCCAAGACGACCTGAAGCAGATGAGCCCCAAGTGTAAAGCTTAGACAGTTTACTAACCCTAAGTTTGAATTTTTGGAGCCAGTTTGCTCCAATAGGATTGGAGTTAAGACCAAATTTGCTTCTGTACATCAACTCAAAGAACTGATTTGATTGGAGCCGTGAACGGATCAGGTGATTTGTTAAGGATAAATAAAGAATATCATCAGCAGAAAGGAACTTGCAAATATTATATAGAAGGTCTTCGTTCAAATTAAAAAGCATTGTTAAAGGTGCAAAAAGGGATTGCGAATGTGTGATGTTTGATATTTATGTATTTGATATTATGTATGAGAGGTGCGAAAAAAAATAGCGGGAAGAAGTTAACCATTAACTTATATTTGAAAGAACTATACCAGTAGAAACCATTTATCCCGTCGCTCAACCTTCTGGGAGCGCAAATCAATCATACACGAACAAACCGCCCATATCACCGTTCAACTCAAAGTCCAAGATTGGCACTGCAGGCCAAAAATAAGGGAAAGGAAATCATGGTGGATCAGTTAGATCCTATGGAATATTAAGACTACAGAGTACATTCAAGTACCCCACCCATAAGACAGACTTGGAGGACGCTTTACTAATTAAAACCCTTATATGGTAACCACAACTACTTCTGAGTTGTGCTCTAAATCCATGGGACTTTGGTCTGAGTCAAGTAGACCCAAATGATTCGAACTATTGTGAACATAATTCAAATCAATCAACGATAAATCAATGGGAGAGTTTGCTGGTGAATCGATCGACACAGGTGATAAATAATTATCAACTGGGTTTATCAACAAGTTAAAGTCGGCTTCATCTGGCGAAAAGTCAGATGAATCGACTACTGAATCATCAGCTGGTTGGGTTGATTTTTCAACAGGAACAGGGAAAGAATCTTCCTCGTTATTGTAAGAATCAGGCGATACATCGTCATTATTGGCCGACGCATCTGCCCCATTTTCATTAGAGTCAAGATCGGCACTATAGTCACCGATACTAGATCTCCTCACAGTCGAAGAAGGTTGGAATTTGAAATCTTGATACTCGACCAAGTTATCAATCTTTTTCAAGTTGGATCTAATAGAAGACATATCACTTCCAGAAGAATTAATCTTTGACAATAAAAACTCTTGGTTGTGATGATAGTTATCCAAATTAGACGTTAACCTACTGATGTAGCCTTCCAAATATTCCACATATTTCCTCTTTTTTTCTCTTGACTGATGGGCTGCTCTCCTGTTTCTCAAAATACGTTCGATTCTTCTCTGCTCCTTTTCTTCTTCTGTCTTAGCTCTCTTTCTTGGTGGTAAAGTAGTCTTAATATCCATATCCATGTTTCCTAAAAATAATTAGTAAAGTGTCACTGAAGAAGAAAAAAAACACAAGTGAGGACTTGAGTGGTTATTTATAGGCGCAGGCGAGCAGGAAAACAAGTGGCACTGCTATCGTGCACTGGGTTAAAAATGCGCTCTCATGAGGAGAGAAATTAGTTTCTGTGGATATGTATACAGGTCAAACATGCAAATTTCGGGAACCAGGGGTCCTTCCTGCCAATCTCTGATACTAAAGCGTATTTAAACTCTAATCACCAGATATGACTACAATAGACCCAGCGGAAAGGGGGGCCCGCCCCCCTTTTGCAGTTATATGTTTTCCTGAAGTCGATTTAGGGTTGTGTGTAGGACGTGATAATTTACACGAATTGGAGTTATGTAAACATTGGCAATAATCCCGTAAAGGAACAGTAATGGGCTGCTTCCTAGGTAAGGAAGCAGGGACTCGCGAAGAAGCCAGCAGCATCTTCAATTTTGCTCATTTAAAGTATCCGTTTGAACGGCTGTCGACTTTTCAAGTGGCCATTTTTTTTGAGGGTCCGAACGCTTCCTCTGTTGCCCGAGAAATACAACTGACATTTCGCCTTAGGCGTGCGAGTAAACATATTTGCGGAAAGCCATATCGTCTAATAGTTTGTCGGCTAAAATTGTTGTAATATAACCCAAAAGGGAGCCATTGACACGTATACTCGTCAACAGTGACTATATGAAGACCATTTTTAACCAAGTACAGGTCAAGGGTTATACGAATGCCTAATTAGGCTGAGAAGACGTAGGGATAAAGCCTACATGAAGGTCAGTTTCATTGTTGGAACTATGGAGCCAATAAGAGGCTTAATTACACATGCCTTTCACCCTTTTGTTTTACAAGGAGGGTTCAATCGGATGCCCGTGGGGTTAATTTTTAGGGGAGTGTTTGGGTCCCCCGTAGTTGGAACTTTTTGATCAGAGGTTTGTGAACATCCAGTGTGTTTATTGCCCATCGAAATGCCCATCGAAATGCCCATCGAAATGCCCATCAACCTATCATGTACACTAGGGTGCGTTTTAATGTAAGACCCAAGCGGAAATTGTACTAACACTATTGTCCGGGGAATTTTTTGTCGCATTTCTCAGTTGCAATTTGTCAGAGTCATATCTAATAGGATGTCAACAGTTTTGACGGTGTCCTCACATGTAGTACATGGATATGTTGGGAACAAGGCCATAATATTCCCTCTTCAATGCACTCACTGGGAAGTTGATAACATTAACACCGTCAATTTTTCCAATCACACGGGTTACGGAAAGTTTAAAGGGGACAGCATCACTCCCCAATTGTTAACGAGATTATTAGACAACGTCCAGCCATTCAAGTTCTTGATCACAGGATACATTCCGAACAAGACTTTGATCGAAACCCTACTGAAATACCTTTCTCAAGCCCGAGAACCTCCTCATTCTAAGCTACCATTTGTTTTCTTGATGGACCCAATATTGGGTGATGAAGATCAGCTTTATGTAGATCCATCTTGTGTCAACAGCTTCAAGGACTTGCTTTATCAGAATTATATTGACATCATAACTCCAAACCAATTCGAATTGGAACTTTTGACGGATGTCAAGATAAAGACAGTTCCCAATTTAGTGAGTGCCTTGAACAAGTTAAAAGTTCAAAATATCCAGTTTGTGATTGTCACTAGCTGCAGATTCTCGCCCGAAGAAAAGTTCCTATACTGTGTGATCTCGACCTCCTCCAATTCGGACATCAAATACTTCAAAGTTCCTTTGATTGAATCATATTTTACCGGAGTGGGTGATTTGTTCACCGGGTTGTTGATCAATAAGCTATACGCAAACTACTATTCCAAAGCAAATTGTGAGCTTCTAGATGACCTCGAGTGCTTATCCATATCAGTGAACCAGGTGTTGACGACGATGACGAAAATCCTCAAAAGAACGAACGAAATTGGTTTGAGGTCAGGAAGAACAGCAGAAATGGGTAGTTTGAATATAGGGCCCTATGAGTTGGATTTGATCAACTCACGAGATTTGTTTGCTTGCAAAGACTGTGAATTCGAAGAACATACATTGATAAATTCCTTCATATAGAGTTGCATGGATTAGTGATAGATTAATACGAGATTTTGATCTAACTAGAAAATGCCCAGGTAAGTGTAACGAAGTATAACCTGACCCGAGTTTCTTAGTAAGGCTATAGAGTAACACTCCTGTGTGTCATATCAGCGTGTTTATGTATCATGATGTGCATGCTCTATGATATTTCTTTTACCACGCAAAACATGGATACAAACTTGTTGATTAATAAAACCTAAATTTAAATTGCTTGATAAGAGATACAAAATCACGCGATACGTTTTAGAAAATTTTGGTCAAAAGATGGGGGGCGACTGGTCTAAGCTTCATTAGATTAGTAGGAAGAGAGTCAGTCTCATAATAGTAAAATTGTTTTGTTTGAAGCTCGACAGTTCAACCTTGTCTCTGAGCATTAGTTTTTTATTTTCGCATTTGTAAGTTAAGCTCTCATACAGTTGGGAGCAGCTTGGTTAATTATACCACTAAACAATGCCTGAAGTTGCAGAAGTACGTAAGAAAATATCATAGCAAATTAAATGACTGATACTAACAGTTAGGTTGCACATGTTTGTGCTCAATTGAGACGGAATATAATAGGATACAGAATCACTGGAGCTAATATCCTCAATGATTCTTTGCTCTTCCCTAGCTTGAAAGGAAATAATGAACCTGAAGGGGAAATCAGAAGAATCAATTCTTTATTGGATGGAGCTGTTGTGGAAAAGGTGGGGAGACACGGAAAATATTTTTGGATCAGATTTAATAACCAAGTGGCAATGTTGATGCATTTTGGAATGACTGGAATGATAAAGCTAAAGAATATTGACTCGCATATGGTATTTATGGAGAATGGTGGCGACAAGAAGATACTTGAAACCAAAGTAAAGGTTAAAGAGGAGTCAACCTCAGGTTCCCTGTCCAAGACAACGTCAAAGTATTTTGCCAAAAAAGAGAGTATAAAAGAGGTGGATAATAAGAAACAGGAACAGGAACAGGAACAGGAACAATGGCCCCCCAACTTCAGCAAGATGGAGTTGAAGCTAAAGAAGGAAAAAGAGTTGGACTTGTCATTTGTGGATCCTCGAAGATTAGGAAGAATTCGTTTCTTCACTGATATAACGAAAGATGAAGACCTTTTTAATTTGGACCCACTCAAGAGGCAGGGCCCTGACTATTCAAAATCAGGACTACACGTGACCAAAATATTCGAATATGGTGATCCTGATCCAAAAAGATACATAGAATTGCTTTCTCTTCCTGAATTCGCCAAACTTGTTATTCTGAAGAAGAAGACTATCAAAAGTTTGTTGCTTGAACAAGACTATTTCGCAGGAGTGGGAAACTGGGTCAGTGACGAGATTTTGTATCAATCTAGGATCCACCCCGGTGAAGTTTTGAGTGAAAAGCTTGATTCAAGCAGCCCCGTTATTGAGGCTCTTTACAATGCTCTTATAAGTGTTTGCTATACAGCTGTTTCTGTGGAAGGGGATGTAAAGAAATTTCCCGAAGAGTGGCTAATGTTGTATCGATGGGGTAAGAGAAGAACAAAGCAGGCCAAAGCCAAGGTTGGGGGACACCCCGTCGATTTTGTGACTATTGGAGGCAGAACCGCCTGTTTTGTTCCCAAAGTACAGAAAAAGCTATAAGCAGGCATGGTCTATTGTCGTCAGCAGTTGGTACATTGACATCAACTGAAGCCAATATGATTTTGACTTCCGAGCTATCAATATCAGTACGAATTGGTGCTGCAATGAGTCGGAATACGATTGTAGTTCCGTTACCGCCTTTCGGCTGAAAAGCACAAACTGCCGGAATTTCTGCGCAGACAGTCTAAGAGAATAGTTCTCGGAAATGCAAAAAGAAACCAGTAGCAGCGCGATCGGATTAAATAAAAACACCATTCCTAGTTCTTCCGAATGTTTCAAATCCCGGGTCGGAAGCCGACGCATCGAAAGCTTATGTAGATTCGTTCTGGAAGGTCCTGGACAGGAAGACAAGTTGCTTTGTATGTCATTGGAGGAGATGCTCCTCCAGATTTGATGGTCCAATAAAATCGACATGTGTCAGAGTGCTGTCTCATCGAAGGAACAAATCGGATCGAATTCAAAGAAAAAAATTGCATGTAAATGAGGGGGAGTAAATGTGCGGCTAGCGCGTTACCTTCTAGGTCTGCCGTTGGTCCGTAGTTATTTTATCAAGTGTGGATTTCACCAGTATCGACATTGGTTTGACTTCTAGAAGATGAGCATAGAACTACTACAAACTACAAGGGAATTTAAATGGTTTACCGCCGATAATTTCGTCCTCTTCCTCTATTCTACCCTCTAGCCCGCATAGGGTGATATCGGAAGCGGTTATAACAAAGTGCGGCGGTCTTTCCGAAATGGGCTGTGATTGTTGGGGTCGGAGTTGCTGCCGATACCGGTTGTGCCCTCGAATTTTGACGGCACTCACTTTTATAAATACCCCCCATTCCCGCCTGTCGCAATTTCATTAACTAAATATTATATGCTCCTCCAGTCATGTTGTGTATGAGAAGATTGTATTCAACGAAATCGGTTCACACCCACACTATCAAAACCCCCGTGGATATAAACGCTGCCATCGCATCATTAAAACCAAAGGTTACTCGTCTTTCAAATGATGGGCCCATCGAATGTGATTTGACAGGATTTCAATTACTTAATTCCCCAATATTTAACAAGGGGTCAGCTTTTACAAAAGCTGAGCGTAAAGCATTTGGTTTAACAGGTTTGTTGCCATCTCAGGTGAATACATTGGATGGGCAAGTTGATAGAGCTTATCGTCAGTTTTCTTATTTGAAGAGTCCTTTAGCTAAAAATGACTTCTGTACATCAATGAGAATTCAAAACAAAGTGTTATACTACGAGTTAGTCAGAAGACATATAAGAGAAATGTTACCTATTATCTATACTCCAACTGAAGGTGATGCGATTGCTTCGTATTCGGATAGATTCAGAAAGCCTGAAGGATGTTTCTTAGATATCACTGATCCTGATAGCATTGATGAACGACTTGCTCCATACGGAGAGGACAAAGATATAGATTATATTGTTGTCAGTGATGGGGAAGGAATTTTAGGAATTGGTGACCAAGGTGTTGGGGGTATTCGTATAGCCATTGCTAAATTGGCCTTGATGACTTTGTGTGGTGGTATTCACCCTGGAAGAGTTTTACCGGTGGTATTAGATGCTGGTACCAATAACCAAAAACTTATCAATGATGATTTGTACATGGGAAACAAATTCCCAAGAGTTCGTGGTGAAGAATATTGGACTTTTGTTGATAAATTTATCACAGCTGTGAAAAAGCGGTTTCCTAACGCCGTTTTGCATTATGAAGATTTTGGTGTATCAACAGGAAGAATAATGTTGCATCGTTATAGAGATGCTTTACCATCTTTCAATGATGATATTCAAGGTACAGGAGCTGTCGTCATGGCGTCATTCCTCGCTGCTCTTAAATTTTCCAACAGAAGGTTACAAGACAGTAGGATTTTAATTTATGGAGCTGGTCTGGCTGGTTTGGGAGTAGCAGACCAAATTGTAAACCATATGGTGAACATTGGTATGGAACGTGAGGATGCTTTGAGCAGAATCCATACTATGGATAGAAGAGGATTAATTTTACAAAGTTTTCCTGATTCTTCAGAAGGTCAAATTAAATATGCTGACCCGGATGCTGATTGGGAGAATGTTGATACGAAGAGCTTGGTGGAATGTGTTCGTCATGTGAAACCAACCCTTTTGGTTGGTTGTTCTACCCAGGCAGGTGCTTTTACTGAAGATGTTATCAAGGAAATGTATAAGCATAATTCCCAACCAATTGTGTTTCCATTGTCTAACCCTACTCGTTTGCACGAAGCTTTCCCAGTGGACGTTATGAAATGGACTGATAATAATGCTTTAATTGCCACTGGATCACCATTTGAACCCGTGGATGGTTACTATATTTCTGAAAACAATAATTGTTTTACCTTCCCTGGTATTGGATTGGGAGCAGTTTTATCTCGTTGTACTACCATTTCCGATACAATGATATCTGCTGCTGTCGACCAATTGTCGTCCTTATCACCAAAAATGGAAAATCCTAAGAATGGATTGTTACCAAGATTGGAAGAGATTGACGAAGTTAGTGCTTATGTTGCGACTGCTGTTATCTTGCAAAGTTTGAAGGAGGGTAATGCCAGAGTTGAATTAGAGACCAATCCTGATGGAGAATTCGTCGAAGTTCCAAGAGACTTCAAAAAGTGCTTGAAATGGGTTCAAGCACAAATGTGGAAACCAATCTACAGACCATTAATAAAGGTGGAACACGTTCCAGAGATACACACATTCCAGAGTTAAGACCGGAATTTACATTTAGTTCCTATAATTATATTCATTTATTCAAAGATTACTCTTAAACGGTTTGTTTATAGACTTAATATAGATCACCCCATAAGTATTGTGGTATGAAAACTCGGTTTGAGTCATTCAGAAACACTAATGTTCATAATCGCTTATATGTTTCAATATTCTCCTCTTTGTACGCATATTCACAATGATTCGTTCAAGTATTTCACTAATCTAGTAAATGCAAAGTACCGCTCAGGATCAACATCCTTCTTATATCTCTTAATGATATCATACTCCATGAAAAACAAGGCATCATGCAATCCCCAAGGCTCAACAAAGCATGTGAGTTTAGCTCTTCCTTTTTTACTGCTGGTAACCTCAAACTCAGGTAATAGCTTATTATTGGAATCGTTAGACCAGATGATTTCTTTCACCCCAAATACATCCTGAGACCATTTGTGAATATGATCTCTAAAAGATTCGTCTTCCCCGTAGAGTAAAAAGACTTCACTCTTTTCGTTGGCGAAGAATTTGTTTGTATTCCAATCGACAGTTTGTTTATTTGACCACGCAAAGTATGGGTGGAGGTGTTTCTTCTCATCATCAATGAACAAAATCTCATGCTCCCGTCTGAACTGTTTGAAGTTAATCAAATCCCTGTTTTGGCCTTCGTAGTATGATTTTCCTGGCTTGTAGTCATCTAAATTAGCCATCAAATCTACCCATGGAGATATCAACACAAGCTTGGTGGGGTTTATCAAGTATGGCTTTTCTTCCTTAAGGTATTCGGTATAACTAATGGATAAATGAGCACCAGCGGAATCCCCGAATAAAATGAGGTTGGTATTTCCTTCATCCACCAACTTCTGATAAATACTATCCAACTGTCTTAATTGTCTAGGAAACTTGTGGCCCCGACAAACCAAGTCGTAATCTAAAAATAATAATGATACATTCTTGCTGGCATCGATTGAATTGTATAAAGCAATCAACGTTTTCATCTGCTCTAATTGGGTCTGCATAAAGTATCCTCCTCCATGACTATATATTATCATTGGATCGGATTTGGATCTTTGCGTGGGTTTTGCAACCCAAATTCCTGAGGTCCCATATCTTTGTCCATAATGCGGTAAGGTTTTTACATCATTGTAGTGCACTCGTTTTGCCAAGTTGAATAACGTGTTATTGGTCATGATATCAAGACAGCGAGTGTCAGTGATGGGCATCATAAGTCCTTTCCTGTAAATTGTTAGCTTGATACAAATATGGAGCCTGCGTTCGTACTTCCTGAAGTGAGTAGTTCCAAGAAAGTACTTGAATATAACAACGAGAAGAGAAAATGGAAGTTCAATTAAGCGGGCAATCCCCTGAGCTGAGATCATCTTGGAATTGGTTGAAGTAGTGGGGGTTGAGTCTTTCTGAAAAAAAGATTGTGCGTTCTACTTCATTATTTATATGTTTGGTGGGGCAGTTTTTCCTTGTGAAAATTGTTGCAAACATAAGCTTTTCGGGCGAGGATGGGAGGAGAATACCATTTGCGAAATTAATAGAGACACTCATGCAATCGTAGTTAACCTGTCACGTACCAGACTTATTCTTTTGTGCTTTCTGTTGTGGATGTCTATTGATCCTTCGGTAAGGCCAGCAAATGAGTTACACGTCCTCTATCTATCTTGGAGAAGCTCAGTTTCCTTAGGTTCACTGGTATGAACACGCCTTTAAAAAAATTCTGGGGACCATGATTGGAAGGTGAGAAAAAAATCGAACTACTGAAAATTCAACAACTCCCACATCTAACCCATCATGACTGTAGAAGATTTGAAAAATACTGTTGCTAAGTTGCAAGACAGAATTAACCAATTGGAAAAGAAAGCCGGAATCATTCCTGATGTCCCCAAATCCATCAGAATGGTGTTGATCGGACCTCCAGGAGCCGGGAAAGGTACTCAAGCACCTAACTTGAAAGAAAAGTTTTGTGCTTGTCATTTAGCTACTGGAGACATGTTGAGAGCTCAAGTTGCTGCTAAAACCCAATTGGGTGTTGAGGCCAAGAAGATTATGGATCAAGGTGGATTAATCAGTGATGAAATTATGGTTAACATGATTAAATCCGAATTGGAAAACAACGCTGAATGCAAAAGTGGTTTCATTTTAGACGGATTCCCAAGAACTATTCCTCAAGCTGAAAAATTGGATGATATGTTGAACGAAAGGAAAACTCCTTTGGAAAACGCAGTGGAATTGAAAATCGATGATGAATTGTTGGTTGCCAGAATTACTGGAAGATTGGTTCACCCATCTTCTGGAAGATCTTACCACAAACTCTTCAACCCTCCAAAGAGAGAAATGACTGATGACATCACTGGTGAACCATTGGTGCAAAGGTCTGACGATAATGAGGATGCCTTGAAAAAGAGATTAGTGACTTACCACAAGCAGACCGAACCAATTGTTGAATATTACCAAAAAACCAAAATTTGGTCTAGCATCGATGCTTCTCAAAAGCCAGCCAATGTATGGTCGGACATATTAAAATGCTTGGGTCAAAAATAAGTTGTTTTGGTTCTTTTTGTGTATAATTTAGTTTTGTATATACATACATAATATGTTCCAATCAGATCCTTTCTCTTTTCAACCCAGAGTGGGCATCTTCAAGTGCTCCTCGCTTACGAGTCTCATTATAACAATTAGCATGGACTATCTTTCTACTTCCCTTAGGTTCCCCGGGTTGTAGTATACAATTGTACCAACACCATTCACCCAACTCCTCATTGAATGAACCTTTTACTTGCTCCCTGCAAATCAAGCACTTATTGTTCATATTAGTCTCGGTAGAAGGAATTATCACATATGGGATTTCTTTCGACTCCTGAGGCTTGAATTGGGAAGAAGATTGGGTAGAATTAGCAATGTTGACTTGAAATTCAAGGAGATTTTCATCTTTGAATTTGGCCCAGTCAACGTCATCCAAGTACCAGCTTCTGGATTGAACATTGCTAGAACTTTTGAACTTTTGGCTTATACGAAAATGCCAGTCTAAATGTAATCTTTTTCGATTTTTTCCAACATCATCAGTATTGAATCTTTTACCACAAATAGAACATTTTAATCCTTTACTCTCATAAAGTAAATTCTTGCACTGAATAGACACATTGGGGCTTGAAATGAATCCTTGCACTGATTGGGAGGTCACTTTCAACTTGTTGAGTTCATTGTACTTGAGTTGCTCATATTCAGACCTGATCATTTGATAACCCAAAATCAGACTGAAGACATCGGAGTGATCATTTGGGTTCCCCTTAGGGTAGTTTATTTCGTAGACCCGAGGACTATTGAAATCTTGCTCAAAGGTGATGATACCTTCGTTGATAAGCCTATCAAAAAGGTCATTAGCAGAGCTTGCTGGGACCGTATTGACTTTAGGAGTTGCCGGTAAAGACGAAGGGATGTTGGATCTGAGAGTTGGAGTGGAATTAGGGCTCGAGTTTGCAGAAGTTGAAGACCTATTCAATTCCTGATGTTTAATGGTGTTTAGCTGTGCTTCGACGGCCTTCAACTCATTGGGCTGCATTTTCTGATTTTGCAATAAAAACTTCAACTGGTTCAATGCATTAAATCTCTCATTGAGTTTAGTGTCATTAGAATTGTTGTTTAGCTTATTGTGGAAAATAGGTAACAACTCATCAATATCTCGTATTAACCTAGAGTTACTTAGTTCATTTCCGTTGTTAACTGGGCCCGCTTTTTTGAGGAAAGCTCCGATCTTTTCAAGTTCTCCCGGTGGGAATAACGGTATATTTGTTCCCTTAGCTTTAGTCAAACGCCATGTCTCGAATAAATTTTGCAATTTTTTTCGGACATTATCATCGACAAGTAGGTAAACGTGACTGAAAAGCTTGAATATATCATCTCCTATCAAGATATTGTACGGGTTGCCAACATTTTTGCAGATAGAATCAAGTAAATATAACGCAAAGAGTTTCTGTTCAGGTAAGCACTTGTAGATTCTAGCGGTGATCACATCTAGAATTCCATCCCCTTCATCAGTATTTTCAGCAGCTATTGTTGTGAGTGTATCTATTATAGGCCGAGAGTTGAATGTCAACTCTTTCAAACTTTGGGCGTATTCTTGAACGATCTCTGACATTTAAAACGATGAAGTATTCAAGAGATGGTTTTGTCGCGAATATCTTCATATAAGAACTCACATATGCATATAGGCTGCAAGGTTTGAGTAAATACTGGGACAAAATTTGTAAAGCAAATAAGCCTAGAGCTGATTTAGAAATAGGTGACAAGCATCAAAAGTGGCCTTTAACACTCTGAGCAGATTGTTCCCATCTTTGGTAGAGTGTATTTGCCTATTCAACATTAAACCCAGTAACCAAAATAAGATGTTGAACAATTCTGCAATGCTTTGTATTGTACAAGATCTCCCGTGAAAGACATTACACACAACCATCTCATACACCGAAATATACCCATTGAGTCTTATTGATCTTTAACCACAAGAAGAATAAGAAGAATAAGAAGAATAAGAAGTCAATTCTACGCTAAATGATAACTTGAACATTTACTTTCCCTCCTTTCTTTATTGTAGATTTACAAGGATAAGAATTAATAGCCTCCGGCGACGTTTTGAACATCAAATCATCTAATTTAAACTTTGGTTACTCTTATCACTTGTATGACCATCTGCGAATGGTAATAAATCATGTGGGTAAGCGCGGTGAGAAAAACTAGGATGTGAAAAAATTTTCTTCCTCTATCCACAAATATGTCACCAGCAGCTGATAGTAGCGGAAGCAAAAGAGATAGTGCACTTGCTAGAGTTTTAGGATCAGCCTCGGCTGGAATCTGTGAAATTGGTGTTTTTCATCCGGTCGATACCATTTCTAAAAGATTAATGTCCAACCAGGGGAAAATTTCATCAGCTGCCCAATTGAACTCAGTGATTTTCAGAGAACATGCCGATAAAGCTTTATCTAATAGAATTTTTACGTTGTTCCCAGGATTGGGATACGCTGCTGCCTATAAAATTTTGCAAAGAGTTTACAAGTACGGAGGTCAACCGTTTGCCAATGAATTTTTATCTTCCAACTTTAGAGATTCTTACGAGCTGGTATTTGGAAAGAAAAATGGAAAGGCTTTGTTATCTGCTACTGCTGGTTCTCTTATTGGAATTGGAGAAGTTGTATTGTTACCATTGGATGTGTTAAAGATCAAACGTCAAACAAACCCCGAATCTTTTAAAGGTAGAGGTTTCTTAAAGATCCTTCTGGATGAAGGCTTTGGTTTATACAGAGGATGGGGTTGGACTGCTGCTAGAAACTGTCCTGGATCATTTGCATTATTTGGAGGTAATTCATTTGCCAAAGAATACATTTTTGGTTTAAGTGATCACTCCAGAGCCACTTGGTTCCAGAACTTTGTGACCTCTATTTTTGGTGCTTCAGCTTCATTAATTGTTTCAGCTCCATTAGATGTTATCAAGACCAGAATTCAAAACAAAAACTTCGACAACCCCGAATCTGGTTTCACTATTTTGAAGAACATGGCCAAAAATGAAGGCCTAAGCTCATTCTTCAAAGGATTAACACCAAAATTGTTGACCACTGGTCCGAAATTGGTATTTTCTTTTGCGTTGGCACAATCATTAATTCCAGCGTTTGACAAGTTGATCAATCAAACCTAGAATTTACTTCTTTCTGTATATAGTAGACCTTTAATTTTCTAGTCAAATAATCTTTTTCCCGCACCTGAGTAGTTAGTCATCTTTGTGCGAAGATCCCGACCCACATGCTCATTTAAAGTAACTCACGGATATTTCACTAGAATATACTGCTGTAATGAAGTTACTATATTTCATATACGTGTTGAAGGTTAATCTATTTTCAGTGATTGTGGAAAACACCCGATCTCAAAGTTTGAACTTACAATATATTCAAAGCTCTATGTTTGATGCTACATCCTGCCAACCCACTGATGAGGAAATAGACATATCGTTTGTCAATAATGACACAGGTCTTACAGATGAACCATTTCCAGAGGATGTTGACTACATAGAGATCAACATATGAAAGTAGTACATCGATGCTTATGAGCACAAAGGTTGGTTAGGCATTTTGAATATGGAGTATGTTAATATGGGATTATATAGACATTATGTATAAAATAGACATTATTGGGATTTAAAGCTTCTTATTTAATGTAACGCAGGTCGACTAGCATCTTCTTTATCACAGAGATGTATTACTGTATCTGTTGCACGCCAAAGCTGTCAAAGTACTCCAATTTTTTTAGGCTCGCAACCTCTCGAACCCATCTGCTTCTCCCTATAATCACATCCAATTCCTCTACTGTTGTCTTGTTTTCAAGTAGGCATAATCTAGTTACCAGTTCCACTTGCCTCTGTTTTCTAGAAAGCTTTTCGACTGCTCGTTCCCTTAAGCCCCCCGAAGTTCCAGCTAACGTCAGGGCATTTTTGAGGAATACTTTAGAGTTTTGAAGAAGTATGCTTTGATTCTTGATAGCCTGTTCATCGTTTAGTTGACATCGTTGTATGTCAATATCACTCCTGGCTATAAGAACATTACTCAATTGGGAAACAAGAGTTCCTAGATTGTCTCCACCGGATTTTTGAAGAGCTTGCTTCTGTCCATTCATGAGCTCCTGGGCTTTCTTGAGATTATTGGTCATGATAGTTAGAGCCTGCCAGAAGGTTTTGATCATCTCTTGATGATTGCTTTCGTTGCATGTTTTCAAACTGATATCATTTCTATCCAAGAACCCCTGCAAACTATCAGATACAGCCAAATACTTCTCAGGGATATCAGCTATAGTTGAAAGGCTTGATTCCCACCACGATATGATCTCTGAAAGGTCATTGAGAATCAATGAATGATTATATGCTTTAGAAATTTTGTACTCATTAATTTGTTGGTCAGAAATGGACGACAAAAACTCCAGTTGTAAGTTCTTAGTTCCACTGAAGCTACCAATTAAATTATCTGCTATATGGTCACAAGTACTGAGAAAAGGCTCCACCAATTCTCGGAATATAGGGATATCTTGAGTTGGATTCTCCGTATTTTCGAGTATTGCATGGGATAATTTGTAGCACAAAGTGATGGTTTCAAACACATGAGGGGGCTGTAAAGTGTCTTCGCCAACAGCATTCTGACTATCAATGGTGCTATCATGTGAAAACTCCGATGGATCTTGTAAGTTCAGGGTTTGGCCCATACTGTCAAGTTCTTCGACAAACAGCTGAAGTTGTGTAACTTGTCGATCTAAAAGGTTTTGGAAAAGGCCCTTTGCTTTAGTTCCTAGTTCCATCACCTCAATTAATTGTATATCTCCATGATTCTTAATATCTTCCAATACTTGTGTGTATGCTACTCCGGTATTGTAAAGCAAATCCATCAGCGGCTGAGTTCTAAGATCCTTTGATAGTTGGAGAGCTCTTTCATGGCTCTCAACAACGGTAGGTAACTTTTGGACAACTGACTGAGCACTAAGCAACACATCATCCACATTTATCAATTCATTAATGTGGACCCCATCGGTTTGAAAGTATTGATTATATACATGCAATAAAAGTCTTGAGATGTTATAGTGGATATCAAGATCTGAGATTGAGGCACTACTGTTAGCACTTTTCGACAATGCCAGCATGTAGGCATCATATGCCCTTTGATAGAACCTAAGAGCCTTTGAAAAGTCTGAGCTTATCCAACGATCACCAGATTCTTCTTCAGTGGCACCTAGGTCCAAATAGTCATCACTGGTCTCAGGCATGGGATGAGATGCCTCACTTTTAACTAGAGACTCCTGGAATCGTTTACCTTTGAATCCTTTTGCTGCATTTAGGTTAGTTCAAACAAAGCGCAAATCGTGAAAACAGTACTTACTTTTCATTTGGGAAATAGTGAACGGTGCAGTATCTACAAGGTCTTTATTGAAATGGGAAAATAAATGCGATTGAATGTAATCGCGTCTCATTGTAGATGAGTGCAGTATACTTCGATACCTTGAATGAATTGCTGCTTGAAATTCCACCTGATGGACTAGGGAAGAATGTTACTGTAGAGGTACCCGTTTATCTCCTTGGGTTGGTCGATGGACCTAAGAAGAGTGGACTTCTACTCGTGACAGACTTCCTTTCAGGTAAACCTTTTGTGAGCAAACAAAATGCTATTTCATTTGACATGCTCAGATCGGGAGGACCTTTGCCGGATGACTTCATATTCAGTATTCCGTGTACGCGGACATGCTACTCCCTGTTGTTAAAGCGATTTAAATCAGACCAGATTCTCTTTTCCAAGGCCCAGTTTCTGGCGGTTTCATTTGATCTTACCTACTCGCCGGAGGGTAAATGCATTGGTAAAGAGATGGCTAGTGCCAACAATGTGGCAGATGTAGCTACATTCAAGAACCTTGCGGCTGCCAAAGCTTTGTTTGAACGATTCACCAAACTCGTGAATGATGATATTCAGCTGCGAGTAGCAGCGAGAGTAAAAGCTCTTTTGAAAAACAACGATGCCAAGCGACGTCGAGTTGATGAAGGCATATTCAGCTCGTGGAGACAGAGCAGAGTGACACATGGAGCAGATCTTGCATTCCATCAAAACCCAGTGGATGTAGAAACGCAGCAATTTGATGACTTTGTTGCCCCTAGAATTAGTGACGAGACAATGATGAGCCAGCCAGAGCGTCAAGTGCCCAACACATCTCTCCTAACAGATACTACTGTCAATACAAATGGAAAGTCAGTTGGAACAGAGCTTGTTTGTACGTCGAATTCTTCCAATTCAAACGGCACGCTCATTTCACAAAATCAACCCACTCGTCCTGTTGCAGTAATTGCTGAATCGTCCCTTAGGTTTTCATCTCAAGGACTGCCTTCTTCTTGTTCCCTTCTATCTGACAAATTTGATAATTTTCTTGTGAATCGAATTTCTATCAACAGCCTTTTCAAGCTTCCAGAATCTGCCAGTGAAACTAACAAGGGTCATGTATTTGAAATCAAAGGATTCTTCCGACTGCCATTGCCGCTTGATCACTTTGTGGTTAAACCATATGGTCGGACTCTCAAGTTTTCTGGGTTTAGACTCTTTTTATTCGAGGATTTGGGTTCTTCAAATTTAGATTACCTTGAATTGGAGTTCCCAAGTGTTGAAGAAACCTGTAGGTTTCTTGGGCTTTTAGAGGAAGAGGACTGGTTCTTGAAGCATGCCAGTGTCATTCGTGATTTGCAGAGAATTTTAGATAGAAGCGGTCCTATAGCAGCCAGTGTCACGAGGCGAAGTACTAAGTTAGCTGGTGGTAACACTGAGAGAAGCTACTGGACTTGTTGTGGAACTTTGCAGAGCTTGCTGCAAGGCTTTTAAGGAATTGTAACAAAGTACTGACAACTAATCCCTCTCATGCATACGGAAATAGTGTTTTACGCCTACCATAATATAAAAAGATGCTATATTTTTCTTATCGCCAAGATTAAGTTTAACTATTTGCAATGAGAACAATAAGCCTTAGTAGCCACAAGACAGATTCCCATCGAAGGATAAATTAACCGCAGCAGGCGAGGCTGATAAGATCATTCTTTGCACTATAAATATCTGGGTGTGCGTCGCTCCACGTCTAAAACGTAGACTCCAGCCAGCGCGATGGCACGCTAATTTTAGAAGTGCACGCGGCGCGGCGTACTGCCCCTTTTTAGCGCATTCACACTGTAAACATCCATACTATAAAGAATAAAGACTCAGGAGTTTTTTGATCTTTTCTTAATTTTAAATCGATTCTAAATGTTTATTCCTTCCATTGATATCTGCCCTGCTAAATTACTCTCCCGTGACATATCTGGAGATGTGACTTCAACTGCTAAAAGCTTCAAGTCCTGGGATACTTGTATGGACAATACTGCTTGCAAAGTCATTGCTATCGTGGGCATTGTGTTAGCGAGTCTTGTGGTGATGTGGGCCATTTCTACCGTCATTAGATGCGTATGTTTGGGCTTCTCATGTCTTGAGGCCTTATTTTGCTGTTGTTGCAGGTCAACTTCTAGAGGGTATCAAGACAAACAGATTCAACCGTACGAAAATCCGAACATGTATGTCCGGACAGCTCCCCCCATGTATCAACAACAACAACAATACCCAGTTTCTCAACATGCATACGTTCCCCAGCGGAGTATGGAACTTGGATCGGCCCATAATGGATACGAGCCAGCGGGGTACCAGGTGGTTGATTCACATTCAAGAACCGATCCATTCCAAGATCATAAGACATCTTATAGAGGAAACAACTTTTAGGTTTCTCCTCACATTTTAACGCACTGAAACCCTAACGGCCTATATCTTTTGTACACTAGTCCTTTTTATAATATACATTTTTAGTATTTGCGATTTTTGTAAAATTTACTGGAACTGCTGCAAAAATACCCCAGATATCTTGCATTAAAACAATCAAGTTGTATGAGTGCACGCAACGCTTCCAAAGCTATATACAAAGGTCACCACCTTGACTTAGGTTGTTTTTCACGTCCTCATAATAAGCCATTAACATTAATACTTTGTTTAGATGGTACACAAAACGAGTTCGGTCCTTTGCCATTTTCAAACTGCTTGAAAATCTTTAGCATGCTAGATAAGGATAATCCAAGTCAAATATGCTATTATCAACCTGGTGTTGGGGCTCAGTTTGATTTGTATGATGGTGTATATGGCCCTCTGAAAGTGTTTACTTCAGTGATTAATTATTTGAGGCGCCAGATTGATGCCATTTGGGCGGTTAGCTTTTCAGCCCATGTTAAAGCGGCTTACGTTTTCCTTATGCGGTTCTACAGAGAGGGGGACACTATTTGTTTAATTGGTTTCAGGTAATTAAATACTCAAAAATATGGGGTCTTGCTTAGTGATATTAACAAATTATTAAAGCAGAGGTAGTTTTGCAGCCAGGATTTTAGTGGGAATGTTGGAAAGTGTTGGGCTTCTCAACAGGGGCCACGAAGAAATGGTTCTGAGAGCATGGCTGATTTATTCGAGTTGGGAAAATGCTGGTCAGCCATCCCACCTAGAGAACGGTTCGTTGATAGCTGAGTTTAAAAGGACTTTTTGTCGATCCACTATTCGAGTACATTTCATGGGATTGTTTGATTGTGTAAACTCAGTAGGGCTTATAAACGACAGAATGTTTCCTTATTCTAGCATGAGTGCTATTGTGGACCATGTGAGACATGCCATAAGTTTGGACGAACGTCGGGGAAAGTTCAAACAAGTTATGTTTAAGCTGTATAGCTATTTACCCCATCTTACCGACGTGGAACAGGGAGAGTACAGCTGTGAAGGGAGTTCAGAAACTAATAGTCTTTTACCCAAGGAAGGAAGGTACTTGAGTTTTATGAGAAGTTTGTTTGCCAGGTTCTTCGGAGATTCTTCAATGAAGAATCCCAAAAATGACCACCAAAGCCAAGATACAAAAGAGGTGGTATTTCCAGGAAATCATGGCGATGTAGGTGGAGGTTGGTTAGATCCAGACACAGACCATATGCTTTCAAATATCCCATTAAGGTGGATGCTATCTTATGCTATAAAGTACGGAATTTCATTCAAGCCTGAAGCAATTGAAGAGTTTAATACTTCATTTTCAGCTACTTCAAGTCTTTTAGCCCATGATCATGACATGTTAAAGCTTCACACTTCTGTTACACCTAGATACATCCGTGAGCTCCCTGATCGTCCAATTCAAGGTAATAATGGGTTTGGAACGTCAAGTGCTTTTCAGATGATTATGTGGTGGGCTGTTGAGCTTTTTCCAATCGGTATTAAGATTGAAGATGAATGGGGACAATGGAGAAACTGGTATGTTCCTAATTTAGGAAGACCTAGGAAGTTTCCCTCTGACATTCATTTACACTGGAGCGTGTTCTACAGAATGCATTTTTTTGAAGATTATCTGCCAAAAAATTTACCCCCAGATTTGAAGACGAAGTTCCTCGAGCTGATCAAGCCATTCGAAGGTAACATTGAGTCACAACAGTTACAGGAGCTCCTCTCAGACTTCAATGTAGAAAAGATTAAAGGTACTTGGGAAAACAAAATCTGGCATCAGATACCTGATGAGCTTTGCCAGACTTTGAACAATAACCAGCTTTAATGCATTATATATTTTAACTATTTGAAGGTAAAATTGTTTTTCAGAATAACTGTTAACTTGATTCGATAATTTTCAAGCAGTATATAAATAAGGAATTATTCTATCGATGCTTTAGGAACTTGTTTGCTTCATCATGGGACATTGGAACATACTTTGGTTTAACCAACAAGTAAGGTCTCTTCGTCAGTGAAGTCGTATTCTGGAATTTCCAAGTTCAATGGAGCAGGTCCCTTTCTGATTCTACCGGATATATCATAATGAGAACCGTGACATGGACAGAACCAACCACCAAAATCACCAGATTCACCAATAGGCACACAACCCAAGTGAGTACAAATACCCAACATAATCAACCACTCAGGCTTCTTGACACGGTCAGCATCAGCTTGAGGGTCTCTCAATCCGTTGATTTCCACAGCATTAGCCTCATCAATTTCACTGGCAGTTCTGTGTCTGATGAAGACTGGCTTACCTTGCCATTTGACAATAACATTCTTACCCTCTGGAATAGCTCCCAACTTCACTTCAACTTTGGCCATAGCCAACACATCAGCAGAAGCAGCCATAGATGACAAAAAAGTCTCCACGGTGGATTTAGCTCCAGCAGCGGATAATAAACCCATTGAACCAACCATGAAGTAGGCAAAGTTTCTGTTAGTGCTCTCACTTCTGTTGTGTAAATAACTGGAGAAATCCGGTTGGTCATACGAAGACAACGTCTTGGTAGTCGAAGATAAGGATCTTACCGAGTTCTTGACTGTCAAACCAGCTCTAAATGTTCTAGACAACATCATGTGTTTGTTTAATAGGTGATTGAAAACTTGCGATTTATATATATTTTGAGTGGAAAAATTGAGAAAATTGTTTTTTCATACCCTCTCATTGGTCCTTTTTTCATAATGATACGTAGTGCATGAACCCATTTATTCAAAGCTTCTCACTTCTTTTTTGGCTGCAATATACCAACGCCTACGTTACACTCAGAAATCAAAATACATCTATTCTCCCAAAAATAACCAAAAATAACCTATTTTATACCAAATCCACTAGAGCCTTGAATTGCCATACTCAACTTTTCGTACAACTTTTCCTTGGTTGCATACCGATGAATTTCTAATTCATTGAAACAGGTGTGAGCAGTAGGGAGCCTCTCGGATTCAGAACCAGCCTTCTTTATAGTTAAGTTAAGATTTTGGATACCAGTGGCAGGTATTCTATCACTTCCTGTAACGAAAGAAAGAAATTTCTTTTGTTCTTTGTAGCTTAGTTCATTTAGATACTCCCAAAGCCAATTAATAAGTTGACTGTTCTGTGCTTCTTCGCTATCCTTCCATCCAAGGTATTTCGTGACAGATCTCAAAATTTCGAGATCCAACTTCCCTTCTTCGTTACCACATAAAAGCAACTGAATTTCTTCAGGTGAAAACAAGGAAAGACCATTTCCACTGGTGACTGAGCAGAACCCTTTCAAAAGAGAGTCCGTTTGCTCCGCAACTCCGTCGGTTAAGCGGAACTTAGCATACTTCTCAATATACAAGTCTCTATTCTTTGAAGTCACTTGTATGTTCTTGCCATCCGGAACAAGTTCCCTATTGACGACGTTATGAAATAAGTCAAAGATGGAAATCTCGAAACTTAGATCAAGCATATTGAGCTCCTCATCGCTTAAGCTCTTGATCTTGAAAAGGTTTCTTGACAAATCCGGATGTAATTGCTCAAAATCACTGAACCCCAAGGGAATTTTCAATAGCATCTTATAGAATGCAATTGGGAAGTTTAATTCCAAGATAGTAGAATTGTAAACCGCCAATCCCAAAACTGCTCCGAAGAGGTAATAGTTATCAACATTGTTTATGGGTACCAAATTGAACCAATGATAATTAGACTCTTCTACATTAACCAACATACCCGTTTCTGGACTTAGCATAGCTTTAGTTAGCAACAAGAACCATTCTTTTCTTAAGCCTCCAGCATCAATACCTGCTTCTCCAACAAACTGGACTTTCAAACTCTTTTTCAAGTTCTGTTGGTTAGCAAGAATACAATTCAATGAATCTTGGACGAAGTGTGATCGTCTAACACGCACCCTGAAGTAAACATCCAAGGGTACTCTTCTATCCAATGAGTTTATAAATGCCTCCTCTGCTTTCCTTTCCATAATCCTTTTGGCTTCATACTCTAAAATGGATATTTTGTTTCCTAATGTTATCAAAAACGGGTATTTGCTGAAGAAAAAGGTGGCAGAAGAAGCAAAAGAATTTTGGTTTCCATTGATATAATCAATAACTACCAGAAGCTCTGGATTGTCACCAGGTTTTTGGTCTTTGAATTTCTTATTGCTAATCCACGAGTCAAAGTCCATTTTGAGATTCACATAATCTACCAATGAATTGTAAAATATTGAGACATGCAAACTATCCGCTCTTATATTATAAGCTTCAAGAAAAGACTGTAACACAATAGATGCAGTCTTCAAATGCCAGTCATTACCATATTGATAAATCCTTATTTTTGTAGTCAGATCCTTGGACTTTTTAGATTTGGTCCTGCCAAAATTTAAGGGACCCGTTGGTAAAGGCAGCGAGCCTGAATTCATTTGTTCAATTTGTTCTTTGAAAGACGAGTTTTGAAAGTATTCTTCATCAACATTGTTTCCCGGGCTGGGTATCAGTAATTTTCTCCTATGTTCTGGATTATTTGCGATGTAGAAGTATTTTTTCATGTGGAAAGTGATGTACACATTTATTAGATCCACTTTAGAAACAAAGTCACTGGATGAGTATCTGGAAAACCAACTAGTGATATAGTTCTTGACCCTCACAGATTTGATATTAGACAATATGCCCAACACACGTTTGATCACATCATAACACAAAGCTTTGATTTCCGGGGAGTCTATCATTCTTGTACAGGGAGGATTTGATTTAGATTCGTAATGAGTCAAAGCGTGGGACAAAAGAGGAATCTGAAACATTATCAATAAGAAACAATAATTCCTAGCATCCTCTCCAAAACTAACTGGTATTCGTCTCAATAGTGTTGAACATCCTTGCAAAGCATTATACAAAGGTCTTTTTGTGGGAAGTTTCGTCAAAAGGTCGAACACTTTTTGAATATCTTCGTAGTTAATATTGGAAGTCGAGTAGTGAATCTTGGAGCTGGATTTTTTAACCTTGAATGAATTGTTCACACACCCATAATTTTGGAACGCCGTGTAAAGGTAGTTTGAAAGAGGTTCAAATATCTCATGAAGTGTCTTGTGCTGGTTATCATGAGCATCCGCTAAACATTTTTCTGCCACTCTTTTCACATATCGAAAGGAGATGGTATGGGGTACATGGGAGTCTTTCATATAGTAGTCTTGAAAGTCTTTCAAGAGGTTCACCGTATGACAGATTGAGCATTCGAACTTAGAGGATATCTGTGGATGTGATAATAGAGTAGCACAACATATGCAATTGGAGACAATTATGTCGTTTGCTGGGTCGGTATGTTGTTTTGTTGGCTCAATGGGCTTTTCTTTAAGTTTGGGACTTGATGAGATCTTCAACATATCAAATAATCGCCATTGGGATGTTGACTGGGGAATATCGGGACTTGAAGCCACTTCTTGAACCTGACAACTAGTGAGTGTGGGTGCTCCAGGAGAAGTAAGAAAGTGCCTCTCTTGATCGTGCAAACTTCCTTCCATACAAATTCTAAATGACTGATATGTGAAATGATATTTATGGCTATGGAAATTAAAAAGTTGGCTTGCTTCGTTATCTTCTCTGATTCTGGTTTTGTTTGTGCTTGCAACCTAAAAATCTAAAATTAACGCGAACAGCTTCTGTACATCACTTCCTAATGGTGTATGTGCTTTCAGAAACAAGGCCACCGAATTGTACAAAACATTGTATCTATGCAAATGTGTATAAAGACAAAACACCATGCCTCGTGATTAATAAAATCAATCGACTTGAGTTCCATACGGTAGTCGATACGGCTGGCACTCCATCATTATGGTTTCTTGATTCATTATATATTGATGAGCCTATTCTTGCATTAGACAAGTTCGAACACCCCAATTTACCAACTGATTGTTTATTGTTATTAACAGAAACCTATCAACTACTATTTCTTTGGTTTGATCCAACATTATCTCGATTTTCTATTTTGAGTACCATTACCTTTGATGCCAGTAACCAACAATTGCCATCAGATGCATTGCCTAAAATCATTATTGATCCTTCACCGAATCCAGAATTCTTTTTGGTGTACTTCTTCGAAGGGTTTTTGCAGGTCTTTATCATTAACAACCTGTGGAGCCCATCTGATGGAAGTGCTAACAGACCAAAGAGAAAACACGATCAACATGAAATTGTTGAGGAGTTCACATCTTCTATCGGGGGTATAGTTTTTCAAGACATCAAAATACATCAAAATACAGGGTCAAGCAAAGTTTTCTCCGTGCTTTACAGAGATTATAATTATGCCTATTCTTTACGCTCGTACCTGCTTGACATTAACAACAAAAGCATCTCAATATTACGACAATTTGATGAATTCAATGAGGCACCAACAACTTTGATAAACCCAACTAATGGGGGACTTTTGATACTTACTGATAGCTACATTTTCTATTTTCCTAACCCTGAGATTACACTTCTTGAGTTATCTGACAACAACGCTGACGCCAATATTTCATGCAACTCAGAGGAATGTGTGATAACAAAGAGATTGACCATTTCTGGGAGTACTGATATTTCTGCTTTTAGCTACTTCACAATTATTGACGAGAGGAGAATCTTGTTAGTGAATAATCGGGGTGAAACCTATTTGCTCTTTTTCGATTCAGTCAAGAAGTCTAAATCTTTATTCCAGGTTAACTCAATTTCATTCGTTAAGCTAGGTCCCACCACAGTGCCTATTAACGTGCTTCACATAACTGATAATGTTTTTTTCGTGGCCTCAAAGCTATCTCAATCAGTATTGTTTAAAATTTTGACTAAAGAGCCATACATTGACATATGCCAATTTGTCAGTTCATCCCCCCCAGTATTGGATATTCAAGTCCAAAATAACGGAAACCAAATAGAACTTTTCACTTGCCAAGGAGGTTATGAAAGTGGTGAATACAGAAGAATCTCAAATAGACTAAGTTATCTTGATTTCAAAAAGAGCTTTCAATGTGAATCAAAGCACAGTGATATATCCGAATTTTTCAGGTCAGATGATGAAGCAATAATAAGGGTATATGATCCAGAAATACAGAAAGCCCAGTACTTCAGCCTTAATAGCAATTATTGCTATCAACATTTGGAAACCAAGAATACAGAGACAATTTTGACGAAAAAGGATGCTTCTGGTCTATTAGAGGTATCACAGGAAGAAATTTCACTAAACGGTACAGTTATTAACAAGATGGGGGTTCTGAAAGTGAAAGCAGTAAACTCTACTCTGTTCGTGGTTCTTGATAATGAAAATACATTTCACGTTTACTCAGAGGTCTTGATACAAAGTGTGAAATTAAAAAAAAGTACAGAAGTTTCAGCCATGGACGTGGTTAATGTTTTCGAGCGGGAGTATTTGATCTTGATTTGTTTTTGGGATGGATCTTACGAGTTATACCTGGTTTCGGATTCGGAATTTGAGCTCGTGAGAGAAGAGAAGCCGTCGCGAAACGGAGTACCTATTTCATCATGCTGCCTTGTTTATGACTATCATCAAAAGCCAGGGTCTACGTGGATTCTTCTCATTACTTCTAACAACGATTTGATTCAAGAATTTCTTGATTTCCGGAAAAATGAAATAGAAAGTAGCAGGAGTAGAATTATTCACTTGGATGGAATACCCTTCAAATTTACCAAAAATCAATTGAATGAAGTAATAATCTTTAATAAGAAGAAGATTTTTGGACTATACAACGACAAGACAACAAATTTCAACAGGATTTTTGTATTAGATACGCTAAATCCTCGTTTGGATATCAATGATATCACCTTCATAGGGAATAAGCATCTTGCAATTTCATCAAATACAGATGAAGTCTTCATTTATTCTGTCGAGTCTTTTGATTCCACTAAAGATGTTATTTTTTCGAATAGCTTCAACATTAAGTCCGTAAAGATACCTAGATTCAAACAGGCTTTACTACTATCTTCAAAGAATGCTTTCATCAATGAAATTAATGATTATAGGAGAAATTCGTACTTACAATTAGTGGATTTGGGTCAAATGAAAGTGATTTCGAAGGTTGAATTCCCAGAAACCAAACCCGTCGAATTGGTTGACATTTGCATAGTTCCGACCATCGGTTTAGACTCACAATCTAGTGGTCCTGGAGTTTATGCAATAGGTCTTTGTAATTCCACTAGCCCAAGTGAAATCATCAGGATTTTCCAGATTAAAAAGGGCAAATTGAATGAACTTCCAATGATAAAGATACTTGGTTTGTCAGATATATCGAAGTATACATTCCAGAATATCCAGCTTATCGATAAAAATAATAACTATTATTTGGTTTCTGGTGTGATAAACTTCATAATTAAACCTCGAAGTTTGCATGAGTGGGTGGTTCTCCCAGACTGCGTGCATGCATCACCGGTATTTTCAGTTGCTGCTTCTTACTTCGATCGCACGTTAATATTTGGTGATGTTGTAAAGGGTATTACCACAGTGAATTTGAAAGTCGATGAACAAGAAAGTATTGCGTTGGACAAGGATACCACAAGAACATTTTTGGAAACAACTTTTGTGACCGATGTGGTGTCATTTGTTTCTGAAGATGGAGAAATTATTTTCATCACCGATTCCACGGGTAACTTTACTGGAATAACTCTCAGTAGTGAGCTTGAGAACGAAGGTATTGAAGATAACTCGGACATAAAAGACTTCAAGGAAATTATCTCGTATAATCTTGGTGATTCAATCAATTTGGCTACTTTAATTCCTGAGGCACACCATGAACGAGATTTTCATTCAAATTTTGATAAGATAGAGCAAGAAACATCGATAGTAAGAGGCAAAGTTTTGATGGGAACAGTGAACGGAGGTATTTACACTTTAAGTGAACTTATTGATACTGATGAAGAGATTCAAGATATTATTACCGAATGCTCTAAAGAGCTCATATTGTTTAAGCATACGCTATCTGACATCCAGTACACCAGCAAACGTGACAAGTACAATATGTGGTTAAGCAAGAGAGAAAAAAGACTTTTACAGCAAGATAGCAGTGGTCAACTATCTAAAAAGCCCAATAAAGGAGTGTTGGACTTAATATTTATTCAGTACTGGTTGAATAGAGATGCTGTTTTGAGGCAGCACGATCTAATTGATGAATCAGCCCAAGAATTGGAAGAAATGAAGAATTCATTGAGATCCTGTTATAAGCATCAGAGCTTGCTTCAAAGAATAGTATTTGATGTCCAAGGTGTCTAGTAAGCTCATAGCTGTGAAATCAAATGTAAAACGCATCCTATTTTTTTCTCGCTCTTCAAAATATACAAACATCCAAACTTGCAAACGCCATAACATGGATACCGCCGTTCAAGACCCTTTGTTCAGCAAAGGTTTCGACGACATTGAAATGTTGGATATAGGGGAAACGTCTTCAGATATAGAATCTATATCTAAGTCGTCAATACCTTCAGCCATGGGAAGTGAGGATTCGGAGCCAGTCGTTTTGAAAGAATGGTTGAATTCAGACAAGCCATTGAATTTTCATTTCAACTCAAGAGAATACAAGAATAGTGTTGAAGCCAAAGATGAATTTTCAGTACTCCATTCCAAATACGCAACGTCCCTTTACAGGGTAATTGAAAGTCTTGGAGAGTTGGATTTGAGAAGAACTGATGATTACGACGAGCCATTTGGGTTGATAAGAAGTGATAGATTGGCTGGTACGCAAGACCAGAACAAAAAACGAGAGCTGAAGATAACATCTGCCTTCTTGAAATTAAGTGATGAGTTGAACCAGTTTATTGCTGGTTTGAGAGAAATTGATTCCGACTACCCTTTAAACTATGAATGTCTCTTGTCTATAATCGATTGCTTGCATGCCAATGTATTCTACAATTCGGTAAACGAAAAGCCTAATCACTTGGTCAGATGGGTAAACCGATTTGATCTTAAACCAGAAGAAGAATTGGTCGAGGAGATCATGGTAAAAACTACCACACCATATCAACACCCTCTTTTCTGGACCAAGTTCATTGCTAAGTTAATTACCAGAGGTTTATCGGATCAATCCGCAAATGCTATCAAGAATTCGGGATACGAGCACTTGAAAGAGGATGATATTGAGTTATTTCAGTTAATAGAGGATTTTATCGGCTTATTGGAGAGCTATAACACCATGTCATTAAAGAAAGAATTTGCTCAATGGAAACTCTCATGCTGTGAATTCAGAGACCTAATTCCTAAGTTAAAGACAAATATCAAATCCCCCGCAAATATAATTGTATTGGAGCAAATCCATGACTTAGCTTATATATTGACAGGATTACCCAAGACGACCGCCAATTATTGTGACACCTGGTACGAAATTGTTACTTGCTTATCTTTGTTCCAGATTAGAGATGATGACTCCATGTATCCCCAATACTTCGACATTGCCCTCGAAGAAAAGCCACCTTTACTCATTGACAGTGAAGATATTCTCAAGAGCACCGAAAGGGCTTTCTTGAACGTATTTGAAGGAAGCTATTTGCATGTTTTGACGAAGATTGATGAAATCGATAGTGCAACAGCAGCTCTCGTTTCAAGACTCTTCGAATTGAAAGGGTTATTCTCGAATTATTACACGATTGATGATGACAAAGATCTCAACCGATTGAGAACGGGTAAAACCATTTCGGAGTACTTGTTAACCAAATTTGCTTTTCAATGTCTCAATACCCACCCATTGGCACCGGTAGGCATCGGGATATTGTTGAATGAAAACATTGAAAGCAGCGTACTGTCTATTAATAATAACAAAACAATCATTGAAGAGTATCTACCAAAGTATCAATGCAAGTCAAACGATGATCTTGAGTGGTGTTTAACAATTTGTGCCAAATTAGGTTTGGTAACAACTGCTAGTGAATTGTACCGGATCTATGGAACCAAATCTTTGAAAGATGGCTACCTTTATGAAGCCTTGAACATGCTTGTAAATTGTTACAGTGCTGATGGTAATCTTGAAGCTAATCAAAAGGGTATGAAAGAGGTGCATTACATTGTTTGGGAATTGATATTTCAGGACACTTTGCTCAATAATAGACCCATAAAAGATGAGTTGATAAATAATGTTGTTAAACATGAAACAGATCCCACCTTCGAAGTTCACCCAGTTATCAAGCAATGTCTTTCTCCTTATGCGGTTTTATTCGAGTTCTATAATTCTATTTCCAACCCTATCGCTCCAGATACAACGGTGATAATGGCTAAGAGCAAAACCTCTAGGATACTTCATTTGCTAGAGTTCACCCATTTACCTAAGAAGTTCTATCCATTGTTATTAGCTCAGTTGATTCCTTTTTTCATTGATGATATATATCAATTTCAAATACCTGAGCTAATTGTGATTATTGAACTCATCGATAATTTCGAACAACAAACAAGTCCAGACGATTTCAGAAAAGCTCAAGAGTTGTATAAACACTCGATTACAAATTTTGACAGAACTCAAGCTGAATCATACGATTGGAGAATAAAGATCAACCTCAAACAGAGAAGCATTCCTGAATCAGTTGGAGATTTGACTCGACTTCTTAGAAATGAGATTGTCACCCAAGTTGGCAAGGTGTACGTACATAATGTCTAGATCACACATAGAAAAGTTTTTATATTGCAATTATCTGTATGTATGTATCAAGGTAGTTAATTGTTCCCTTTGAGAAGTGAAGTATCTATTTTGAATTTTTCAATTTCCATGGACAAACAAGAGCTGTCAAAGTCAAAAGGTAAAATTAACAGGTAACATCTTGGTTAGCTCTAGAGTTCAATAACAAAGCAACAATTAACCCATACAAACCCAACACTTCGGCGAAAATCAAAATCAAAATCATTCCAACGAACAATCTTGGTTGTTGAGCAGTACCTCTGACACCAGCATCACCGACAATACCAATGGCAAAACCAGCAGCCAACCCAGACAACCCAACGGACAAACCCGCACCCAATTGGATGAAACCGGTGTACAATGCTTGTTTTTGACTCAAAGAATCAGAAACCAACACTGAAACCACCAATCCATAAATAGCAATGATACCAGCCATAATGACTGGAACAATGTTTCTAACCAACAAGTCAGGTCTCAAGACACAGGTAGCACAAATACCCACACCAGACTTAGCAGTTCCGTAGGAAGCACCGAAACAGGTGAACACAATAGCGGCAGCACAACCAATCGAACCAAAGAAAGGAGCGTAAACTGGACTAAGAGAAAAAGTTAGTATTAGTCAACGGGGTGGCATATCATGACAATGAGTAGAATAGAGATGATTGCTTATGTGTGAATGCAATATCCAATGTCACTTGAAGATGGATTAAAAACGATTGTAGTCAATTTGGTCGTCTTGAAATTCCAAGGCTGGTGGGCGATAAATAGCAGACAACATGACCTGGGAATAAACCATCAAACTACCACAATGCCATAAGCAGAATGAAATACATACCATAAATCAGACATTATTGATTACTGGCGAACGGAGTGATTGACCTTTTTTTATTCAATAATAAAACTCACAGATGTGATGTCGAAGGGAATTATTATCAAAAAGGGATACAACTGGAAGAAAATGATAAATTTCGGTGAACTCCTCTACGCAGGTTGGGCTGCCCTTGGGACAAATTAAACTCGTGCTTGAGAGTTTATTACAGCACTAAAACAACAGACCGCGCAGAGAGATGAGCCAGGGAAATTTTTCTTTTCTGTAACTTAGGTGAGCTATTGCAAGGAACCAAGAACAAAACTTATACTCATGTCTGCCCCAAACCCAAAAGCCTTCCCATTGGCCGACTCTGCTTTGTCCACTCAAATCTTGGACGTTGCTCAACAAGCTCAAAACTTAAGACAGTTGAAAAAAGGTGCTAATGAAGCTACCAAAACCTTGAACAGAGGTATTTCTGAATTCATTATTATGGCTGCTGACACTGAGCCTATTGAAATCTTGTTGCACTTGCCATTATTGTGTGAAGACAAGAACGTTCCATACGTTTTCGTTCCTTCCAAGGCTGCTTTGGGTAGAGCCTGTGGTGTTTCCAGACCAGTTATTGCTGCTTCTGTCACCACCAATGATGCATCTGCTATTAAAAACCAGATTTACTCTATCAAGGATAAGATTGAAACTTTGTTGATCTAGATCTAGTTTCTGTACATTAGAATATAAATCACTCATTTGATAGGTCGTAAAGTGTCGAGGAGGCTTTACAAGCTTCTTTACAGGCTTATCCTTAAAGCAAGTAATGAAGCATCAGGAAATCACTCTTAATCCTGGTGACTTGAAGGTTTCATCTAGCGTTATTTGAGTTTTTACATTTCAAGACTCACTGTAGTTTGCTCACTTTAAGTGCGATTTTTTGAGATGAGCATCTTCAACATCGAGATGGAGTCCATACAAAATACACAGACGTTGACCCGATTCCTCCGATCGAAAGATGAACTGCTTGATGACATTTTAATGGTTATAAAGAAGCTACTAGACAATGAGTTCGATTTTAGTTTCTCTAACTACAACCTTTTCCTTCTCGAGTTGTTATGTGATAGAATCAATGATAACAACAAATTTAAGAATTGGAAGTTCAGTACACAAGTGTGGAAGTCTTTCAGCCAAGTATGGAAGAAAATGATGGATATTATGGCTAGGGACAGAACCTTCAGAAGAGTAAAGTTTCTTGTGAATCTTGAAAAGATCTTTTCCCAGTTTTATGAAATCAATGATACACAATTTTATGAGCAGCTCCTCGAAGTCACCGAAATGATTTACTCTCAAGTTGTGTTATATGCGGATGAAAGCAGCTGTATATCCTTCTTGGAATCATTTTTGAATATTTATCAAACTGATCTTGACGATGATTTATTAGTACGTTGGACCACTCTTGCCAAAAAACTTTTCAAAATTTACAGAAATGATATTAATTATGTTGCTTCGAAGAAGAGTACACAAAAGTTTTTTCACGGATGCCTTTCCAAGCTTTTGAATAACATTCAAAACTTAGATGACTCCTTAAATCAATGTCGAGCTATTCTCATCAGCATAGTCGAAGAGAGGGTTTTCAGCGGAGACTATACTGTCACATTTCAAGTCCATTTCAAAGAACTCTTGAAAGGGAAACTACCAGAGTCTTCTGTTGGCTTGTTTTACAAAATTATTGTCAAAAACATCGGTAACAAGAATCCCAAATTTTGCGAAGAAGTATACCTTGCAATTATGGAAAAGTACAATAGTATGTCTGAATCGTTGATTGAAATTCTATCGTCCTCAAATAAACCATTAACAACAAGTTTTTTTGAGTCAGTGCTTGATAAAACTTTAAGCATTGGGCCTATTAATTGGAAATTGGTTGGTTATATCATCAATTTAGATTCAACGTTGGCCATGGATAGGGCTAATAATATCATTGATATATTGAATGTCGAAGAGGATAAAATCGTTCTTGGCTTTGTTCCGACTCTAATAAGTTCATATGTCAAAGCAAGAGATCTTTACGAGTTCTTGACCCAAGCATGGCTTCGTAATGTCCGGAAAAGACCATGTTGGTCTTCCACAGCTGTTATAGATGCTGTTTCTGATAACATTAATGACTTGTCAAGCACACAACTCGTCAAGGTAATTGAGTATGTCTCTGAGAACGATTTTGAATGCTATCCAATCGTTTTGGCCTTAGTCAAAGGACTCCCCAATTGTTCTACACTTAAGGTTGACTCCTGTGAAGAAGTTTTAAGCAAGTCAAAGTATGTTGAAAGTAGGACCTGGTGGGACCTTAAGTTTTACTTGTTAGTTAACTATCCAAAGATGAGTGAGTATTTCATCGATCGTTTTAACAAAGAGGATATCTCACTAAACGATACCCATTACTACCTTTTTGTATTTCGGTTGTCTGAATTATCAGGAGTGAACCTTATGGATGAACACTTTTCAAAGTCATTTCTTAAACACCTTGAACACGAAGAACAAGGGTTTTGCAAGACGTTATTGCAAAGATGGTGCGTTTTGATGAACAAATTCTTTGATTCTAAAGACCTTCAATCGTTTATCAACTTCTGTATTCAGAAATTGGATAAAACTTTTTGGGTGGAGTTTCTAAAGAGTAATGGTGATATTTTCTTTGAGCAAAAGAATATGGTTTTGGAACTCATCAATGTTATATTGAATTCGAATTCCATTGAAGTGTTTCTGATATTGTCGCTCATTCCCTTTCAATGTATTGATAGACAAACCAGAGCAAAATTAATAGACAAGCTCACAGATGCTCAATTCTTCGAACCAATACAGAATTTATTGACAGTCCCAACTTTCAAATCCAGCATAGAAACAGATTTGAATTGCTCAATAAAAGTCCTTGCGCAGGGGTCCCAGGTTAGCAAAGATATATTCCTGATTATCTGGTTGAATAACTTGCGGCAAGCTAAGTCCGATAACAAGTTTACATCAAAGGCCTTGTCATCACTTAAGAAACATATAAAAAAACGTACCAAAGAAATAACACCAGAGTTTGAAGCCACTGGGTTGGTCATTAAATACACTAATGTTTCCCTTCTACCTCAAGAGGAACAGGAAAGCTTTCTGGAGCTCAAGTCAAAGTACATGAATATTTTAATGAGTATTTCAACCAAAAAAATCAATTCGAAAGCCTCCACGAACACAATCAAAGAATTATTATCATTTTTGGACGACGTACTTGACTCTGCTAGTGCATTAATATCTCCTCAGTTCATTAAGATGGTTGGAAAGGAGGTTAACCATTTAAACGATCATCAAGTCAACAGCCTTTTGTTCAAAATTGCTACAAGGGTTTGGGATATTAGCAACTATAAGCATACATTGTCATTGTTTTTGATATTGTATAAACATGATGATCCCAGCTTGAAAGAAAGTTTGGAGTTCTATCTTTCAAGAGTATCAGATCATGACGATATTTTTTCTGATTTGATTTTATTTGTTCTTACGTCAATGTCCAATTCCTTGACCTCGAATAATAGCCATGTGTTTATTAACTTGTGCAATTCAATGTCAAACAATTTCAAAAAAAACAAGAGATGTGAGTTAAGTCTTGGAGTTATTATATCACTTGTCATCAACAAGTTACCTATTTTAACAGAGGCATCCCTAACACCAATCAAAAAGTTCTTGTCCAATATTAGAACAGCTCTAACTGATATTTCGTGGTGCTTCACACAATACTCAATCGAGCAGGTCATAACTATCGTTACCAAGGTTACATATGGCTTGAATAATTCAAATTTTAGCCAACAGGACGTTCAAGAGACCTACATTTTAGCCACTCAGGTCATGGCACATATCATTCTTTATCACAGATTTAGATTAACCTCCCGGCATCATATGATAATATCTGTGTTTGTTGCATTACTATCACCCTTGACCCTTAAAGGTGGTCCACTCAAGGTGTTCCCAGAAGGATCATCAGCATTTGCCAGACTTTTAAGTAATTTGTGTGAACCGTCTTCCAACTCTAGAAATGCCATAAATAAGCAGTTAACTACTGCGACCAGCATAATTAAGAAGCATTTGAGAAACTTTTTACCGGTGTTACTCGTGAACTACATTTCCTTTTCCTTGACTCAAAATTTCTCCAGAGAAAACAATAACGAGCTTTTGCCCGGAGTGTTCAACATCTTCGATGTTTTATCTCAACGTGAATTAGAAATTGTCAATTCTTGGTTAGATTCACAAGGTGTTGCACTTTACAAAAGTTTGTATAATGACTACAAAGCCTTCGGTAAATGGAAGGAAGCCTGAGTTTAGCATCCATAGCATATTTATTAATAATCTTAGAGAAATCTATTTGCATCATTGTAGAAAAACTTTCCAATATTTTTTTTCAAATTGGATCCAAGGAGCATCATGATTCCCCATACTTTAGCTTCAAACTCTTCTCTTTTCTTTTGATTGGTATCGTTGGAATTAGCCGCACGAGAAGTGAATTCATACCTTAAGACGTCTTTTCTGGTAATAATTCCAGCTAAAAGTCCATTATCTTCCACTAGCATGTATCTAGGCCCCAACTTAGCAAATACATCAAGCACATACTCCAAACTGGTGGAAACACTAATAGTCAAGGGACATGGATTGATAACAGAAGAAAAGTCGACTAGAGAGTCATTCTTAGTGCCCAGATTGAAATTGCAGATGGTTTTATCATCTGCATTTGGATAGTTCTCCATAACATACTTGATATCCAGAGTTGAAACATAGCCAACAATTTTAGGATTGAACTCAGACTCCACCAACGGAAGACCCCTGAATGAGTTTTTAGTAAGAATCGTTTTGAATATCCCCAAGGTCATAGGGGTATCACTTTTAATAGGAATAGTAACAGTAACCGGAGAAAAAGCACTGGCCACACTTGTGTTGAAGACAAATTCTTCCTTCGGGTCGATTATTGGTAATCCATTGAATCTGATCATCTGATCTGCAATACCTCCTTTACCCCATTTATCATTTATCAATTTGGTGATTGAAACAACTATCATAGTAGGAATAATATATCTCAAAGCTCCCGTTAATTCAAACATAATGACAACCACAGCCACTGTTAGGTGCGTTATTCCACACAAAGCAGCAGCAGCTCCTAAAAAGGCATAACTTCCAGGAATGACACATTTAGAATCACCACAAGTAGCAAAAAGGTTTGATTTTTTATTGTTCTGGTAGAGATAGTCAACAATAATCCCTAGAGCCCTTCCAAACGTAGCACCAGCAGCCATAGAAGGAACAAATATTCCTGCAGGAACCTTGCAACCGTATGAAATTATAGTGAATACCATTCTCATTAGGGTTGCAAACAATAGAGATACCACTAAATTTGTTCTTTTAGAGTCTGGCGAACAAATCAGATGTTCGAACTTTGAATTGCATTCGTGGAAAAGAATCTCCATTGACTCCGTCATATCAAGTCGAAGAAATTCATTAAAGTAGCAGATAATAGCTGTCAATAATGCTAACAAAAAAACCTCTCTAATCGCAAAATTATTCAAGTACCTCTTTCTGAAAGAAGTTACTCGAATGTTGAGACTTGATACGAATATACCATAAAAACCACCAAAAAGCCCCAATACAATGTACACTGGGATTTCAAAATAATGCCAACTAGTATCATACAGTACTTCGAATATAACCAATTGGCCAGTTCTAAAAGGATTCATGATTGCCAAAGTGCCCACTGCTATAAGAGCACAGAAGTAGGACTTCATTATTGTTGATAAATGGAAAACACTCGATATCTCTTCCATTGCAAAAAGCACACCACCCATTGGTGAGCCAAATGCAACCGCAACACCAGCAGCAGCAGTAGCGGTCAAAAATTCTCTGGACTTACTGGCACTCTTCTTATATTTGGTAAAAGTTTTAGCCACCGAGTTACCAATGCACACCGCGTAATGGACACTTGGTCCCTCTTTACCCACGCTAAGACCAGAAGCAATTGCTAGTGGTAATCCTAGACTCTTTATTAGAAGAGTCCACCAGCCGAGGAACCCTTTCATTGCAAACCCGGACACAATACTTTTGATTTCAGAAATTCCTGATCCAGCAGCAGCCGGAGAATAGAATTTTACCAATACAGCCGCTGTGAGGGAAAATACCAATGATAATAATATGAATATAAGATAATTAATGAACTCAAACCTCGACCATTTATTCCAAGAACTGCAGTTATGCTCATCTTGTCCCCAGCAACAAAATGATTTATTGAGGTAAAGTCCACTCGAGCAGTAACCAGTCCTAGCACTAGCTAACCAAGCAGTCACAACACTTAAGTATGCGGCGACAAGCCCAATCATCATTCCCATAGCCCCTAGTACAAGCCAATTCTGTGCAAACGAAAGAAGCCTCATTCCTAGTGACGTTAGCACCCGAGCATTTCTATTTTTTAATAACGAGTCCCTGTGATTTAGAAGCTCATCCTCAACCCAATCAATTGTCACAAATTCATCGAATCGCTTGACCTCCGCTACTTGCTCTTGATTGAGCCATTGTCCTGTAGTTGGGTCTCTCAAACCACGACTTTCATGTTCCATGAGTATTTCCGTAGCGCGGTTCGAAAAATGAGAGCTAGTATACTACTAAATTATGCAAGGCTCAACTGAAGAAAGAGCCACTAACTTTGAACAAACCAAGTTTGAATAGGTACAATTTGAATAGGTACAATTTGAATTTTCTGTCCAAAGTACTTGAGAATGATTATTAGAATCTATATCTTATTCCTAACTGTAAATCATTCACATGTTCAATCTATTTCTATTAAGTATTAATTCTAATTAAAGGACAAAATTGTCCATATCCTGATTAAAGTTGACAATACTTCAAGGCATTCAGGCGGAAATTCTCTAAGAAGGAGTCGAAATTGTCAACCTCACAGTCCTCAAAGGAATGGTTATAATAGCTAGTAACAATGTTCAAACCTCCTTCTGGTGTAGAAATAAAATTGAACATGAAGTCACTAGTCACTGCACTCACATCTTGGGAGAAAATCATATTGGATATAGTCCAACCATGTTTGTACTCGGGGATTTTTATGAATCCTAAATTCGATAACTTGGATGTTTCAGACTTATTTCCACCAATTCCTGTGAAAAATCCTTCATTATCAGTAAGGGGATTATATGAATCTCTAAATTTCACTGACATATTCAAGAGTTTTTCATTCTTGACAGCTGCCGCAAGATTGCCACTAGCTTTTTTGACATCATCCCAACTAAACTTTTTGAGAGGGGGATAATTCTGAGCTAATCCGAGATTAGCCAGTACCCCCATATTTTTGTATTCCAAATCATCGAAATAGTGTTTGTAATGAGGAGGAGCTTTATCTTTGCTGAAGTATCTACGCAAGGCAATGGCAACCTTATTTACAGTGTAATACGTATCTCCAAATACGGGTTGAAAACTCATCACAAGGACATACTGAAGGTATGCAGTAAGGGTGACACCTTCTTGCTTAGACCTGGCTAGCATCATTCTCAATTCTGATGGAGGGAAATTAGTGAGCTTGAATGCTAATGTATGATTCGTCAGATTGGGAAACCGTCCAGGAAATTTCTTTAGACCAGGGGGAGTAACTTTGTCATAGTAATTAGGATCACCGTCACTATAGTCGAGGTCCCATGATGGAAGATAATCGTCAATTGGGGGTGGCAAAGAGTGAGTTAAGTGGGGAGTGTCCTCCTCCTTCAGGAACAAAACATCATTGTTATTACAACCGAGAGCTGCGTCAGCATCTAAATCGTCCAAGATTTTCAAAAAGACTTCATGGAAGGAACTTGCAGTCACTCCATCAAACAAGGTATGATCAAGGACGACTGAAAGTGTATATGGATCAAACAATACTACTTTGAACAAGGGCTTTTGAACGTATAAATCAAACTGATAATGATTCAACCACGTCATCGCTGCCTCTGTAATAACACCTTTATGCAAAAATGTTTCTGAGTCTTGACTTCTATCCACAAATACGTCATCAAACATGACCCTATCTATTGGTTTCATCACATACCCCCCCTCTTCAAGGAAAACGTTACATGCAAAAAGATGATAATCAAGGAGGAACCTGCGAAGCGCTGCCGCCAAGTTATCTCTGGTGAGCGGTTTTGAGTATGTGGAGGCTACCTGGAAAGTCTTATAGAACCGATTGGCAGTTCGGCATCTGAAGAAGTTTTCGTAAACAGATAACGGTCTCTGGATAACAATTGAGTTAATCATAATAGGAGATGATTCGCGATTTCAATTTTCTATGGTAAGGCTTTCGGAGTATTCTTAGCTGTTTACCGTTTCAAGCAAGTCCATTACTTAATCAGAAATTTGATGAATGGTAGAAGCAGATAAGTACTAAAGGTTGCTTCTTTAAGTAGATATTCATAACGGCTGTTAAAAAAACACCGTTTAATACAACTATCTTACCTCTCCTCTCTACAATGTTCAGGGTCTGAATCAGTGGTCGATCACTAACAGCTATTCACCAGCCAAATAACTAATCAAGTTAAGCTTTATCGGTGCCATCTATTCTCATCATGAAGAGCTTTACAGAAACAAAATCTTCATAACCTTATAGGCTGCGAAAAACACCCCAAAAAGATGATGGACCATGCTGTATTCTGCTGGATTCTTGGTGCTAGGATTGGGAGAAGTGTTCTTGAGTGCTCCATATACATTCTTTTGGGTTAAAGACAGCGATTTTTGTGAACAAAACATAACCCATCTAGAACCTAAACTCCAAACAGTGCTATTGGTATTAGTGGTAACAATATTTTTATGCACACAGTGAATTTTCCTCGTATATACCAGTTGGTAGGTAAAGTCGTTCCCATATGAGACATGTTGACATTTGGGGTACTATGAACATACTTCACTGATAAATCATGGTTATTATCTGCATTTGATCAAGTTGACTTTTACCCTGTTAGCGAAGCTGAAATCGATAAGTTCAATGAAGAAATATGCGGTGGTAAACGCAAGCCAGACATTATTGAAAGTGTATTTATCCATGCCAAATACTTGGACTGGATTCAAGAACACACCAATTTGACGAGCCTTTAAAGAACCAAGGGGGTGATAAGTTGGAAGACTTCAACAGGTTGATTCAGGTTTCTAATACGATTTGATAACCCGGCCAACCCATCGGAGCCATTAAAGAAGACTTTGGAGTGAACCTTAAGAAGGTTTACTAGGAATATAGTGGGGGATTCTGGAAGCAATTTGAGGATGCTACTCAAGTCAATACAGGTGATGGGTTGATTGTGTAGGAAGCCATGGAAATGTAAAAAGGTGGTGAGTGCCACTAAGGATGCTGAGTGTTAAGATATTCCACAAGAATGGAGACATGATTATGGCTGCTGATTCTGTTGTAATTGAGTGGATAACATAATGTAAGTACATATAGTAATTTGTTCTCAGATTCTAAAAATGTAGCGAGCTATTTGTGGCTGCAAAATCCAGAAGACTCCATTTTGGTATTACTCGTTACAAATGAAACACCATCCATGAAACGAACATATAAGCTTTCTGTATCTGATATGCAAGATACATTAACTTTTGAGTCTTTGACAAGATTCTCTACTTGGAGAAGTTGGGAAAAAGCTGTAAAAGCTAGAAAATTCAGGGTATTAAATAAAAAAGTAGGATAAATGAATGACCACTTGTAGTTAATCTGCAGACTATATTGATTATGGTACTGTAGGTTGCAAAATAGGAAAGAACAGAGCGCCGAGGGGACCTCTTTTCCTATATTTAGGAAAACTGTCCGGTATACATTCAGAAATACTTTGTCTTTGTAAACTTGCCCCTGCATAATTTACGAGAGTGCGTCTTTTGGCTGCAAATTGTATGTGTGGGCTTTAAGAAAATTACGACTATAAAAGGGGCAGATTTCCCCCTGTCTCTGAGAATTTAGGATTTTTTGATTCTACTAGTAGCTACAATGGCCGGCTTCAGTAAATCGATTTACCCCTTTAACGGCAAAAATGCCCCCCAAAAGTTCATTACTTGCCCCCACCTTGCTTCTGAGTTCAAGCTATACAACATCTTCACCATTCTTGACGATTTAGCCACTGTACCAGGAAAGACCATTAGGAGTGCCAACAAGCATTCTCTTGGATATATTGGTGCTACAGCAGACTTTCAACTGTACCACTACTATGACACCTTTGACGGTACTTCTGCCTTGGCGAAGTATGATGGTACTTTTGCTAATGAAGTTGACTACTTCAATTTTGCAGCCATATTTGGAAAGAATGGAAGATGCTTTGGTGATCCTCAAAGCTTAGTTAAGTCTGGTGATATGATTAGCTTTACTTCGGACGTGGATCTCTTACCCTCTTTGGCAAAGATAAAGAACAGTACTCCACTGACTATAACGTTCATGACTTCAACTCTATTTTTGAAAACCACAAAAGCAAAAAACAACCAAAAATCCAAAACACCTACAAAAATTGTAAATATGAAAAAATTACTCTTTACTTACTGCTGAATCGAACGGATTTGATTTCCACACTTTATTCAAGCAAAAGTCCCCCGCTGCTGAGTTTGATGACATTGGATATGAATTGTACACCATCTTCGAAAAAGAACTGGAATGCTCCTTGCCAAAGTTTGAAGCAGTTTCAAAAAAGCCCGTGGAGGCTCGTTTGCCTCTGCTAGAAAATTTTGTGTTGGGAAAGCAAGAATTGGTCTCTTTTCCCAAGGGGAACACTTTACCAAAAGTAGATTTCATGTTGAGAAAGCCCGAAAAGGCTTACTTACCTTTGATAAATCTTTCTATGTCAAAGGGGGCATTGATATCTTTGCCAAACACGGTTTTCTTATCAGAATCTGAAATGGACTTGGACAAGTTTGAGAAAGTCTTTTTGTCAGACCTTGAAAATCTTCCTCTGTCCAAACAGACACCATATCCTTTACCAAATTTGAGTTCCTTACCAAAGTTTGAGTTAGTGTTGAAAAAGGCCGAAAAGTCCTATCTGCCAAAACTTGACATGGTTTCATTTAAAACACTTATTTTGAACCAGTTAGGGAAATTGGGATCTTTGCCAAACATGTATTCCTTACCAAAGCTTGTTATGGATTTAGGAAAGCTTAGAAAGGCTTGTTTGTCAAGGATTGGGAATATTTTTCTGTCAAAGTGGGCATTGAGTTCTTTACCTGAATTGGTAGTGGTACCCAAGTTTGACACTTTGAGAAGGCCAGATTCGGTACATTATCTAGACAGGGGTGGTTCCAAGCGTGAATTGGACTCCTTCCCAAAAATCGTATTAGATCGACTTGACAAGTCTGAGATGGTTCCGTTGTCCAGAAATTATGCTTCAATGGATACTAGTGGTGTTTAAATCAGAGGTATACTTGAGGGACACAAAGAACCATTGGAATGTTCGATTGAACTAGAAGTCTTGGAGTTTTCCCCAAGGTTTCACTAAGTTGGTACTCTGGCTACTGATGGTCTCATTGGAAGCTGTTACGTGTTTTTCATGGAAGCTGATTGGGACAATTCAGTTAGTTTTGAGACCTTTAGTTTGCCTGCATCTTCAGCAGCAAGGGAGCTGAATGACTTTCAAGACGACAACATAAGTGTCAAGAGCCTCAGTCCCTCAATATTAGGAGCTTTTGGCTATAAATTAGATAAAAAAGAGGCATTGAGTCCATGCTACTCAATGATGGAATTCAGACCGCTTTCCTCTCCAACTGGTTTGGAGTTCGAAGAACAAGACATTGATTTTAGACATATCCCGGGTATTGAGACCAAGATGAAGTGCTCACATGCGTTCGAAATTGTTGCAATGGACCGTCACCTTTCTGGTTGTATGGCTCTCGGTCCTTCTATCTTCAAGAAAACTGTTGTCTTGGATAATAATCTGCATACTGACCCATCTGATAATGACAGGTTGGAATCTAACCATGAAATAAACTCCAACGATCGGTATGGTAAGAAGTTGAATCTTAGTTCTTCTATCATTGAAGACAGTGATGAAGAAGCTTTCGATGAAGAATATGATGAATTCACCAAATATTTATCGAGTCATACGCCTCATACCTTTGCCTAAGAATAAAATCTCCAGCACTATTTGCAATTTTTACATTTTTGCAACAAGAAAACTAAAAATAAGAAAAAAGAGAAAACAAAGACCCACAGAGCTATCTGGGGACACATACACATACACATACACATACACATACACACACATCAAATAAACTTATTTGCTGAAAGCTTTGTAGCATGCTAGTGGCGGTAGTACTCTGAAAAAGTGTACTTGAAAGGTATTACTTCAATAGCCCTGGTATAAATACAAACATATGTTCAAATTAGGTACATAAGGACTCCCATCTGTATGGATATCAACCAGTAATATGACGTTTGAGGTATTTATACCTATCGTATGCATATATTTGGGTTGCATTCTTCCAGCTCCCACTCTTTTACAACATTATGGTACTGGCAACCTGCATATCTCTTCTTTATTATTCCATTGTAAACAGTATCTTTCCTAAATATCTTTCTTCAGCTACTCAGGTTCAAACCACAAACTTCGAAGAACATCTCTTGCATTCTTCCGCATTGAATGACCACAGATCTTTAAAATCTAAAATCTAAAATCTCACGGTTCTGCCTTTTGTATAAACTGAAAAGAAAAGATAGTATTTCCAGTTAATCGTAAGTACCTTATATATTATTCTATGAGACATCAGCTGACAAGAGTTGTATTATTTACGAACCTGCCTTTTGAAAGAAAGCCAGGTCTTCACGGAGTCCCGGGTTTTCTTAGTCATTTATTACGTAATACAGCGGACCAATTGACTTTCCATTGCTTTCTCGCATTTTCTTGTAACTCAGGGAAAAAAGATCATAAACTTTTATATCCTTCCTTTCATAATCAAATTATTGGTGAATAATTATTTGTGCTAAACAAAATAAATCAAGAATTCATTTCAATATTGTCACCCATTCGGGGATTCAACTTCGTTATCCTACTAGAATTCTACACTTTCTAATTCAAGAATTTTGTCATTGTCAGTAGGATCATTAAGGAAACAATATATGTCAAGTCATAATCCCGACCGTTCGATTAATCCCAATGGATCAGAAACAAATGAGGGGACCACAGTGGTAGCTACAAGCACATTGGGGTCCCTAAATAGTTCTCGGCTGACCTCGAAAGAAAAGGAATTGGGTGCTTCCACAAGTGTTACAGCTGATCTATCTGTCAACAATTCAAAGACCACATTATCATCGAGATCCCAAGATTCAAGTAATGGAATACTGGTAAACGCAGATATGACCACTCCTAATTCCAGCATCTCCGCTAATCTTCGACCTTCAGCTACAAAGGAACACCCCACTGATAACCTCGAAACCAAAGACAATTACGACAGTCCCGGTGAAGGTGAAAATGACCAGAAGAGGTATTACTGCTCAACTTGCAATAAAGGATTTACGAGAAAACATAATATGGTTTCCCATGAATTAATCCATTCTCAAGTCAAACCTCATATTTGTTCTGTTTGCAGCCTAACATTTCGTCGGATCCATGATTTAAAACGTCATGAAAAGCTTCACACAGGGACAAAGCCTTTCAAATGTCAATATTGTCCTCGAAGTTTTGCCCGGCCTGATTCCTTAGTCAGACACCAAAATTCTCCCAGTGCTTGCCCCAAAGCAAAGCCCTCACCTGTTGGCATATCTGTTCCAAATACAGAATTGGGAAGGAATAGTGTGGTTGCTCAAAGCTTTGGAAATCCCCATCGCCCAAGACCGGAACTACCTTCATTAAGGAGTTTGTCAAGTCAGTATCCGTATAAATTGAGACGTCCACAACCCCAAATGACTTACCTGCGGCCTGATGTCTTCAGAAATTCATTATCATACCAGCGTGTTCCTGAACAGCATACAGAGACGGTTACACGCGAAGATGGGTTTGGTGGGTTCACCACTACAACAATTACTACCACTCGTCACAGGGAGAATAATGCGCTCACAGAGAGTATGCCAAGTTCAGAAAGTGAACGGCTACCTAGGCAAACTGATGACTCACAACTTGGAAATCAGGCACTTAATCAATCTAACATCGGCAATATACCTCTTTATTCTTCAGAGAAGGATCAGGATCAGGATCATGATCAAAAGAAAGTTAAAAGTCAGAAAGGAGTCAATAAAAACGAATCCTCACAAATCCTTCATGGGGCTTTGTTGAATTCACAAGACAAGGCTAATATTGATCATGCTATGAGTTTTTCGAGGGCAAACCCGGATTTACCTCAAATTAATGATCAATTATCAGCTGGATCATCAAATTCTGACGATCCTAATCCATATCCTAGACCTCGTCAAGAAGAGGAGCAATCATTTGGTCCCAAAGCTGATCAAGACCAGGCCAAGAAGCTTACACCTGCTAATTTGAATATCGCTAGTCAATATCCCGGAAGACCTGAAGACACAGAACAGGCTTACCAAGGTAATCGCAGACTTTACTACAACCAGCTGCGTGATCCTTCCGTGTATCAGTATCCAAATGAAGAATATATCAGTCTTTCTCGATATCAAGATTTGGTTGCTTACACCCAATCATTGGAAGAGAATATGAATAAAATTAACAGTCGAATTCAAATTTTGGAAGATGAGAATGCTGACTCTAAGATTGAACGGGAAAGGGCTAAACACGCTCATGATTCAACTTCCAGGCACAGGAAACGTCATAAAAAAGATATGTCTGCGAATATAGGAGCACAGCAGGAGAGGCCGAAGTGAGCTTCAACAAGAGAACAAATAATCAAATGTTAATGAATCGATGAACAAAATCACTGTAAATATATAAGCCATATAGTATGACCAGTACCAGTTTAGTTTTATAGAGTAACAATAGTGCAAATAAAGGTCTTTGAGAAACCTTTTAATTAGATGATGTCATACTGTTGCATCGTTTGTTGATTAAATATATTACATGTATTCAACCTCCCATTGTAACAATGATGTTGACAGATTATGTATTACAAAATGGTCTTGAACCCTCGGTAAGTTGATCTGTTGTAAGGAAACGTTAATCCGCAGTACATCAACTTATTGCCAGCAGTAAGAAACAGGTTACAGCCGCTCAGCGCAACACGCACCAAATTCAGGTTGCAAATGGGTAGGCGCACACTGGATCACTTTTGTGATAAGGGAAATAATAACCCAAGGGGCAAAATTACCTTATAAGTGAGTGTAAAGTGATTTACAATTAACGAAACACCATATTAAGCCCTCCCGAGAGCCTATTTCAATCTGATTCCAAGTAATTAGATACTATCTTAAAGTGCCTTCTTTGTGTCACCCCCGAATCAGATTTCCCGACTCCAACAAGTGTTATATTACGTATCATTTTGATTCAACAGAACAACCCCAGAAATGAGTAAAACTAGCGACGAAGACTGGTCCATCATTTCTTCTTCTTCAGACATGGAGGATGAACGGTCTAACTCCGGAGATGAAATTGAAACTCCCCTGGCTTCCGTACCTGGTTCTACTATTCAAGCCATAACTACCACCTCAATTGATAGCCCTTTGACTGAATACGCCCACAATCACTCGTACGTGGATGACTCTGACGACCTTTTGGCAGCGGAGTCCAGTATACAAACCCTCAGATTACCCAAGACTTTGTCAACTCCAGCGTCACTAAACACTTCTCAAATGGTCTCAAGGGGTACATCAGCGAACTTGGGGTTACAGGTACCTCCTCAACGCTCAGAAGAAAAGCCTGTGAAACGAGCTATTGAGTTCTATGAAAGCTTGACTGCTAATACGTTCAAGTTACATGAGTCTATCAAGCACCAAAGTGACAAACTCTACCACCAGTTGACTAAGCACCAAACAATCGAAGATGAATTAGACCAGTTTGAAACTGAGGGAACACCATTACTGACTATAAAAACCCAAACCACAACAGATGGGATTCAATATCAGTATCCCGCAAGTCAGGTGATGTCCAAATGGCTTGAATCCAACTCCGAGTACTTAATTTATTTTGCCGTTTTCACAGTGGCGTCAGTGGTATCATTGATTAAGGTGTACACCACCTTGACATATAAGGAACCAGTACCTAAATATCCAAATATTTGGGATACCATTGATACTTTTTTTTATGATCAACAGGTGTCAACGTCCTGGTTTTTCAAGTCCAGCAAGACTAAGCAATTGAAGCTTGCAAAATACTATGATGAGTTGAGAATTGGGGATATGATGTTTTTAGCTAAAAACTCTGCAACCCAATGGAGTGAAGTCGTTGTTTCAACAGCTTCCTGCTGGTTAAAGAATGCAGACGAGTTGAGAAAGCAGTTTATTACCCAGGAGAAGGCGTCAGCAGTTTGGTGTGAAGCTCACAAACTTAGCAATTTGGTAACTGTTCAATCAATTGAACTCAGTAACAATTTACAAGCTAAAGTCAACAAAGTCAGTGTTGCAGTTGATTTCTCATCAAAAATCAACACAGTAGCTGAAATGTCGGAAAAACTATACGAGCAATACATCAAGAATTTTGGAAGACAAGTTGGTTCTTCGTTGAATTATTTGTGGAATGACAGTCAAAGGACAAGTGCTAAGATTATTAAGGAAACATTGAGTGCTTTAAAACCCTTGTCTACTAAGGTCACTGAGTCAAGCTTGGTGCACGAGCTGATAGAATGGTCCAGAGGCCAGATACAATTCATCACCAAAACTGCCTTGGAGATCTGGGGAAGTCGCTAGATACTACCTCTTTGCTTTGCTTCTAGGCTAAGATGGTATCGATCTGACACTTCAGTAAGCCGAGGATTATTGATTTTGTGGTTTAATTTTTTATTATAGTTGTTATTGTCATCGGTAGTTAGACAAATAGTCGGTTGGTTTTAATTATGTTTTGTATGGAATAGTTTTGGTTAAATTTTTGTATGGTTTTGTTGTTGAATATACTAAAGTTGATAAAAATCGTAGATTCGTCGCACCATGCACGCAATAGAATGTAAACCAGCGCGAGAACTTTTTCGATATTCGACATACTTTAGTCTCAAACAATATGGGTATGTAATCCAATCATTCGAATGGATACAAGGGTAAACTACTGTTGTATGGACAAAATTAGTTACTAACAATTAATTTCATAGGTATCCCTAAGTTTTTTCGGTTTATTTCCGAAAGATGGCCATTGATTTCTCAATTGGTTGATGGCAATCAAATGCCAGAGTTTGATAATCTTTATTTGGATATGAACTCTATTTTACATACATGTACCCATTCCAATGATGATACATTTGTAAGGTCAACTGATGATCAGACTTATGCTGCTATTTTCCAGTATATCGAACATTTATTTGAAATCATCAAACCCAAGGGTACATTCTATATGGCCATTGATGGTGTGGCACCAAGAGCCAAAATGAATCAACAAAGAGCTAGAAGATTCAGAACTGCCTATGAAGCAGAAGAAAATTTACAGAAAGCCATTAAACAAGGATTGGAAATTCCTAAGGATGATCCATTTGACTCAAACTCTATTACTCCCGGTACAGAATTTATGGCCAAATTGACCAAGAACTTGAAATACTTTATTCACAAGAAAGTTACAGAGGATTCTAATTGGAGTAATGTTAAGATTGTGTTGAGTGGACATGAAGTTCCAGGTGAAGGTGAACATAAGATTATGCAATACATTAGAACCATGAAAAACCAAGACGAATATGACCCAGATACCAGGCACTGTGTTTATGGATTGGATGCCGATTTGATCATGTTGGGATTAGTAAGTCACGATCCCCACTTTGCCTTGTTGAGAGAAGAGGTTACTTTTGGACCAAGATCCAAGTCAAACTCAAATGACGTAAACGATCAAACGTTTTTTCTTCTTCACATATCTTTGTTGAGAGAATACCTTTCATTAGAATTCGAAGGCTTAGACAACCAGTTAAATTTTGAATATGATTTCGAAAAGATTTTGGATGATTTCATTTTAATCATGTACGTCATTGGTAATGATTTTCTACCTAACTTACCCGATTTATTCATCAACAAAGGTGCCTTTCCATTATTAATTCAAACTTTCAAACAAACTTTAACCGAAATGGATGGTTATTTAAATGAAGGTGGAGTGATAAATTTAAGAAGATTGAGAATCTGGTTAAAAAACTTATCGAATTTTGAATTGGAAAACTTCGAAGCTGACGATGTTGATGTCGAATGGTTCAATAAGAAATTAGAAGATATTTCTATTACGGGTGAGAAGAGGAGAGAGAAGTTCGGAAAGTCCATAATCTCAAAGGATGAAAAGAAACTTATTGGTTTCATCAAGCCTTGGTTTATGGAATCAGTCAACCTTCCAGTGAAACAATTGACTGAATTAGAATCCCAAGAAAAACTGAAGAATTTAAGGTTAAATTATACAAATGACTTTATCACCAAAAATTTTGAATTTTTGAAGGATGTTTGTCAAGACCTTGGGTTGTTGATAGTACATTCCAAATCCAAGGACACTTACTCTCTTAAAATTGACTTGGATGGAATTGATCCTAACGAAAGTGAAAGTGATTTCGAAGAAAGAATCAACTCCTCCAAGAAGACTTTCAAGAAATATCAATCAGCCACTTTGTTCGAGAACGAGGAGTTTGTTGCTGAGTCTAAAGACATTTATAATAAAAAATTTATGGACTGGAAAGATGGCTATTATCAAGAAAAGATGGGATTTTCTGTGTATGATAAGGATCACATTGTGGAAATGACTAAACATTTTGTTGAAGGTTTACAATGGGTTTTATTTTACTATTACAAAGGATGTCAATCTTGGAACTGGTATTACAGATACCACTACGCTCCTAGAATTTCTGATATTATTGTGGGATTAGATGATTACTTGGAAAAGGATGAAAAAATCACTTTCGAAATGTCCAAGCCATTCAAGCCGTTTGAACAATTGATGGCTGTTTTACCAGCTAGATCTAAAACCTTGATGCCAGTGGTTCTCAGAACCTTAATGACTGACCCAAATTCTCCTATCATTGATTTCTATCCCCATGAAGTGGATATTGACATGAATGGTAAAACTGCAAGTTGGGAAGCCGTTGTTTTGTTAAGTTTTGTTGACGAAAAAAGATTGATAAGTGCTTTGGAACCTATCGAAGCCAAGTTATCTCCAGAGGAGAAGGCAAGAAATTCGTTTGGCACTGATATTCAATTTATCTTCAACCCCCAATTTGATCAGATTTATCCTTCTCCATTACCAGGTTTCTTTGAAGATGTTGAGCATGACAGATGCCTTGAACAACCATTTATCTTACCTCCAATAAAAGGGGAAATAAACATCGGGTTAGGAAAAGATGCTAAAATTGGAAAAGATGTTTTGGCTGGTTTTCCAACGTTGATGACCTTACCTTTTGAGCACAGCTTGAGATTAAATGAAACTAAGGTTTTCCAATCTGGTAGTAGGTCAGAATCAATGGTCTTGAGTTTGAGAAACATTTGGGGTGAGTACACCACCAAACAATTATCCGAAAAGTTTTTGGGTCAATTAGTTTACACCAGATGGCCTTACTTAAGAGAATCAAAGGTAACTGAAATCAATGACGGTGAGGTGAGGTATCTATTAGTTGAAGATGCCTTATCTGGAGGCTCTAGAACTGTGGTTAAAGAATTGGACCATCTGGATAGTAAGGAATTCAACAATTCTATGTCTGACATCACCTATAAGTACATGAAAACCAAGGCAGTACAGCTTCCTTTAGCTGGATATGTAAAAGTTAAAGCTGTCACTGGCTTGATTCGTGATTCAAAGGGAGGTTATATTAAGACTTTCAGCGGTGTTGAGGAGGTATATCCAATTGAATTGATTGTCGAGGAAGTAGTGAACAAGGACGAGAGATACATTCCCAGGGCTCCAAGGCCTATTGATGAAGAATTCCCTGTCAACTCTCAAGTTATATTTTTGGGAGCCTTTGGATATGGATCTCCAAGTTTGGTGGTTGGATACTCTGCCGACCAAATGAAGTTGAGTATTAAAGTCCACAAAATTGCACTTGAAGATGAAATACTGATCGGTAGTCAAAGGAAAGAAATCGAAAAGAGGGAAATCAAGTATTATCCTAGTTTCGAAGTCTGTAAGACTATCGGGGTTTCTCCATTATTCTTGAGTAAATTAACCAGTGGTTTTATGGTTGAAGATGATCTTGGAAAACAAAGACGTAAGGTTAACGTTGGTTTAGAATTGAAGTTTGAATCCAGAAGATTGAAGGTCTTGGGATATGCGGAAAAGAGCGGAAACTACTGGAAATTTAGCCCATGGGCAATCAAGTTAATTCAAGATTATAAATCTAAATTTGGAAAGATTTTCACTATATTATCACAAACCCAAGGAAGAGATATTCCTCGGTTGAGCAGATTGGGTATCACCGCTGATGAGATTCAAGCATTGAACAAATGGTTGAAAGAAGTGAAGAGCTCCTTACTCAAGGTAAGCTTAGAGTCTCTGTCTTTGACAAAATTCTCCTTCGCAGCTATCGAAAAGGAATTGATAGAGTCTGTTAACGAAGGTAAATTCAATAAGTTCAGCAATAAGGACATCAAAGGGGTTCCAAGAGAAGCCGTTTTAAAGCCAAGCGAATCGTATCAAAGATTAAACACTCAGAGCTTTGAATTAGGTGATAGAGTTGTTTATGTTCAAGATTTTGGAAAGGTTCCATACTTGTCTAAAGGGACAGTTGTCTCAGTTAACCCAATTGGCACTAAGGTTGAGTTGGGAATAATCTTTGATTTCCCAATTATTAGCGGAAATACTATGGGTGGTAAGTTGAAGACCAACAGAGGTATTGTCATTGATTCATCTTTTGTATTAAATTTGTCTAATAAGCAATTGATTTTCCATTCTAAGGCATCCAAGGGTAAACCAGCGGTCAACCAAGTAAAACCTAGGCAAGAAAAATTGAAGCAAAAGACGACGCATACGAATGAGCCCAAACAAACCAACAACAATCAGTCGAATGAGTCAAAACAGACTAACAACAAGCAGTCGAAGGAGATTTTGAACTTGATTCAATCCAAGATCAAACCTTCCGAGATTAAGGATAATGGAGACACTAACGCCCATGCTATCAAACAAATCTATGGTCAAATATATAACAATATCATGACAGATGGCCAAGCTTCAGTGCCTATAGTTCCAATAGTTTCTGTTGTCCCTGGAGTGCCAATTCCTCCACATTTGCTCCAACCTCAAGCTGCCCCCCAAGTTACCCCACAGGGAAATACCAATGGCTCAACCAATGGCCATAGCTCCAGAGGAAGAGGAGGGAACAGTCGTGGTAGAGGAAACTTCAAAGGTGATAGCAGAGGTAGAGGTCGTGGCAGAGGAAGGGGAAGAGGAAAGCCTGATGCTACACCATCAATCTAGTTAGATATATTTACCAATTCTATTAATTTGAAAAGATATATTTTCCACTAGCTTTTAATACATGAAAAATGTATTCAAAGGAATCTCTATAGCTCTATTTACAAGATAATCACCATTATTTTGCTGATTACCTACTGATCAAGTATATTATTATCAGTACGCAAGTTTCATCCATCATATATTATTTACAGGATATTCACTCTTCTTTATTTCGCTTGCTCTGGTTGATCCTGAAGATTTACCACATTCTGTTTCTCCGGGAGATTTATCAACCCAAGAGACTCCCAGTCAGATTTTTCCATTAGCTCGTGCTCCATTCTGCACCTCAAATAGCCCTTTGCGAGAATTCGGCAATTAGGAGAGTTTTGATTGTTTGTAAACTTAAGACACTGTAAGTATTTGGTCATTTGCTCGGTACACTCACCAAAATGATCAAGAGGAAAGGAACCTCTTTCCGGAGGTGTCGGAGTCCAAGTTCTGAAGTTACCACCAGGTGCTCCACTAGCCATCACAGTTAGTTTGGTTACGTTAGCTGATATAAAATGCGCGAAGAACGGTGAGAAGAAGAGAATATAGAAACGTGCACGTACCGTTCTACAACATCCCTAGAAAGATTTGAATCAAGGATGGCACATGAAATAAGAGTTTGGTCCAAGTGGGTGAACAATCGGGCTTTAGGGGGGCCGAAAAATAATGGAACAGCCAGTGACGAGCAGTCTCTGGAGTTTACGATTGCCGCGTGCACGCATTCCTTTGGCTTCCTGAAACAACCGGCAACCATACAATTACCCCTCAAAAATGTTACTCGAATAACGCTCCGATAATTGCGTACGTATCACAAGCCAGAGACTGTGAACTCGCTCTGGGCATCAAAATTGCGGATTTCAAGATGGCCGGAGTTTGCCCTTTGGCCCGAAGTCAGCGTTGGGCCGACGCGGGCACCGCGAGTCGCTGAAGAATTTTAAAATGATTCACAGTGCTTTTGCAGTCACAAGAGGTTGTCCCGCAGCAGGAAAGCTCGGTCAAAAGGACGGGCAGGTTGCTTAGATTTTTCAGGTTGATGAGTAAACAACGGTTTTTTTCTCAAGTGTTAAAGCCGAGAACTAGTTAATAGTTATACTGTCTTCTATCAGAAATCGGCCTAGATGGAACTTGATATTTAGTACAATATTTCAATTACTCTCATGAATAAATCTCTCAAAAAAAAAACCTGGGGTTATTGATTTTTTCACATTTCTATTGGTGAATTTATTTTAGTCCGCATCACAAAGTCGAGGACCGACAAAGCCAAACCAAAATAGTATAAATACATTTTTGAATTCCACTTTTTTTCCTTAGTGATATTTGTTTTTGTTGTTGTTGCCATTCGGGGAACCCACCTTTATTTATCATTTCTAGAAATCTGGCTAAGGGATCCCATGAGCCTTCACCTTTATTTATAATTATCCATTTCCTCCTTGTTACCTGTTAGTTTTACCTGTCATGTCTATTTCCGACCTTAAGGCAAAGGAAATTTTCCACCAATTTGCTTCTGTCAATCCTGATACCAGGGAAGAATACTTATCCTTGCCTCAGTTTACTACCATCTTATCACCTTTTCCTACTGATGTCCCAAAACAGTCATTCTCCATCTTGTATCTTATAGCTGATGCCAATAAGAAAGGTTATGTTACCGAGGGTGATTTTGTTAAGTTCATTTCCACATTAAACGATGTTGATGGAGAGTTCAAATTGATTTACAAGTTATTCTCCAACGATACCAGCTCAATTGAGTATAATGATTGTTTATCAATGTTGAATAAATTGAATCAAGCCATTGATCCTGCCTACCAGCAGAAAAAGTTCAAAATCAACTGGGCCTATTTCAGCAAGTTCTTTGAACCCTCTGGGAAAATCGCCTATCCTGAGTTCATTACTTTAATCAATAATTTACCCTTCACTAAGTTGATAGGGTCTTTTGAGTTGATGGTGAAAAATGGAACTATCACCACTAACGATTTGATTCTGTTGTTGACGCAGAACTTGAATCACAAATTATCTTCTAATTTGAAGAATAATTTGGGAAATTTACCCGAGTTTTTTAAGAAGGATACTTTTACCTTCGCAGACGTTATGTTCATTTACAATTGTTTGAGTAAAATTGATTTGATTAATGAAGTCATTGCGAACACTCCCGCCAACAGCTCTAATGAAAAGAACGATATCTTGATCAACAAAAGGGATTTGTACACTCATTTGAAAGATCCCTTGTTAAAGTCTTCAAACTTCAAACCCGTGGCGATGAATGAGTTGGACTTGTTATTTTACTTGATCAACCAACATGAAGAAACTGTTACCAGAAAGGACTTGATCAACTTCTTGAACCCCAACTACGCCAACAACATAAAAACATTGTACTCGATTTTTGAGCACCCTGCTTCGATTCCTGTACAAAAAGACAACTTTTCATTATTGCCAATCTTTGATTCATTGTATTCCTTCTTTTTAGGCTCAATTGCTGGATGTATTGGTGCCACTGTCGTTTATCCTATTGACTTGGTAAAGACAAGAATGCAAGCCCAAAAGCATAAAGCGTTATACGATAATTCTATTGATTGTTTTAAGAAAATCATTAAGAATGAAGGATTCAAAGGGTTATATTCTGGTTTAGCTGCCCAATTGGTTGGTGTCGCTCCAGAAAAAGCTATTAAGTTGACCGTCAATGATTTAATTAGAGGTATTGGTACTGATGAAAAGGGCAAAATTACCATGCCATGGGAAGTCTTGGCTGGTTCTTCTGCTGGTGCTTGTCAAGTTATTTTCACCAATCCATTAGAGATCGTTAAGATTAGATTGCAAATGCAGGGTGGCCAAAGAAATAAGGTGTTAAAGCCTGGTGAAATCCCTCACAAACAGTTAACTGCTGGTCAAATCATAAAACAATTAGGGGTGAAGGGGTTATACAAAGGTGCCTCTGCCTGTCTTTTAAGGGATGTTCCTTTCTCAGCTATTTATTTCCCAACTTATGCGAATATTAAAAAGCATATCTTCAACTTTGACCCTGAAGATGTCAACAAGAAACAAAATTTGAATACTTTTGAGTTGTTAATCAGTGGTGCTATGGCCGGTGCTCCTGCTGCATTTTTCACTACTCCTGCCGATGTCATTAAAACAAGATTGCAAATGGAAAGAAAGTCTAATGAGGTTAAATATAGTGGAATTACCCATGCTTTCAGAGTTATTTTGAAAGAAGAGGGATTATCTGCATTTTTCAAAGGTTCATTGGCCAGAGTTTTTAGATCATCTCCGCAATTTGGTTTCACTTTGGCCTCCTATGAGCTTTTACAAAGAATGTTCCCTTTGAACCCCCCGAACACGAAGTCATCTAACTTCAAGACTATCACAGGATACCCAGGCATCTATAATCTTACCAATGAGCAAGTCTATAACAACCAAACTGGAAGAATTATGTATATAAACCAAGGAAACTTGATGAAATCAAACGGCTTGATTAATGAGAATAATGAGGACTACAATAATGTTTTAGTCAAAATCCCAACTGATTACGTCTACAAATCACAAGATGCCATTAAAATTTTATTGGATATTGACTATAAATTTGGTAACTTCAACTATCAGAGTTACTTGAGTTTTGTCGGTAAGTGATTCAGATGATTTTGATTCCTGTATTACTTAAATTAAATGTATAAATTATAAGAAGCAAGTTTTGCATCTTTTTTTGTATATGAATCTCAAATTTACGAACTGCCACTTTGGGTAAACATTTGTAGGCAGATTTGCCTAAGCCGTTAAACCTGGTAAAAATTAAAGTAATTGGAATTATCGGAGTTCTTAAAGTTTATCAATAGAACATTTTCACCCAATCTAATTAGACCATTGATTTTTTGGTTCATATTTTCCAATGTAACTCTAGCAAAATTCAAATTGTTTAAGTTAACAATAAACAAACTATCATTTGACTGGTTCAAAATCACATTATTCTTAATGGTAACCAAAGAGAATTGATTAATCAAATTACTGCTCAACAACTCAAAGCTATTTATGGCTTCAAAACCTTCTGTGTCCAATGAAAAGTTTACGTTTTCGATCCTCTTGTACGATATCAAAACAATTTTGAAAACGTTTAGTACCTTGAAAACTTTAAAGTTTTTGATCAACTCACCGATCAGATATATTGATCTCAGATTTGTTTGTAGGTTTAGTATGATTAACCTTTTGAAGCTACTGATGAATAAATATTCATTCACTTTATCGATTTTGTTGATTTTTTCCAACTTGATTGATCTTTCAAATTTAAACTTTATGATGTCCTGATAAAATTGTAGTTCCTTTGTATCTTCATTATACTGGAATTTTATCAAATAAACAATCCCCAGATTCGTTCCCAAAATCAAGTAATTATCGATGAACTGTGAAAATGTTATAAAGAAACGTTTGAAATTCTTCAAATGCCGTAACCGGTAATCAAACATATCGTCATTTTCATGTATGCTTATTATGTTCATTCCAAATAAATGGAATAAGTCCTTTTTGATTTCTCCATCGGGTAGATTGTTTATAAATGAATAAATCACGTTCAGCTTGTCAATCTTGACATACTTCCTTTGAATTTTGTCGATAACACTCAATCGAATGAAATTTTGATATATTTGTGGATTGTCCAAGTCACTCTCACTTATGAAGTTATAGAAAACAAGATTCTTGTGGCAACTTATGGTCAAATATTCGTACGGGAGAAGATTCAATTTATTGATCAACTCATTTAAATTATAGTTTAGGCCCAAATTGTCTTCGAATCGATGCATCACGTCGTCAGATTTCATTTCTTTATTATGCAAATTTCTTAATACCTTAGAAGTGTTAAGTATCATGAAGTTTCTTGACTGATTCGTAGTGACAACAAATTGCTCCCCTTGTACTTTAAGTTGATCCCACATACGGCATTCCAACTCGCTGAAATAAACCCAGTTTAACAACTTGATGCTTTTGAACCTCTCGAACTCAATCAATGTGTGGTTGGGTCTCGTCAATCCTAACTTGATGTTATCCAACGAGCAGCTCAAATAAAGGCGCTTATATTTGGAAGCCTGATTGCCTGATCTTTTTGTTAGGGTATTTTGCTGGGATGCTTGTTTTCGTTCATTTTCTTCATCTCTCTTCTCTTGCTCGACCTTGTTATTATGATATGAATGATCTATGGAACCATTTGTTATCTTGAAGTACCTGCTTTTAGCCTTATCATAATAGTATCCTGGTATGTTCATCTTAGTGATAGATAAATTAATTTCGCGATTCTAATTTAACGCAAGCACACAAACCATGGTTCCTGAAGACGGAAGCAAAAAATTAATATACTTGAGTAATAAAATTTCAGTCTGTTACATTTGGCTCCAGCTACAGAGTCCATCCGTAGATGAGAGACATAGCACAAATAGGATTTAGCTCAATTAGAAGAGAGCCACTATAATACATTATAATACATGAAGCTGCAAAACCTACTCAAAGTCCATTTCATACTCATTAACTTCAGCTTTCGAGCTGGATTTCATCTGACTCCTTTTCCTCATGACTAATTTTTCAAACCCATTGGACCTATCTATCCCATCCCACATAATACCTGCTTTAATTCCAAATCTATTCGGAATGTTTACTCCTTTTATATATGACAATTTATCAACTTTTGCATAGCTCTTGATGGGGTCTTCGAAGTTAGTTCTGGATTTCAACATATCGTTGTACATCTTGTCAGATTTGCTAACTGTAAATGATTTGGGAGCTTTTTCATTCAGTTGTTCAGACTTAGACTCATTTAGCACTACACGGTTTGACGGTTTGAGGGATGCCTTGATTTGTGATATATCGACCACCTTACCAGTTAAGTCTCTGTAGACAGTTTCTGTTTGGCCACTGCCTGCAGCCTGTTCGTTGTCAGTCTTGACCGCAGGTTGAAGTTGCTGATTGTCAATTCTTTTGAAGCCTTTGAATTTTGTCTCTCCAAAAGTAGGAAGGTCTTCATTTATATGTGAGCTTGATATAGTATCATTGTTAGTTACTATATTGGATGCAAGTTTCTTGCTGGACTTCTTTTTCTTGTCCGTATACTTCAGTAAGTAATCTAATTTACCCATATACCAGCAGAAAAAAGCGATGCAGTTTCGCGACTTGGTGTTTATATATTATATTATATGATACAATTATCTAGAGATTGAACAATTCTAAATGCGTTTGCTCAATTGGTTATGGAGTTGAGCCAAATTGTCACAGAGCTCCATAAATAAGGTGAATTGGATTTTGATTGTTTCAAATACGTTTAAAAAGTTACCAAATCCTTGGTTGCAACTAGTCTCCAAATTCTGTAGAATCACATTGAACTCTTTGATCAATTCTTCGTAGTTATTGATAGTCTGTTGATATTCTTTGATTTTTTTGATAAAGAATTCATTAAGTTGGAAAGATGATGACAATTTGGTACCAGGTACGGATAACTGCAAGATCAACTGCAACATTTTATTTATATCATCTGTCAACTCATTATTCAAGGTTTTCAAGTCTGCTAAGTGATTGGAATCAAACTGTAATGCTTGCTTAGTAGATTTCAACTTAATGTATAAATAGTTGATGTCTTTGGGTAAAGTTTTAATCAAGTTTTCATGGGTTTTCAAGTTATTTTGCAAATTGATGGCTATTAGATGCTGTTGGTTAATGTACTTATCAAACTCTTGTAATTCTCTTTTGATGGGTTCAGGAAGATCTCCTACCCTTGTCATTGCATTCAATTGTATTTGTGAGTTTTGGTTGAATACTGAGCTTTGATTGTTGGGACCGTTATTATTGTTATTGTTTTTATTGCTGAAAAGACCTTGTGATTGATTATTGGCATTTCCACCAAAAAGACCTCCAGGGTTCGTATTGGAGGATCCAAATAAACCTCCATTTGCGGGCTTACTGCCAAACAACCCTCCTGAGCCTCCTGAGGTGTTTGAGTTTGTGTTTGAGGATCCAAATAACCCTCCAGAATTATTGCTATTATTGGAGGTATTGTTTGCAATATTGCCTCCAAATAATCCTCCTGAAGGATTCGATGAGTTGGCGGTGTTGGTGCCAAACAATCCTCCTGAACTAGTTGACTGACTGTTGTTTCCAAACAAGCCACCTGAGTTTGTGTTTCCTCCAAATAAGCCTGAATTTGCTGGTTTGCTTCCAAACAAACCACCTGAGGGCTGATTGGATGTGCTCGCATTGTTGTTACCAAAGAGACCTCCAGGCTGAGTAGCCGGAGGGTTATTGGAATTGTTAAACAATCCTCCAGATGTGGTAGACTTGTTGTTGTTATTACCGAATAATCCACCAGTAGTTCCTGTTGAGCTATTAGGACCCATGTTTCCGAAAACATTTCCTGATGGGTTTGTGTTCGCTGTTGAGTTATTATTGAACAATCCGCCAGAAGTAGTGTTATTGTTGGTGTTGAGGTTGTTTCCAAATAATCCACCTGAAGGGGTACCAGAATTTGTGTTTGTGTTCGTATTACCAAACAACCCTCCCGAGCCGGAAGTGTTAGAATTAGTAGCAGTTGTCCCAAACATCTTGTAGTAGTTGGAAAGAACAGGAAAAATCTTTGAAGGTGCGCGCGGTGATTTATTGTTTTGAATCTCTTTCAAATACGGGTGTATGTCTTTTAAAGAGGAGTTTGAGAAGTTCTATGCGGAGTATGAACGGTTGACTAAGGAAAACCAGGATCTACTTGAGCAGAACGAGAAACTTCGACACCAAGCTCATGAACAGAAACTAGAGTTTGAAAACATTCTCATCCAAACCAAGAGATCATATAAAGCACAGTATCGCAAACACGTCAAGAAATATGAAATGAAGATCGAGGATCTCACAGAGCGCCTTCGGCGACTTATGAGGACCAACAGTAATAAGGAGAATAATGGTAATGATATAGTTGCGTTTCACGATATCAGAATCAATGGGAAGAGCGGCAGCACTGAGGTTGCAAAAACGGTGCCGACCGCACCCTTGCCATTATTAGCAGTACCCCAGTTGAAGCTGACACCCGATCCAAAATTCATGGAACCTTCCTCACGAACCACCAAACCTGTGGTGGTGATGTCAAGTCCAGTGAAGTCAGACTTCGATGTTTTACCTACACAATACTCATCAGAACCTGAGTCTCAGGTGGCTTCCGCCACCCTTGATGCCGATTTCACACCGCTTCAAGAGCTTACTCCTTTACAAAGAAAAGAATGGCTTTCGAATTACTTTACCAGCAAATACTATAATGACCCCCACTTCCGAATAGATTTATCCCGCAATCCTATCACCCAAATCGAATGGGTTCTTAACGACTTTGAAACGGTTGATGAAGGAGACGATACCCCACCATTTATGTTCATTAAAGACAATACCTCCCAGGAGGATAGGATCAAACACGAACAATATGAGCTTCGACGTCGTTCATTAATTGACCGATGCTTCCGCCAGTGCCTTGAGGGACAAAACCGGTTCACGGCCCATATACTCAACAAATTTACTAAAAGTGGACGATATGAAGCAAGGTAACCGAGTGATGCGTGGGTAATAAATCGTGCCGATAATAGGCACACCTCTCCTAATTTACCTCAACGTTAGTCTGGACACATCGGGTTAAATGGAACAACCCTTGTCCTCGCACGCTTTGTTTCGTTTAACAATAAACCATCTTCTGGAGCTTTACACTACTAGCAAAACCTAGCAATCTAGGAAAAAAAACAAATTAATAAAAAAAACTCAGGTGGAACCCTGCCTGCAACACCGGCCGTGAGACGTACGTTCTTGCCAGATGTAAATCATCAAGGGGAAAAGCACCCCTTTTTCATTATTGGCTGGTGTGAAGTACAGCAAGAATAAGTATGAAAGGCAAATTGGAAACGTAAAAAAATTCCATATCCAGTTGTAACTTCGTACCGGGCGATAACCGATTATGACCCAAGTTAAAACTGCAAAATTTCCAGTTGTTTAAGGCTAGGCACTGCGGATTTCTTTTTTACCTATTTCAATACCCGGCTCTGGTATTGAATCGGGGTTTGGGGCTTTGTTACATGTCATGACCTTATTAGAGTCTTGATAGCCATGGGGAGATCCCGTTGGCAATTGGGTGAAAACTTACACCCTGATAATTCATGGTGTTTTCCCCACCGTGAGTTTAATTCAGAGGCCGCAACATATAAAATGATGAAACCAGTAACCACATGTATAGTTAGTGCATATTGGAGTGGCCAAGGCTCCGTTTTTTAATCCTACTCCTTTTCGTTGGTATTTGTATTACGTGTTTTTGGAGATGGCAATGCTCACTGCTATACGAGCCCAGGATAATGGAGCAGGTGCAAAAATAGCAGGAATCCAAAAATTTACTTTTACCGTGCAATCAGGATATTTCTCAAAACGCAAATAGTAACAAAAACAAGAAGGGGGACATAAGATTAGAATCAAGAGAGTCTTATAAAGTCTTGGTTAAGCTAAATAGTTGTATAAGTCTAATGGGTGGCTTCAAAATGTCAAATTTGACCACAAACAACCTTATAAAAAAGATTGTTTCTACAGCTAATACAAGTCCTGAAATCATGTGGGAGAATCTAGAATTATCACAAAAAAAAAAATAATTTTACACCATTTTGATTGGTATTGAGATAAAACTCGTGTAAATACTACACCTTTCTTAATCTGATCTCAGTATTTATTAACTAAGTATCCAACAATTTTTTTCCTCTCCCTCTTTGTTCACCTAAGTCCAATGGTTAATATTTTATAATGATCGATCATATTCACTCTGAAGGAATGGATTATACCCAGTTATCCATTAATCCATCAAGCATGAATGATTCCGATTCAAATAAGGCACTTACTCACCAAAGAACAAACTCCGCTGTATCCACCCACTCTAACATGTCCAGCTTCTCCGGCTTGACATTATTTGATCAGACTGGCCCCGGAATTTCTGGTAACTTGAATCTTAACAAGAACCTGTTGAACCCTAACATCCGGCCCAACCATCAGCATCAATTATCCATCAACTCGGTGACTTCAGTAAACTCCATTATTGAACCAATCACACCACCTTCAAATAACCATTCCAACAATGTGGTGATCACAGCTGGAGCAGAGATTGATAAGGAGTATTTGGCTGCAGTGAGCAAAATACCATTATCTCAGTTGAAATCAGATATTTTGCGGTTATCGAAGGATCAATATGGTTGTAGATTTTTGCAAAAAAAGATTGATGAAAACTTGATTTCAAATTATTCCATTAGATATGCAAACTTTGAAATCATCTTCAATGAAATTTATCTTAACTTGTATGAATTAATCATTGACCCTTTTGGCAATTACTTGATTCAAAAATTGATCAAATACGCTTCCAATGAAAATTTGAACTTGATGTTGGACATTTTGCAGTCCAATTTGTTTCAGATTTCTATTAATCAACATGGAACTAGAGCTTTACAGAAAATCATCGAAAGTTTGAATTCTCCTTACCAATTGGACTTACTTACAAGTGGTTTGAAGCCATTCATTATCGAATTGATCAAGGATTTGAATGGTAACCATGTGATCCAAAAGATCTTGAACAAGTTCAAACCATTGCAGTGTCAATTCATTTACGATTCAATCTTGAATGATTTGATCACCGTGGCAACCCATAAACACGGGTGCTGTGTTTTGCAAAAGTGTCTCAATCATGTCACTTATAAACAGTTGAATCAGTTTGTCAATGAGATTTTGAATGATTTCAACCTCAATAAATTGATCAATGACCAGTTTGGTAACTATGTATTACAGTATTTGATTTCTATCAATGACTATCAGATTCACTACAAGTTCTACTCCAATTTGGTCAGGTTTGATATGATCCATTATTGTAATTTGAAGTTTTCTTCCAATGTCATTGAAAAATTCATCAAGAACTGTGCTAATAATGAATTTAAGAACAATGAAGTCAATATTGACTTTGTTAACTTGAAGTTTGAGATGGTCCATCACATTTTGAAAACTTCAGCTAGCTTGAATAAGTTAATTAATGATCCTTTTGGTAACTACGTCATCCAAACGTTGATAGATAATTTGACCAATCCAAACATAGACTATGCATCCTTGAAGCCAAAGAACTTAAGTCTTTTGGCTAACCCTATGTCACCCAACAATGAAGCGATTAAGCACGAAATCATTGGCAACTATTTTCAAAATTGCAAGATTATCAGTTCATTTGGCAAGAGAATTCAACTGAAGGTTTCGTTAATCTTAAACAATCACAATGTCCCAAATTCACAATTTCCACCAAGGACTAATCAAGGGGGCGTTAATTCGTCCCCAATCTTCAACTATGACTATACTACCAACCCTAATGTCCCTCCCCAATTCATGAACGTTGCCTCTGCTGCAACTGCTCATTTACCTTTAAATGATTTCAGTCAACCTGGTTCAGTCCATGGTTCTCGTTCTGGCTCTGCTCCGCAGGTGCCTCATCGTTCAAGCTCTAATTCCTTAGAATCTAGATCAAACTCCTATCCAGGTGTGCACTCCAGGTCAAATTCTTTCCAGTTAAATTCGTCTATGGCTGCTCTGGGTCCAATGAATTCTAATTATGTCCTTGACAAACAGTTATCCCATAATCTCAATAACTTAAAGTTATCGAACAACTTTTATGCTGGTTCTGTTAGTCAACCCCAATCAGTCAACAGTAGCCTGAATGTGACTCCATCCATGACTGGTGGGCAACCTGGATATTTTATGAATATAAATGGTGGCCCAATTCCAATGAGTCAACTGAAAACTAACCATTTGAACATGAATCCCAATGTCAATGGCGTTAACTCTTCGAATTCTGGAGGATTGAACTACAATTCTAATGGTGGTGGATACTTGAACAACAATACGGGCATGAACTTCAACTTGAACAATCAGGGTTATTTAAAGACTCCCCAAATATTTTCTAATGCCCCAGTTAACGATTTCACTCACGATTCTAACAAGAATATCAACTATTTTAGATGAATCCTGCCGCTTATTTGAAAGCTACCTACTTTGAGTACATCTTGAACTAAATGTTCGAGATTTGTTCTATTTTTCACAACTTGTTATGGTTTGGTTTTAAGAGTTTATTATGAAACATATAAATAGATTAGCAAGAATTGTAATGTTATGTGCTATTATACAAATAAAATATATAATCTTTATTTACTTTCTTCTTTTGACTTTGTCCCAAACACTGTTGGGTTTTCTCTTTCTGCTGGTACCTTCGCTTAATTGTCTAGAATTATTGAACATGGACCAATCTTCACCTCCAAAAGTGTTGTTAAGTTCTTTCCGTTTTTGGTACTTGTCTTTTTTGGTCATGGTACTAGGCAATCTGACGAAATTAGTTTCTTCATATGTTTGTAATTCCTTCTCCTTTCTCCGTTCAGAATCAGTCTTAACACCACCTCTACCGTGGTTAACAATATTAACACCAATAGACTTCTCTTCCATTGGTAAATCACTATTTTCACGCAAATACTCTTCCATACTTTGAAGCTTCTTGCTTGGCTTATTCTTTGTCTCTTCTCTTGTTGGAGGAGCCATCGCAGAAATCTTAGGTGGTTTATATGCTTCCTGAATGGGTTCTTCGGGTTTTGATGAAGCCTTCTTTGAAGCCTTGCTCATTAAGGAAGAAGCATCTGGTCTATATGCTAGCTCATCTTCACTTTCTTCACTGGAATCGTCATTATCATTATTCACACTAGCATTTTGCTGGTCATCATTACCCTTAGCTTCATATTCTTGTAGCATTTTATTGTATGTTCTGATCATCTTATCCAATTGATAGTTTAACTTCTTCTCAAGAGGTTTGATTCCTCTCTCTATCGTTACTCTCTGAGCAATGGTGCTCTCGATTGATTTTTCCCTAACATCATCTGCTTCTTCGTACTTTCCTTCCTTTGTTCTTTCTATTTGACTTAAGATAATCATCACTGCATTATGGATATAAGACAAGACCGTATTATTCTTCAAATTAAGTAAGGATACTTCCTCCAACTTACTCTTACTATCGAGCAATAACTGGTTTATGAATTCGGGCAAGTCGTTCTGCATTTCATATTCCAATATTTTGAGTATACCATCATTAGTGCTCTCCAAAGATGGGGTTATGGTGGATATTACCTCATCTATGTTGCTTGACATTTCTTAGATATGTTTTACTAACTTCAAAATTTTTTGCACCTCATCGATCGCGAAGTCCGTCTCATCTCATTTTTCTATAAAAAATTTTAGAAAGTTAAGCTAACGACACCACATCATAATGCCTCAGAACGAATATATTGAACAACACATAAAGAAGCATGGGAGAAGATTAGATCACGAAGAGAGAAAGAGAAAAAGAGAAGCCAGAGAAGGCCACAGAATTTCTAAAGATGCTCAAACCTTAAAGGGATGGAAGGGTAAGCAATTTGCTAAGAAACGTTATAGTGAAAAGGTAGCTATGAAGAAGAAGATCAAGGCCCACCAGGAATCTAAGGTTAAAGGTCCATCTACTCCAGCTGCAGAATCTGGTGAGGCATTGCCAACATACTTATTGGATCGTCAAAATGATAATACTGCTAAAGCCATATCTTCCTCGATCAAACAAAAGAGATTAGAAAAGGCTGATAAGTTTAGTGTTCCATTGCCTAAGGTCAGAGGTATTTCTGAAGAAGAAACATTCAAAGTCATCAAAACAGGTCAAAAGAATAGCAAAGCTTGGAAGAGAATGATAACAAAGCATACGTTTGTAGGAGAAGGGTTTACTAGAAGACCAGTGAAAATGGAAAGAATCATTAGACCTTCGGCTTTGAGACAAAAGAAAGCCAATGTCACTCATCCTGAGTTGGGTGTGACTGTATTTTTGCCAATCTTAGCAGTTAAGAAGAATCCCCAATCCCCCATGTACACTCAATTGGGAGTGTTAACCAAAGGTACTATTATCGAAGTCAATGTATCTGAGTTGGGATTGGTAACAGCTGGGGGTAAAGTTGTTTGGGGTAAATTTGCCCAAATTACTAATGAACCTGATAGAGACGGTTGTGTTAATGCTGTTCTCTTGGTTTAATATGGTTAATGAGTTTTTCAAGTTTTTCACAGGATAATTTTTGGCATTATAAATATACAAGCACTACTTTAGTTTAGTAATTCGTAATTAATCTAGTAACTCCACATCAAACACATCAGAACAGAAAACTTCTTTCTTTCCGATAGATCTCATCCCACAGTTTATGATAAGCTTTCCATTCTCTCTGACGAGCTCCCATTGACTATTATATAGTCTGGTTCCTATGAGAAAACACAATCCACTAATATTTTGCTTGTTGCTTATATTTGACAAGATTTCACCATACTTTGAGGTGATCTCATGAGGCAGGATCTTACTATCTGCTTTATAGAGGTTCTCAATGGCATGAGAATGATGCAAATTCTCTCGTCTTAAATTCATCATAAACTCTTGTCTGACCCTCTGTAAATACTCATAGCCACTTTCGGCACTTAAATCCACCAATTTCTCAAAAGTCAACAGGTACATGCTATCTTCGATATCTGCATATCTAGTGGATTCAATTCCTGAGGTCAAGAAGCAATAACTCCACAATATTTGCATTACTAAACTTAACGCAAACATGCTATCGAAGTAGTCCTTTCCAGGATTCCATATTTCTTTCTTCTGTTGTCCCTTTTCATGATCTAAGAGAGTTTCCCACAAGAATATATAGCAGTGTACAATACCTTTGAGGTTGATGACATCATTTCCATTCATATCTTTATGAAAATCCTTTGACCAAATATTCAGTAATTTTCTCTCGACAATGAGTCTATCTTTCATTGTAATGATAACATTTTGATTAGCAGGGGAGCCACAAAAAATCGAACAGTCGTAAGTATTTAAGTCTCCTAATCCCACAATATGAGCTAAATGATAAATTGAAAACTTACAAGTCGAAATACCTCCATCAAGTAACTTCATGGAAGATTTGTTCAATTTCACTGTCTTGCAATTCTCTTTCACTGATCGTGAGAAGTTATCAATAGCAATGCTTATAAGGTCTTTCCATTCCTGAAAGTTTGAGTTGCTTGGTAATGCAATTAATGATGACGAATTTTGTAGTTCAAACAGCTGCATTTGATACATGATTGATAAAAGCCCACCGAATAATATTTTTCTTGTGAAAGGAGATGGTACCAAGTTCAAGACTGAACTAACTTTCAACAATTTTTTTACCACGTTTAAGAAGGATTCGTTAGGGTTCAAACCGCTCTTGGTGGATGCCAACTTTTTCTGCTTTTTCATAATTTTATAGAAGGATCCATTCACATCAGTTGCTTCCCAGAGTTCGTCCTCACAGGGTAACTTCAATAATTGCAATTGATGAAAAAAGATAACTGGATTATGACGGAATTTTACATAATCAGCAATATCCAAATAGAAAGTCATATATGTAACTCTTTTGAAGGATTCGGACTCCACCCACTTTTTATATAGCTGATAATCATTTTTATCGTGGTTCTCTCTAACTTTATCAGCATCAAACTCATCTTCTGTGGATGAATTAGGCTTGTCACTGGCAGGATTTCCACCCAATACATGTGATCTTCTCATTAGTTGAACTGTCGTACTATGATGAATGTGAGCTCGTTCATGCATTGCTCTTGAAAGGAAGTTCTTTTCACTCCATTCCAATAAGTTCAAGCTTTGCAAAACCCAGAGCTTTACAGGCGATTTAAAGCCGTCATGCTGAAAAACTGCAAATCGTAACGGGGTAGCAATAGCCAATGCCAATTTATACTCTGGGGATTTTGAACGGGGTTGGCTAAGATGATCTGGTTTGTCTGCTGGAGTACAATAATTACACCCAACTAGAATCATGGATAATATTAATAATGGTTCTGCTTCTTTTGTTTTGAAGGATGATTTGTGTAGAATATTAAACTGAGGATGGAATACAAGCCAATACACAGATAAGTAGTAGGAGAATCTGTCTTCGATTAAAATCTTGTCATTGAAAATCAGCTCCACGAAATTTCTCTGTAAAGCGGGCAATGATACAAACAATTGATGCAAAACCATCTTGTCAATGTATATGTGTTCATTTGTAATGATATTAAATCTAGACCCATATTCATGGATTCGCCTTTGTAGATTTGTTGACAAGGTGGGACTGAAAATATCATTGGTTGGAGTTGGTGTTGCGTTTGAATCGTTAGTGCTTCCTGGAGATGTCAATGACACCGTCGAAGGTAGACTGAAATTGAAAGAAGTTAATCGGTTGTCTTCAGCGAGGCAGAAACTCACTTTACTACCATTCCTTTTATGGTCGATAGGAGTTTCAGAAGTATCCAATGAATCAATGCTTTTACCGTTTTCTTCGTTGTACACATTGCCAAGGCCTTGATTATAGCTTTTGAGAAGAAGTTCATCAAGAGGATTTATCTCACTCCTGAACAAGTTATTTTGAGCCAATTCATAACTCTGAAAACCTTGCCCATTGGTATACTGTCCTAGATCGAACCCACTGGGAAAAATGGAAGCATTTGCAATGCTTGTATTATTTTCCGCTGTACTTTGCATGGGAATATCCATAGGAGAAACTATGTTATTGGGAGATGAGTCGTTAAACAACCAGGAGATGAGTTCGTTCTGACTTTGCATCGTATTAAGAGGGTAAACTTCTTTGGTATTCTCTGCCTTCTTTTCATCTGAGACATCAATTCCATTACCACGACCATTTGGAAACAAGTCTCCGAACCCTCCATTACTGCTTTGATTACTATGGGATAATTCAGGCTTAATAAACGACAGTGTATCATTAGACTCAGCAGCATGTATTAAATTTGATATTTGAAGTGGAGATTCGGCAGCAGACTGAGAACGTACAAGTGCATTCTGCTGATTGTTCAAATTCTTTGATGGTTCTTTCTTTATGGACATGCTCCGCATTCTTGGAGAATCTATAGTTAATGATGACTCGTGTGAAGATACAGATGAACCACTTACACTCGACCAATTGACTCTTGATGTGCTTCCAGAAGACATGTGTCTTCGAACATGTCGATCTTTCAAGTCACGCCTCACAAAAGTTTTCCCACATTTTCTCTTCCCTCCACCAATTACCTCTAACATGAAATCACATTCAAAAAGCTCTTTGGGTTTATGGTTGAGTCGGTGTCTTCCAAGGTGATCAGTCCGGGTGAATATCTTACCACAATCTGGACACACATATTGCCCTATATTTCTCCTCTTTTTTTTCTGTTCCACATCTATATAGTTATTGGACGTGGATGGCGGCTGTTTCAATTCAGACATCATGTAAATCTCATCGACGGTGGATAACTAATTGATGTATTATATTTTTTTGCGACATTGTTCCCCACGAATTCTGTGGACTGCCAGTCCGTTATCTGCTTCTATTGATAAATAAACTTCTATAAATTTAGACTGATTGATTCAGGTGGATCCATATCCTCAAAAATGATTGTTTCAGGATCTTGAGTGAATTTAACGGTCACTTGGCTCTTTCTCTGGCTAACAAACAGATTTAGATTTCTCTTGTTGATTACTTCAAGCTCATCTTTCGAATCATCATCATCCAATTCTTCTAAGTCAATTTCACACACATTGATCTTCAGGGGCATTTTACTAAAATAAAACCTGAACTTTTGTAAGTTCATTAGAAAGATTCGATCTGCAATCTTTTTCACATCCAACGTCTCAAATGATTCAGATGAGTAAAGGTCTTTCATGAAATAGTCTTGGAAGGTCTGTTGGTCAAACGTGTCATATTGCTGTCCATCAAATTGCCAAATATCCATATATTTCGAAAACCAGCCAGGTTGTTCAACGGTAGCTCCTCCAGATTGTTCACCTGTGAACAAAAGAGATCCAGTAATTATATCATAGAGTTCACCAGCCTTGGTGTCAACGTACTTGTCTATAAGCTGACATGACAAAATCATATTAAAGGCCGCTTCATCTCCTTTTTTCAACCCCTCTGGGTCTGCAAAATTGACACTCCTAAATTGTGGATCCGTCAATATAGCATTAACTGAACAGTTAAGAATATGCTCATTGCCTTCGGGAACTTTCATAGCACTTCTCACCTGCTTGACAACGTCCTTTTGAAGCTTTTCTATCAATAGATCTGGTTCGTTGAATTTCATAACTGGTCTCATCTCCACACTGTCATTTGATATTTGGTCCTCGTTGGCATCAGTATCACTTTCGAATATATTGCTTCTTCTGGAGCTGGAATCAGTATCATCTTCAATACCTTCGTAGTAGTCGCTGCTTGAGAGTTGCTCGGTAAGGCAGGATTGTTGATGACTCTCACTTAAATCTAAGTCATCTTCTATCTTATTATTAAGCTCAGAAATATTATTTGCTGATTGAACTCCCGACATCCATCGTTTACGATAAAAGGTCTCCATATTGTCCTTCAACGTCATTTTTATTGATGTTCTCATACATGACTTGGTCTCTTTCAAAAGCACCAAATCACACACATTTAAAGGAAATTTTAAAGAAAACCTCCCGTGATTTGACGGCGATATCATTTCGAGTTGACTGTTTTGGTATTGACCTTATTCAAGGATTTAGGTGGATTGCTTGATTGATCACTTTTCGAGGCTTCTTACTCCGTTTTATGGTTCCACTAATGGTTATATCATAAGTAAATTTTAATATGAGGGATAAATAATGTTTCTGCTGTACACAATCGCGATGCGATCTTCAACTTTTCATCTGGAATCTGACAGACAAATGGAATCATTGTGCATGCTTCCACAATCATATTGAAACTTCTAATAGATGTAAACTAGTCGGCTGAGTTCCACCAAGAGGTGTCAGCGCTATCACTTTCACTGGAACTATCGTTATTGTCTTCATTAACAGCTGCTGGAATAGTGGTATTTGCAGCCGAGGTAACCCCTGTATTTGCAGCCGGTGCAACACCTGTGTTTCCATTAGCATTTCCAGTTCTGCTTCTGCTATTTATGGCTATTATGGAGTCCGGTCTTGTTACGCTGAATGCTGAACTGGCTGCAATGGGGAAATTGGGAATTGGAAACTTACCAGCTGTAACCAAGTTGGGTTCTTTAACCCTTACTTGGTCTATTGTATTTCCTGGGAGTGTACAAGTTGGTGTAGCCAATGTCCGGCTAATGAAGGCATCCGTTAAAGGGGTTATTGATGGATTGAATGGCCTCTTAAAGGGATTGAATATATCTGTCGAGCAGTCCATCAAGTGAGATAAAGTGTTTGATGGATCATTATAATTGCTTGAGATCAATCTTTCTAACCGCTCCCGGTGTAAAACATGGGCATTCTTCTCTTTAGACTCCTCTACCTCTTTTCTGCATAATGGACAACTAGCATTATTGGTGAGCCATTCGATAATACAACTCTTTCCAAATACATGCTTACAGTTGGGCATTCTTACTGGTACATGTTCTGCATCATTAGGGGTTGCTTGAGGTTTCCTCTTGGCTTCTTTCTTTGTCCATTCCTCTAAGCCTGGAAGAATGTCTTCTTTGGTTGGAGGTTCCAAACTATAGAGATTCCTTTGGGGAAATCGACAATATCCCAATCCAGTTTGATCCAAAGGCATAAAAAGCAGTGGATCTTTGAATGTGGATGTTTCGTTCATTGATTCAAGATGCATATTGCAGTTGGATCTGAGTTCTTCTATGATATCATGATCATTCTCTTTGATTAAATCAATATATGATCGTGTGTCTTTGTGAGGGTCTTGTGAGTTATTTGAAGATGCATCATGGGAGTCTGGATGTCTCTTGTACTCATCATAACATATGGGGCAATCAAAGCTCTCAAGCAGATCGAAGTCAACCTCTTCTAACGAAGCAATAGCTTCTTCCGATGCAACCTTTTTCTTAGACGTTATTCCTGTTGCGTTGAGGGCCCGGTCAATCACACTTCTAAGCCAATTAGGTAAGTCAGATGACGGATTTGCGACTGTTTCCATATCAATATCGATCATGGTGGTACCGAAAAATGGGGAATCCATGATGATTAAAAAGGAAGATTGTGGTTGAGATTTAAAATGCGAATTTCTGCACATCTTGTTTATATTTGTTGGTTGTTTAACAATTATGATATTGACTCAAAATATTTCCAGATCCTTGGTGGCACATAGTGCTTGTGACATTGTTCAATGGTCAGGTAATCTGCAACTAGCCATCAATGGAGAAAATCAATTGGTGATATTGGATCCTAAACTTCCAAATCTACACAAATCCATTATCTCACAAGTGGAGTATAATCATACAATTGAAAACTTTTCGACCGATAAGAATGTTTTGAATACCGAAGATATGTTCTCCCAAAGTTCTATTTTGCATACGGAGAAACTCATCCAGTTGGATGTCGGGAAATTCAATAAGGTGACATTCAACTCTTCCTCATCCACATTTGAGTTCAATAGAATAACAGAACCTTGTTTTGTTAAACATCAATGGTCTCAGTTGTCTCCATCGGACAAAAACTGTTATCTTGGAGTACTATTAAACACAGGAGAATTTTTGGTATTAAAGAGAACAAGCAAGTTCTCGGATCAATATATAGTGGTGCATAATTTCTTTGATGTACTACTAGAGGTAAACGGTATAGAAGATGCTGACGAGATAACCATTGATCACCTGCAATATAGGAGTTTGAAGGTCAAAGACTTCAATTTTGTTCAGGTTTCAAATTCATTGCACATAAGCGTCTTGACAGAAAGTGGTGAAATTATATTCTTCAAGGATGGACAGGTTGAGTTTTCTATACCTGCCTCGGCTAGTGCAATTGCTTACGAAGCAATTCAGTATGACGGTATCACCTACATTGCCTGGAAAACAATAGATAATGAGGTATATGTGTATGATTCTACCAGCGGATCCCGTTTAATTCTAATGGCATCTCGGTTCAAAATCGGTAAGCTCTTATGGGACAGCTCCAGGCTATTTGTCACCAGGTACAGAAAAGTCGCTGTGTATCATACATCTGGAGATTTTTTCGATGTGGACATTGGCGAAGGAAATATCGCCAGCATAGTTCCCCTTGGAGATAAAGTGATAATTGCATATGACCATGGGAAGTTTGATATTGTTGACTTGGCTACGAAGACTGTATCGCCTTGTACAGTTTTGGAAAAGTATGTGTCTAACCATTTATTGAAGTATCTGCTAAATGGCGATGACAACAAGAACTTAAGTACTGACGGGAATTTCATAACTGTTGGAGTAAGTCTTAACAAGAATGGTATCTTAAGTATAATCCACAAGATTTATCCCAAGAATAGCATCAACTATAAAATTTTGAGTAAAAGCAGTTTTACCATTGGTTTCGTGTCTGTTCTGGAAATTCTTGAAATTGAACAGAATAACACATTGCAGACATCTTTGAGCTCCATTAATCAGTTTTGGTTCCACAAATTCAAACAGATCTTGGTATTTCCTAAAAATTTCCAGATTTCATCATCTACCGCATTTATCTTTGAACATTTAACTAATTTGGAAACTTTAAAGCAGACGCTTCCGAAGATCAACACGATTTCATTGAAGCCCAACAAGGTTAACGATTTCAAAGAGTACCTATTTAGGAACTTCACCGCTAATTCTCAAGTCATCGGTTATCAAGCACTTTACAATTTCAATATCGTGTTGATAAATGCGAACAACAGTCTAGCATCCAAAGTCGGGAGATTAGATATTGCTAATTCAGCGAAACATCCAAGTGAAAAACTTGAAGAGTTGAACAAAAGATTATTAGAGGAACAAGAACTTATTGAATTCACAATATTTCAATTCTTGATCAAAGTGATAGTCTCTTTCGATTACCCCATTAAGAATGACATTGATAAGTTTGTATTTATGAACTATTACTTGCTTCTTAACAAATCTTTCGAGTTGCCGTTTAACGATACGGATATTACAGTTACCTTGCAAAATAAGTTTGTTACTGAGTCCTTCACCGTGAGCAAGACGGCGACATTTTCAAAATTGATTCAGTCCAATTCAGAACATTATTGGCCTAGATGTGAGCTTACTTTACTACCACTCATTGACGAAGTTAACCTCACTGATGAGCTTGAAAGATTCAACTACCTATTGCGAAAACCAAGTCCTGATGGGTTGGCTTGCGACCTTCTCAACACATTGAGCTACTGTATTATTACTGGCAATAAAATTCACCACAGCTAGAAGGAATCTTCGGCACATATTCAATTGCTCCCCGCCCTAGAAATGCCTTATATATATGTGAGTGTATATTAGTATCCTTGAGTACCCGAATTGTACGCAATTTGGCGTTGCGTTCTTGACTGCTCTTTCTCAGAGTCAAACTCTTTTTTCGCTGGGAGTCAATTTTTTGCAGCCCTATAAATCCCTTATTGATTCTTAAGAATGTAAAGATGATAAAATTTGATTGTCATGTCATTAAATCAAACAAAACATGCGCAGGTGCCATTTGTGAAAACCTCATTGGTAGACGTCACCAAAAGGTTGCCTTTCAAGCCCCCTTGTAAGATCTTTTTTAAGAATGAATATGAACAGCCATCCGGAAGTTTCAAACTAAGGGGAATTAGCCATTTGATAGGCACAAAGGTTGAGGAGATTCGTGCTAAATCTTTGGGTACAAAAATCCACGTGTTTGTGTCCAGTGGTGGAAATGCTGGTCTTGCGGCAGCATACCTGGCACAATTCTATGGAATAGAGTGTACAGTGTGTGTCCCTAGTCATACTAAACAAGTTATTATAAGCAAGCTTGAGACATATAATGCCCACGTTCTCATCTTTGGCAATTCTATTAATGAAGCGGATGGGTACTTACGTTCTCAGATGATTCTTCTAAATGACTCAATCGAGAAGATATACTGTCATCCGTTTGAACATGAGTTAATATGGGAAGGACATTCAAGTCTTGTGGACGAAATATGTGCCTCCAATTTACCTCAAGATAAGCTCAAGGGTATTGTTTGTTCCATTGGAGGTGGAGGCTTGTACAATGGGATATTAATGGGATTAAAGGCTAATAAGGTGAAAGCCGATGTTCTTCTCGTTGAGACTACTCAAGCACCCACTTTTGCGGAAACTATAAAGAAAAAGAAGATATTTACTCTAGATTCAGTGAAGTCGTTGGCTACGTCTTTGGCATGCTCTTATTTATCCAAGCAGAGTCTCGATAACTATTTGCATCAGGATGACAATAACAGGACTAAATTCCAATCAATAGACGATATCGATGCTGCCCGTGCAGTTCTTGACTATCACGATGTATTCCATCATCTTATAGAGCCAGCCTGTGGAGCAGCAGTCTGTGTATGTTTAAGCAGAATGGATTTGCTATTCAAGAATTTCCCAGACCTCCATGAGGACGATATCATAGTGGTAGTCGTTTGTGGTGGTTCTTGCACTGATAAAGACGGGTTGGAAGAGTTGAAACAGATAGTCAACAGAAGTAAGTTGTAGTTGTATTTATATGTATTTGCAATATTCATAATATTCCGGTTTTTATCTCTCCTAGTGCTTTCGTGGGTGTCTCACTTTTTGCAGTCAAAAATGCGTAACGCGTCCTAATGAGATTAGAAGTCCCAATCATGACGAGAGGAGATGATAAGTTTCACCATCCCTACGAACCTTATGATATTCAGCTACAACTAATGGGCGAGATATATGAAGCCATAGATAAAGGCTTCAAAGTGGGTCTTTTTGAGAGCCCCACCGGCACAGGGAAAACCCTTTCGTTAATATGTGCCACGATGAGCTGGTTAAGAAAGCATAAGAATACTAATCTCACCACGTCACACAGTGGCGATTCAGAATCTGAATCTGAACCGGAGTGGGTCAAAACAGCATACAAGAAGAAGGTTTTGTCAAGACACCAAGGGGAGCGAAAAGAGTTTGAAATGCATTTAGAGGAGGCATCACAAGAATACGAAAAGAAAATAGCCAAGGTACATGAATTGCCAGAGAAGAGGCTTAAGACATCCTACGAAGACGATTATATTCCAGCAGATTACCATAGTGATATTGAAGGTACTGACCACAATGAGCAGTTAAAGGATGAAATATCGAGACTCTTGAAAAGAGTTGATGATGGACCATCCAATAGAATAGACATGGGAACATTGGAAGATGATTCTACCAAGATATTCTTCTCATCAAGAACACACACACAATTGGGCCAGTTTTCGGGTCAATTGGCTTTAACTACTTTCGAGTCTTCTCTCTATGACATGTCTGAACGAGTCAAATACCTTCCCATGGGTTCAAGAAAGCAGCTATGTATACACCCCAAGATATCCAAGTTATCTAATACCGAGTCCATCAATGAAGCGTGTGGGGAACTCGCGAAGAAGGAGCTGAAATGTGAGTTCGTGTGTAACACCAAGGTTGAAGGTATCAAACAACAGTTTAATGACTATAGTCTTACGAAGATTCACGATATCCAAGAGTTGAAGCAATTGGGAGAATACTTAAAAATTTGTCCATACTATTCGGTTAGGAATAACCTCAAAATGACAGAGGTCATTTCATTACCGTATCAAATGCTATTGGAGGAAAATGCAAGAGACAGTTTGAACATAAATATCAAGAATTCCATAATCATAGTCGATGAGGCACATAACCTATTAGATACCATAAATGCCTTAAACTCTGCGGCAATTTCCGCTGAAGAACTAACGTCTTTGAATCAGTCATTGAAATTGTATTTCAACAAGTTCATAAAGAGGCTCAACCCTGGGAATAGAATCAATATTATGAAGCTCATCAAAATTTGCAGCATTTTGCATAAATTTATTGTCTACAACAGAGATAACAAGTTAGCCAAAACGGGTGGAAAGATAAAGATTAATGATATATTTATTGATAACACTGGAGATTTGTTCAACATCCATAAGTTAAATGAATACTTAAAGACGTCCAAGATTGCATTCAAAATAGAGACCTATTTGGAAAAGAATGTGGAAAATTATCAAACTACTTCTAATCCGTTACTATTTAAATTGGTGACATTTTTGAGGGCCCTAAGCAATCCAACAAATGAAGGTAGCTTTTTTTGGGACCTGACTCTGCCAGATGACTTATCCATTAAGTATTTGTTGCTCGATCCCTCTGAGATTTTCAAACCAATTGTTGAGGACTGTAAATGCTTGATCTTAGCAGGCGGAACAATGGAGCCTATGAGTGATTATACCGAGTATCTTTTCCCTTATCTACCAACCACCCAAATCAAGCAGTTTTCTTGTGACCACATTATTCCGATAGAAAATTTGAAGGTTCTACCAATTGGTTCATATAAGAATCAAATTCTTGACTTTCTGTTCAAAAATCGGAACAACAGTACACTAATCCTAAGGTTAGGCGAATGTTTGATTGAGATAATGAAAAACACCCCCGACGGCACAGTTGTGTTCTTGCCTAGTTACAAGTACTTGAACCATATTGTTGCTGAATGGAAACAAATGGGAATTTGGAAACAAATGGAGGCACTTAAGTCGTCACTATTTGTTGAGCCATCTTCATCAAGTCAAGTTGATGAAGTGCTTAAAAAATATTCCAGAGCTATCAAGACTGGTAAAGGAGCTGTGCTTTTCTCTGTTGTCGGAGGTAAACTCTCTGAAGGTATTAACTTTCTGGATGAACTTGCAAGAGCTGTTATAATGGTTGGTTTACCATATCCGAATTTAATGTCAGGAGAACTTATAGCCAGGAAGAAATTTATTGAAGAAACCACTTTCCTTAAGACAGGATCAAAACTGATGGCATTAGATAATAGCAGGCAATTTATCGAAAACATTTGCATGAGATCTATCAACCAAAGTATAGGAAGAAGTATTCGGCATATCAATGATTACTCAATGATATATTTATTTGATCATAGATATCACCAGAAATCTGTCCAAAACAAGCTCAGTGGATGGATCAAGCGCCGAATCCTTGACCAATTACCTTTTCCCGAAGTAATACAACACACGAACGACTTTTTTATGACCAAATCCCTCAAGAAGTTAACTTAATGTACATAGCTCTAATAAACCACGTCGCTTCTTAGCACCCACTTCTCCCCAGATCTTACCAATTCTGCCTCATGCATTAAGCAGTCATCGCCATGTTTGTGAAGTAGCGCCATTCCTTTGGAGGGGTGAATATTCAATGGTTTTTTATTATCACCATAGAATATCGTTCCACCTCCTTCAAATTCTTCGTCACCAGTCAAGTATATTAAAAGAGTCCATTTTGTTCTTCCATTCAACGCTTTGACAGATTCATCATAGTGCTTGCCAAAGTAGTGCCCCTTTTGATACCTATAAACTCTCAATTGAGGGTTCAATCCAATGGCTTTGGCAAAAGTTTTCTGCACAACATTCGTATCGTAGTCATCTTGGAGTAAGACATGTTGAAGATAGGACCAGAGATTTTGAGAAGCCTTATAGTCCTCTATTAGCGTTCTATCATTTATTCGGGCAGCATAATCTTTACTTTTGACCAAAGGAGTTGTCTCTAGCTGTAGATTACCAAATGATTTTATCAATTCATTGCACAAACCACTAGTGAAAAATTTGTTAATGATGATTATTTGATCATCAATAGTGACATCTGCTGTTGGCTTGAAAAACAGTTTTTGAAACTCAGCATTCAAACTATTGAATTCCAGAGGAAATTGAAAAGTGTTTACTTCCTTCTTTCTTGCCATGATTTAGCCAGAAACAAATGAGATGGGCGCATCGCACTAAGTAGGTTGCAAAATGTCTAGTGATATATATTAGTGTAATAGACTATTTATAATTGACTCTCTAATTGTACTAAAACACTATAGGTTTCACGAGGCATCTTGTATTGGATGATTCCAGCAAAAACCATACAGTTTTTAGCCATAGCCTTCAATCTAGAAATTTCCTCATTCTGATTAGCTAAACTCTTGAATGACTTGGTCAAAATCTGGTAGTTGATTTGAGAGATAGAAGTCATTGTCATCAAAAGCAAAGAAGGAATAACTTTCAAAATGCTGTTGTCTAGGGAGTTTTGAACATAGTCCGCTAGTTTTCTGGTTTCGATAAGATCAGATTTAGGGTTAATTGGAATCAAGTGCAAATTTTCGATATCCAACAACACTTGGTTGAAGTTCTTAGCGAGGAAGGATTCTCTCACCGATATGATAGCCAACAACAAATCAGAAGTATTCTTGTAAGACTTGTTAGTTTTGCTCAAAATGTTGCTGTTATTGCTGAAAGTATTGACAATATGTTTGCTCAACAATACAATATTATTTTCAATAGTATCCTTTTCACCTGTCACTTCATAATTTCCAGATTTTATTAACGACTCATCCAATTCGGTGGTTGCTATAAGCTCACTCAAAATTCTGTTAATAATGGATAAAACAGTATCATATTCTTGGCACAATTGATATAACAATAACGAATCAAACACTCTTCCTTCTTCTTCACATTTTTTGGCACTGAGTTCGATTATTTTGTTGTAGAAATCCTGGATATCAGATAATTTTATCAATTCCCTTTGGTTCTCCAATAACCCACTGATCTTTTCCCCGTTGTTTGCGTCCAACTGTCCAAGCAATAAGTTAAATTCTCTTGAAAGTAATATCAATTCTCTTAAGGCTGCATGACACTGGGAAATATCTTCCTTGGAATTACCACCCTTTGAAATGCTGATCAAGATCAAGTATTGACATGCAACCTTTGGGTCGCTTATCTTGAATGCTCTGGTAAACGAACCAAGTAGTCTTGGGAAATTCACCTCATATTCGTTACGATTAGGATTCAAGTAAATCAATTCATCCTTATTGATATTGCTGGAAACTTTCAATAATCCATAGTAGTTCAATCCAATAGCCAAATGCACTGCATCTATCTCGCTTAAAAATTCAAAAGTGTATTGAATGGCCAATTCATACAAACCAACCATGGCCAAACACTTCAAGTACATAGGATTGTTAGATGACGAGTTCAATTTCTTTGCACCCATCAGAATTACTTGCTTTTGTAAGTTCTCCAATGTGTACTTTTCATATATCAAGTCTGAGGAACTGCTTGTTTCGTTTACTATAGCTAAGTGGAACCACAACCAATCTTCTATGCTTAAATTAAGTAATGGGGGTAAAGTTCTCTTGGACAAATCACACTTTCCAATGATTTTATAGACTGAGTACTTATAAGGATCATACAAGTTCTTCAAATCATCGTTCACAAAAGCAAATTGGTGGTTGAATTCAGAAACAAATCTATCATTCAAGTCATGAGGTAACTTAAACTTACCATTTTCAAGGAATTTTTTCAAGTATAAGGGGAAGTTCTTGTCAAACTTCTCAAACAATTCACGATTAGATAAAACCATTTCGAGAGCCTCTGAGTATAAACCAGATCTCAACATATAGTAGATTAAGGCCCAGATGGGAGTTCCATTCACCTTCAACGTTTTCTCATTGAAATTTTTGTTGTTCTTCACAATAATCTTGTTTATGAAAAATTTTACTTTATTTGTGTTATTTGGTGGAAGAAAGTTCTGCTTGTCCTTATCTTTATTGTATATCTCATCCATGTATTGATAAAATTGCTCCTCCAAGTAAGATTTGCTCTTCTTGATGACCAATTCATTTAAGTTAGTTCTCTTTTGAGTATCATCAGTCTGGTAAAGGTCAAAGAATTTCTGCTCTTGGATAACCTTTGACTTATTTTCTTCACTTAACTGAATCAAAATCTTGTATACATCTGTGATTTGCTTTGATTTTAAGTCATTGCTTGGCTTGTTTAATTCCTCAAAATTTGAAAACAATGCATAATGATGGTGCAGCATTCTTGACTCATTTAATTGATAAATAACGGTGGCATATTGTTCAAATTTTTCTCTAGTATATTGTCTAGTCGACAGCTTGGAATTTAATTGACTCAATGGGGCCAAAATACTAAAGTTTCCAGGTACAGACTTATTCCAAGTAATGGACTTAGCCAATGTACTGTCAGATGAAGGATTATTGAAATTTTGATTTATGACAGATTTTCTTAATTCATTTCTTTTGACTTTCCAGTCGATGGAGATTGTTTTACTGATGTACTCATCGAAATCTCTTGATGCAGCTGTTAAGGATTGTTCAATCGTAGCCAAAAGATTCTGCTCCTTCTTCGTGTTCAAAAACTGGTCAATTCCAACGTGTCTTGGTTTTATAACCTTATTCAACGATTGTTGAGTTCCAGAAAGGCCCGAAATTTGACTAATACCATGACGATCAACCGGGAAGTCAATGGCTTTCAAATCACTTTCAATTTCTTCGGCACTTATACCACTTGACGCCAACAAATAGTGGGCTCTAGTGAAATTAGCAGAATCGTCTTTGTTTTTCCTCATTTCATTGGATTTCCTTTGTAATTCATTCAACGTTAAATGTATAGAGCCCAAATCATGGTTATTGATTTTTGGCAAGTTATTAGCAGACTCTATCAAGTCTTTCAACAACTTAGAGGTTGAATTGGTAGATGCGTGGACGGCTGATGGTGGAAGCAGGGCATTTGCAGTAGAAGAAATGCCCGCAGAAGACGGAACTGGATTGGAAGTTGCTTGGGAAAACACTTGTGCACTAGTTGAAGGAGCAGCGCCAAAAAGTCCACTATTCGCTGGCTGTACTTGAGGTTGTTGGTTTTGCTGTTGGGATTGGTTCTGTTGTTGGGGTTGTTGGGGTTGTGGTAGTTGTTGAGGTTGCTGATTTTGCTGTGGTGGTTGATTTTGTTGTTGAGATGGTTGGCCAAAGCTGAAGGCATTAGGAGCCGCAGGCAATGTTTGGGTGTTGTTATTGTTAGAATTTGCGGCAGATCCAAACAATCCCGAGCTGGACATCGAGCGCTTGGCTCCCAATGGGTTACCTGTCGATGACTGTTGTCCAAATAACGACATATAAAGCACTAGTAGTTGTTTACTTTGAAATTTTTCTGTTTTAACTAGACCGCACTGAGATCGATAATTTTGGTGGAGAGCACGACTTCATTTGTTTTTCTTAGCTATAAAGGTGATGAGAAGTAGCAAAAAAATTTTCTCTTTATTAACTTTGTCCAAAAGTATTCCATCACTATAGACAGTACATTATTATGGTTCTTTGTTTCACCCGCTTGTGGACTATCAGTTCTTGATAGTCTCAGGCATTTTATGGAACGGAGATCACCCTATCATATATAAATGTGATGTGTGATGGATAGAGAAATTGAATCTATAAGAACCTGTCTGGACTAAATTTTGAAAGAGAGGTGTCAGATGATCCATACATTTGTCATTTATAGAGCCTAGGTCCAACCATGATCTAATTGAGCTACCATAATTGTGTTTGATAGTATACTCTAGTTTCTATGTTATTAATCTAATCTCTGTAAACCATTTCTCTATATCAGGTATTTGCAAACGTCAGGGAATTCTTCTTCTTCGTCGTTACCTAAACCTCCAGCAAACACTTCTCTACAAGAATACTTCTTGACAGGGAAGAACCAATATGCCAACACCAAAATGATGTAAACACCGTACACGGCAGAAATATAGTTCATGGTATCTGCTGTTACAGGCATGTAACTTGGGAATGAAAAGAAAACCAAGGCAAACACTGTCCAGGCCAATGTCACAATGTTGGCACAAAGACCAATCTTACCCAACCAGAAAGGACCATGTTTAACATTGTCTCTTCCTCTGTACAACAAACACAAAACTGGAATTGAGTAACTCAACAATAAAAAGGTGATACAACCAACCACCATCGAATTAAAAGCAGTATCCGAAGCCATGTATAAGCAACCCAAAATTGCCACCACCACCGATGAGAAAAGATGGGCATTCAAAGGAATTCCTAATTTAGGATCCACAATCGATAACTTATCAGAGAATGGTAACCCATTGTCTCTAGCAAAAGACCAACATAAACGAGCTTGCCACGTGTGAGAAGCAATGGTACATCCGCAAGCAGTCAACAATACCAAAACTCCCAAGCAACAAGCACCAGCTCTAGAACTCAAAGCCTGATAGTAAATATCTAAAATAGGCATTCCAGTGGTAGAGCTTACAATATCATCCAAGTTACGAACCGAAAAGAACATTGCAATTGAATAAGTGAAAGAAGTCACCATTCCAATAGTAACAGTTCCAAGAACCGCAATTGGAATTACTCTTTCTGGTTGTAAAACCTCTTCTGCCAAATGAGTAGCACAATCCAAACAACTAAAAGACCAGTTAGGGTTAATTAATCCAACAATAAAGGCGATACCCGAAGAACTCCAGCCAGTTCCGTTTTCGAAATCGGAAAATACAAAATGTGCCGGCTGGTAGTTACCTCTAGCACATGCCAAAACGGTAATAGTTATGGCCACATATGAAAACAAAGAAATGTACAAGGCACCATTGGCAATAAAAGGTAAGATTCTTCCATAACAGTTGAACACCACCAACAATACATTGACAATCTGATATACCACAAACAATTGCCATTTCTGGGTAACATGGTCTGGGTGCATCAAGTTCCAAAGACCCATGATGTTACTGGCGACAGAAAGGGCCATCGAAGCAGAAGTGAAAATTGCACCAGCCCAACCGAAGGCTCCATCAAGGTAAGCCAAGAAACTCAGAAACCGTCTAGGAGCCAATACACGAGTCCACACGTATTGACCACCAGCAGAAGGAATAGCAGAAGAAAGCTCGGATAAAGTAATCCCCACGTTATAAGAGATGAACGCGATAATTAAAATTCCATACACAATCAACATAGGTCCACCTGATTGGATACCAGTAACCAACGAGGCCAGGATCCCGAACCAAGAATTGGTCAAACCGAATCCGACACCTAAAACTGACCACACCGAGAAAGTTCTCTTCAACTCCCCTCCGTGATGATGATGAAGCTTCACACTAGCGATTGACTCGCTAAACTCCATAGATTTGTTGGAGTTTTCTTCGAGGTTTTGCACCTCCACACCGGCTTCTTTATCTTTCATCGAAGAACCCATCTGATCAGAAATATGAAAGTTTGAGCCTGATGTTGAACTTTGATGATCTTGGCTCATTTTCAACTATTGCAATCAATTAAATACCTACGTTTCTGATAAGTGAGGACGAAAATTTTTTCTTTTTCCCCAGGGGACGTCTACCTAAATAAGGAAATAAAACTCGACCAACGAAATCAAACGCGACATTTTTATTTTTATGGCAAATCAACGCCCACATTATTGGTGGGACGAAATATCAATTAAAAACACAACGAGGGGCGTTATGAAGCACGTGCTGGCAATAAACGATGTAATCATGGGGATATATGTTCCAGATGGCCCACTTGATTCACCATCTATGGAAACATGATATTTAGAGCCGTCTCTGCCGAGGTGCCTGGTATTCTGGTGTCGCATCGACATTTTCTTATCGCTATCGCGCAAATGATAAGATTCGCTCTCAGTTTGCTCATGATGCAATTGACGCAAAAGATTTATATTTTCACTCAAATGGTCCAATTTATCCTTTACACTAACAAACTGGAGCGCAGTTTCTGCTACTAAATCCCGGACTTGTAACCCAATGTCTATAACCATGTCGGATACATCTTCCTGATTGATCTGAGGTTGCCGCTCAGGCTTGGAACTGGCGGATTTATCAATTCCCTCGTCAATGCCAAGATCTCCTAGATTAGCTGATGCCAGTAAACTGCGGCTCGCTGTCAAAGGTCGAATAATGTAGTGTTTTCCATCTGCCTTAATAGCTCTTTCAAAACGAGAGGTTACTGACTCTTTGGGAGAGGGAGTAAACAGCTTATGCCTAGAAGATTTTGGGGTGGGAGGCTTCCAATATACTTGATTCATTGGCATGTAATTATATTATATGCATTAAGGGTGCTGGGGCTTTCTCATTTAAATAGTTTTGATCATGTTTTGGGTGTATTAAATTTGTTTCAGATGTGGGAGATCTGTCACTAGTCTGAAAGGTGTGACCCTAAGCCACATAATCGAAAATCCTTGGATCAGCATTAGCCAGTGTCTTCTGTACTTCTGGAGCTAGTTTAACATGGGTGTATCTCGTTAGTGCTTTGCTTTGGCCTACTGGTGCTATACTTTTACCGCGCTGAGTTGCGTTTGCGACTACTATACCTAGTAATACTTCCTTCCTTTCTTCAAACGAATCTTCTATTTGCCCATGGCATTCAAGCACAATATACAGAAAGACACAAATATCTTCACTTTGTTCTCTCTTTCACTTTTCATCTCTTTTGTAATATTGTGTCGTTCCCTGTCGTTCCCCACGATTCTCACTCAGTTTTTTTTCTTGCGAAATGCTAATGATTTTACACATCTCACTTTGGCCACTCATCCATATATTATTATCCCTAATATTCATAAACAATGCAGTACGTGGGGAAAGTAGGCGGTTACATGTACAACCAATGGAACTCGTTGAATCCTGCCACCCTACTGGGAGCAATTGATATCATTGTGGTGGAGCAACCAGATGGGTCTCTCCATTGTTCTCCTTTCCACATTCGATTTGGAAAGTTCCAAATCATCAAACCCCTGCAAAAGAAAATTGATTTCTATGTGAATGACACGAAGACAGATCTTCCGATGAAGCTAGGAGATGGTGGTGAAGCCTTCTTTGTGCTTGAAACAAACAGTGATAACTTGATATCCAAGAGCGCGTTGACATCACCAGTTATTTCACCGGCTTCCTCTCCTGAAGTATCGCCCAACCTAACACCTGCTCCATCGTCCGGATCCACAGAGGCGGATACTGACTTATTGACCGATTTGGATGGGTTTGATTTGAATACCCCTACAAAAGGTGCGGTTCGACCCTCCAGTGTTTCTAGCGCTGAAGAGCTTGCTGGTGACATTGAAAACAGAATTAAATTGACCGATACGAAGGCTTCTTCGCCTTCATTTTCACCTGAAAGAGGCCCTACACCTACCCCCAGCATTAATTCAAAAATTGCTTTTGAAAAAGCCAAAAAAGTCACGCAGAAATTGAATATTCCCTCCAAAATAGATAATAATGGGGATTTGGTTCTTGATATGGATGGATATAAACCTAATTCCCAGAAAAATATTGACAACTCGGATGAACTTCTCAAGAAAATCTTCATAGAAGAATTAGAAAAATTGGGCCAAGAAGTGGATACTAATGAAAACCTGGTAAGTATGTGGGACCAAATCATACAAATGGATGAAGATGGTAACATTCGGATCTCGAATTTTGATGACTATGAAAACAGCGAGGAGCTTTCAATGGCCATCAGTGAGCAGTATGCTCAAGCAATTGCCGAACAACAGCAAGACTTGACTAATAGTAGCTTGAATCATGACGATGAGAAGACATACTTCAAGACATTAAGATTGACATCAGAACAATTGAAAAAGATGAACTTGCAGTATGGAGAAAACAAGTTGATGTTCAAGTTGAATCAAGGAAACTCCCAAGTCAACTCCAATTTGTATTTGTGGAAGGCATCTACCCCAATCGTTATTTCTGATATCGATGGAACCATTACCAAATCAGATGCATTGGGACATGTATTAAATTTTATTGGTAAGGATTGGACCCATCCTGGGGTTGCCAAGTTATTTCAGGATATCTCCAATAATGGGTACAACATTCTCTACTTAACCTCTAGATCGGTGGGACAAGCTGATTCTACAAGAGCTTACTTGCAAAGTATTGTCCAAGACAACAACACGAAGTTACCATCTGGCCCTGTTATTTTGAGTCCTGATCGGACAATGGCAGCTTTAAGAAGGGAAGTGATTCTTAGAAAACCAGAGGTGTTCAAAATGTCTTGCTTAAATGACATTCGAAGTCTCTATTATAACACAAATAATTCCAAGAAGGACGATCCTAATGACGCGCAGGTCAATGATAAAACTCCGTTTTATGCTGGATTCGGAAACCGTATCACTGATGCCATTAGTTATCGGTCAGTCTATATTCCCAGCCATCGGATTTTCACAATTAATCCTGATGGAGAGGTTCATTTAGAATTATTGGAGCTATCAGGAGTTAAATCATCATACTTAGGGATTGGTGAATTGGTTGATCAATATTTTCCTCCTATCGGACAACTTGGAAACTATTCCAGTTTTGTCAATTCGAGCCAGTTCGGATTGAAATCTGCTGAAGAAAGGTTCAACGATGTCAATTACTGGAGAGAACCTCTTGATTTGACTGATTTGACTGATATAGAAGATGACGAGCCCATTCCAGAACCAAAATCTCCTAGCATTCTATCAGTGCGGTCCTTTAACCTTGATTCTGGAAGTTCCCCACCAGAGAAGAAGGAACGTGAACAAAGAGATAGACCTAATTCGATTTCGTCTTTCACCTCCCCATTGAAAGGGTTCATGAACTTCAACAGAAGTGGACCTGATGACTCATTTGACTACGGAGACAATGGGAGTGATGTAGAGAAACTCGACATTAATGATGGCACTAGTGCAGCAGTTGGAGATGACGACCAAGATGACTACACAGAAGAAGAAGACTATGATGAAGCTGAAGATGATGACTACGATGAGGCAGAAGATGACGATTACATCGACGAGGATGATGGTAATGACGAGGATGACGAGGATGACGACTATGATGAGGATGACGAAGACGACTACGAGGATGAAGGTGATTATGAGGGTGACTTAGATCATGAGGAACCCCATGTAGAAGGGAAACCGGCAAATGTAACGTCAAAATTGGCTGTATCGGAAGAGCTTGAACCTGCTGCACTGAGGATAACAGTGACGACCGCTGCCGAAATGGTCAAAAATATGTCTCTATAAAACAAAGCAAATATATACCAGCTCAGAATTGCAAGCAAACAGTTTCTTACCACAATGGCAATCCACATTTTTCATCTGAAGGATGAGGCATATATGATTTTATTAAGCCTTGATACACCCTCTCTAATTTAGTAGCTTGTCTCCCAAGACCCAGTCGACGTATCCTGCCATTCTGAAAATATATTTATAGGTACAGTTCAATAGTTTTAGGTTTCTCACAATTTACCAAAGATCGACCATTCCCCTTTTTAACGCATTTTTTTAACGTTCCTTGGTTGACCATGTTTGTTACTAGGTTGGATAACCGTAAGCTCCTACTTCTATGTACGGCAGTTTTGGTGACCCTTTTAACAAGCGGATCATATTTTGCACTTAAAAATAGTTTCTCGATTGCTGATGCGCAAGAACATTATCCCCCTGGCAAAACCCATGATCCTGGAAAAGATGGCGGAATCGTTGGTTCATCAAAAGGAGGTTCTACTTTAGGAGATACTCAAACATCACCTCCAGATCAGACTCTAAAATTGCAGATTTCTAAAATATCAGACTTTGACACAGATAACAAAATTGTATTGTTTCCCAAAAAGTTCCCCCTTACAGATGATCAATTAAAAGACTTCTATTCTAACCGTCTTGCAGGGTCTAAGCTTTCAGAGACTGTTCAAATTGCCCGATTCAATAACAATAGGAGGGAAGACGATACTACTAAATCGAATGCGGTTGATTATATTTCCATGAAACCTGAGTCATACCATGGACACAAGATCACGGTGTTTGACAGCAGAGCCGATATCAATGGCGACACTGCTAAGTGTGATGAAATTAAGAGGGAGTTATCTGTTGATATTACTGACCTGAAGTTGCTAAAAACAGATCTTGAGTCGATTCTTCGGACTTTCCAAGATGGTAAGTCCCCCTACTACAAGGAAATGGAACCCTACTTTAAAGCAGAGCTTGAAAAGCAGCTCCAAGAACATACGATAAACAAATATTGGTATAGGCTAGCAGGAACATCGGTATGGTTGTCGGAGTATGGGGTTCATATGATGATCTCGAGAGTTATATATAGCCCAAAAGGTTCCCGAAATCAACCAAGAATAAGTTTGACCTACTGCCAGGTTTTCAATGAGAAATGGCAAGAATTGAAAGATGTGGAATTGGTGGTTCCTTCCAATGATCCAGAGAACATCTTTTCGCAAGTGGATTTGGATGGAACATTCTTCACCAAGGTAAAGTATCCGGGGTTTTTGGCTGTTCCAACTTACCAGAATCCTGACATGACAGACCACCGATTTTATGGTCCGGAGGATCCCAGGCTCATGGTGATTCAAAATGAGCATGGATACGAAGAGCCTTTGATGGTGTACAATTCGTATCATCGGAAGATAATCGAACAACAGTTTGACGGCGAGACCAAAGTTGTGGCTAAACTTGGATACTACCGGTCCATGTTCTTGTGTTTCCCCTGGCAGTTTCAAAGAGGTAAAAGAACCATTGAAGAATTGCCTGATATTAAGCTGGACGGGAGAATTTACAACAGAGCTATTGAGTTAAGGCGGAAAGGCATGGAAAGATTGGAGGTGCAAAAGAATTGGACTCCATTCATAGACTTCGGGGAAAGACAGGCGTTCCGTCATGATAAGCACATCTACTTCGTTTACCGGTGGTCCAACTTGGAGGTACTTCGATGTGAGATAACGGGCGCAGTTGGAACAACCTCAAAGTGTGAGTTTGTGTACCGGATGGACGATGGCTTGGATGCTGAAACTCCAGTAGGACCTGTGAGAGGTGGAACAGAGATGATTAACATTAACTCCTTCAGTTCTGAGTACGACTTGGGTGATATACTTAGTTTTCCTGAGGACTCTGAGGTGTGGATTGGGTTTGCAAGGGCTCATCTCCAGGATTGTGGATGTGGGGAGCATCTCTATAGGCCCAATTTTGTGGTTCTTATGAAAGACTCAAAGTCTGGATTTTACAAAATTAACACAATTAGTTCTTTTGTATCATTAGATGTCCCTTCCATTGGGTGGAATCTCGACAAACCTGACGAGTTGTGTGTTGAAGGTCGAGCAAACGTGTTTATACCTAATGGTATAAGCTCGTTATCTGTCAAGCAATCTAAAGATGGATCATTTGAAGATTATTTGACATTATCCTTCTCATTGTCAGATGCAACAGTGAATGTCATCCACATAAGAAACATACTTAAATCGGTACTCGGTTCCTTGGTGAATAACAACCATGGTTATTCCAATGACAATGTGGACTGCGCAATAATAGGATCCAATCAATTTTGTCACGATTTAGGTGAAAGCGTAAAAGTTACAAAGGCACAGAACCTGATTAAGAATGATCATTAGCCCTCAATTATCAGTCCACTACAACTGAATGGCTAGCAAAATTAACCTGTAGGGTGAAAAAATAGTTAACCACATCAAGAAAATAGACTAAGTAGTAAGCAAAATATAATGTTCGAAGGAACGCGCACGAGGAAAAAGTCTGACATTTGAACGTATAATGATAAGAAATGTGGATTAAGAGGAAACATAATACGGCTCTCCTTGCTATAACCCTTTTCACGACCCTTATTGTGTTACAACTAGCAAGTTACAATGATGAAAGAATAATAGGTGATTTCAAGTCAGCTTATCATCGAGGTACAAACAGTTTTTCCAACCTCTTGAAGAAGAGGATCACCAAAAATCAGTTGATCTTCCCCGTTGAGTTTCCTATTAAGAACGAAGAACTACGTTCCTTTGTTAGTCAGAGTAAGACCTTCAACTTGAAGGAATTCAATAATCCCAAGATATTCAAATATGACAAAGTATCGTCTCCTTTGACTTCAAACATCATTCACTCGAGTTACCATGATCACCAAATTGACTTGTATAATGATTTGACATCCATCGATTTGAATTTGGAGGAATGTGACAGTCTAAAAAATACAATAAGTGTCGAAATCAACACTCCTAGCAGTGTGGACGTTTCATTGCATGAAATCTTGTCCAAATTTTTGGAAGAATATGAAACCAATCCTTACTACAAGGAAATGACTCCATTTTTTTTAACTGAATTGAAATTACAGTTAGAATACAATGTAATCGATCACTATTGGTATAGGTTGGCTGGATCGTCTGTTTGGTTGGAACAATACCAAGCTCATTTCATGATCTCTAGAATCCTTTATACTCCAAAGGGACAAAGAAATCAACCTCTGGTGAGTTTAACTTATGGACAGCTATTTGACAAAAATTGGAAAGAGTTGGTGAATACCAAGATTATAGTTCCTACAAATAACCTCAATACTAAACCAAAGAAGGAATCACAAGATGGGTCTCCTTCAGCGGATGCTACCGAAGAACAAAAAGAGGAAGAAAGACATTACAAGATTATAAAGTTTCCTTATTTCTTGCCTATACCCTTTTGGCATGACTATGATGATACCGAAGGTAAGTTTTATGGTCCCGAAGATCCGAGATTAATGTTGGTCAGAAACAAAGCAGGATACGATGAACCGCTCATCATCTTTAACGCCCATCATCGAAAGTTAACTCATTTTGATGATGATACTGACGATCGGATATTGTTGAAAGCCGAATTCTATAGATCGATGTTCATTTGCTGGCCATGGCAGTTCCAAAAGGGTAAGAGAAACACCGATGGATTCTCTGATAGAGTTTATGATAAGAACTATTACAACAAGGTTGTCGAATTAAAAATGAAAAACCAACCCAGACGTGGAAAGCAAAAAAACTGGACTCCTTTCATAAGTGTGATGGAGAGAGAAAAAGATGGCTACGATAAATACGTGAGTTTTGTGTATCGATGGGCCAATTTTGAAGTTTTAAACTGTGACTTGATATATGGATCTGGTATTTGTGCATTTACATATCGTCTTAGTCCCTTTTTGTCCACTAGAGAAGTAGTGGGGCCTTTAAGAGGTGGAACCGGCTTGGTCAATATTAATGGTTTATTGGGAGATAGAGCTAAGAAATATATCCCCACAGATCGAGAGGTTTGGGTTGGTTTGGCAAGAGCTCATTTGGATAGTTGCGGGTGTGGGAAGAACATGTACAGACCCAATCTAGTGGTGGTGACTAAAGATACAATTCATGAAAATGAAAAGTTCAAAAATCAAAATGGTGATTTGGAATACCGGGAAGTGGACAGGAGTATGTACAAAATAAGTCAAGTAAGCTCCTCAATTTCGTTGGATATCCCCATCATTGGTTGGGATTTGCTTAATCCCCAAGATGTGTGTACTGGTCCTAATATTTTGATACCGAATGGGATCTCCAACTGGGACATAATTGACATCGAGCACGGTGATGATGATTTTGAAGATTATATGACATTGTCATTATCGATTTCCGACTATACCGTGCATAGAATCAACGTCAAAGGATTATTGAAGAAGCTTATACGAGTGAACGATGGCCATATCTTTAACGAGATGGTTGACACTGAAAATTTAGAAGGTTTCAACAATGACAATGTTCTTTGCGCTTTGAAAGGTTCTGCCGAATTCTGTTACCAGTATGGACTCGAGAATTCTAACACTGAGCCACAAATTGGAGACATACATAAAATCTTTGATGACCAAACATTTGCTTCTGAAGAGGAAGAGGAGGATTTCAACTTGGAACAATTTCAAGAATTTCGAGAGGTGGATAGAGATGTAAGTGCTTACGAAAGAGCGTTATACCTTCAAAAAATACATGAAGTGTATGGGGATAAACCTAGGTATAGGCCAAGTGTAACCCCTCCTCAAAGACAAACGTCTCCAACTAAGATTACGGGAGCTAAACCTGATGAAAATACTAAAGGAAAAAGCAAATTATCAGGTGGAACAAATTCTGGGGATGAAAAGAAGAAGGCTGAAAAAGACACATCCAAAACTGGTAAGAAGCTAACACCAAACAAGCAAAGTCCTCCTAAAGGGGCTACTAAGTCGAACGATGTCAAGAAGGCATACAAGATGGCTGAAAGCAAATCTAAGAATACTGAGAAATATAAACCAAGTCAACAACAACCGAAAGTTGCCACAGTCGATGATACTTACGAAGACGGATACGATGATGCTGGGTACGAAGAAAAATACACTGGTCTGAAAGAATCTCTGACCCAATCCACCCCAAACAAAGGTGCGAGTTTGACGAAGAACAATAAAGAATCCAATAGTAAGACCGACCCCAACTCCAAATCTGCAAAGAAAACTGACAAAAAGCCATTGTGGAAGCTGTTAACTGGTAAGGAAGGCTCAGATCTGACAAAGAATAATAAAGGGTCTAAAAGTAAGCCAAATACAAGCTCTAAAGCACCCAGTAAAGGAACGAAATATACTGACTTCAAACCAAAAGATAAAGCATCAAATAAGGAAGAATTTGACAATACGGCAGCACTGAAGACGAAGAGTGAATCAGCAGATTTGAAAAAGACTTCTTCGAAATCAAAGTCTAAGGCAGAGTTGAAATCTGAAGTGAAAGAAGAAGCAAAACCAAAATCTAAGGCAGGGTCGAAATCTGGAGTGAAAGAAGCAACAAAACCAAAACCAAAACCTAAAGCTCAAGTCAAATCGAAGCCTAACTTTAAGCAACAATAGGCTAATATATAGTCTGAAACCGACTTCGAACCCAACTCACAAGTATGTTGAGTGTAACATTGAACTATCCTCATATCCTATTATTAGTGTACATTAAGTATTTGAACATGAATATATATACTAACGGAATTCAAATTCAATATCTCATCTCAATTCAGGTAATTTAAAGAGCTATCTAGATTTTAGTGGGAATAGGATAGTTGCAGGACCCACAAAGGTAATAGGTTAAAATACTGATTCCTTCACTCTCCGCCCCACAAAAATAAAGAGCGAGAAAAAAAGAAAACTCCGACACCGGGAATTGAACCCGGATTCCAGCATGGAGAGTGCTATGTGATAGCCTTTACACTATATCGGATTTTGTTATCGTAATATTAATTTACAATAATTATATTGTAGTAAACCTAAATAATCCTATGTTTCACGTATTTTACATTGCGAAACATTCTTGTATCATATTCAGCTTGTTTGAGTTAACATTGAGGGTTTATTATTATTTTATTCTGATTTGTTTTGCATTCCACTTTCAATCTCTTAAATTGCGACCCAAATAATTTCGGTAAAATTCACAGCTTTTCCTTAGGATACAAACCCATATTCGTCTTCAAAAAGTTCGACATATCTATGTACAACTACAGATAGACCAAACTAAATATTAGCTTCACGATAGCTCATGTACATTCAATCTAATAAAGAATACTGGTGTAATAATATACAGTCACCCCCTCTTTCAGGATCCAAACCATAAGTATAAGAAATGCCTTCAGAGGTTACCACATTAATATGTAACAACTTCATGTTGAGTAAGTCTTTGGACTTGTCAATTTCAATTTCTATGTCCTTATTTTCTGAGTTTTTTGTTAAATACTGCTGAGGCACCAAGTCCTCTTGTAACTCATTATTCATTGCAGCAATTGCCTTTACGTCTTTACCAATGCTATTGATCTTAATGGATGCAAAATGCCGGGTGGGCTCAAGAATAGACGAGAACCTTGAAGGTAGGAAATCACCCATTTTTTGAGCAGCTTTTCTACCCAAAGTTTGAGACGATCTTCTGATAATTCGAGCCATTGATAAACGGGTTTGATCTACTATTGGTTCAGACTTACCACCACCTCCATTGTTCAACGAAGGAATATCCTCATTGGATAATCCACTGTATATGCTAGTGAAGGATCCAGTAGAACTTTCAGATAATTTTCTTTGTTTGGGGATATCCAAACCAAGTGCTTGTTCAGCATCCTCATCAACCTCGTCTATTCCATCTTCAGCATCACTATCGTCTCCATCATCTCTGATTTCATCGTCATCTGGTTCGTTATCATCCACATCTATTTCATCATCATTAGTATCATTAGTTTTTGAGTTTATCATCTTGGTGGCCCTTTTGCTTTCAGCATCTTCTTCCTCGTTTTCTTCCTCAATGGTAGGCTCATTTATCAAGGGAGTTTTTTTCTTTCTTTTATTCTTATGTTTGGCTTCCAACGATTCTTCTTCACCTAATCTGAATATATGAACAGTACCACTTGAAGTTGTAACCACAATAAATACATTATCATTACTGAATTTCAAAGAGAAGATCTTTGTAGAATAGGTTCCTCTTCTAAACTGAAACATCTTCACCCCTGTTAGAACGTTGAAAACTCGTATGATCGTTCCTTTGTCGGAAGCAGTAGCAAGTAATGTTCCATCATTAGATAATGTTAGAGCTGCCAAATTGGACTTATGTGCCTCAATTACCGAAAGGGGCTGCAAAGTTATCGTATTGAATATTATCACATCTCCTACTCGATTAGGAGAGTTTGAAACGGACTGAATATTATTTTGCACAGAATTGTTTCCTCCGTTTGTATTGATTCCATTTACCAATAAAGTATCATGAATAATGGTCTTTGGAGGGGAAGGGTACGCTAGAAAGGTATTCGGGCTATTAGTCATATCAGTATTGGCAAATGCAAAAAGGCCATTTGGATTTGGGCTGGTCTCTATTGTGTGCAACAATTTCATTGTGGAGATATCATAAATGTAGATTTGAGTTTCCAACAACACCACTAATCTTTGTTTGCTTAATTTTATACCTAATATCGTAGAAGGAAAAACCAAGTCACATATAGTTGAGTTCTTTTTGGAATTTATAATCTTTAACTTTCGTGGAGATGACCCCAAGTCTTCACCTAAGCCCACCAATGCCACTAAGCTTGTATTATACAACATTTCAACAAGACCAATCGGTTCATTTTTCACATCCTGGTAGCATTTTTCCACAGAAGGTACACAATTGAATACTTTATAGCCGGTGTTTAGGCCAACGGCCACAAACGTGTTATCTTGATTAAACGTGATATAGTTAACTTGATTGTGTGGCTCCTTTCCTTGAAGATGACTATATTTGCCAGAACTTGCGATGGAAGAATTGCCATCATCAGTATAGTTGTTATAGTTGCTGTATAATGGCGGATGTAGCCCAGTGTTAAGAGAGTTCTTCATCATGATGATGCTCGTCTAGGAGTTGGCTTTCGAAACAAACAAATTTATTTTGTCAAGGGAAAATGAGCGCGGGCAAGTCGACTAGGAGATTGCAAAAAAGTATAGATGACTTGAACTTCAATGTACTATCTCTCTCATAGAGTCTCAGGTGTTGGTTGACCTCAATTTAAGGGTTCTAAAGAGTTGATGGGTATTAGAGGTATCCTCTTCTGCTGGAACAAAAGAGCAGACATTACTGAAATTGTTTATTGAGTTAAGCCTATTACCTTCGATTGGCATCTTTTTAATAAAACTTAACCAACCATTCGACAGACTTATCGAGCATTTCAAGAGTGACATCGTGACCTACTCCTTCTTGATAGAATACTTCCGTATCCGGATCCCCAATTTTGTGCAACAGGCAGAACAATTTACTGTAAGCTGGTGGTACAATAGGGTCGGCACTTCCGTAAGCTGCAAACATCTTGATTCTACCAAAAGGGAAGTTTTCAGACACACTCTGGTCAATACTGCTCACGTATTCGTGGAATGATTTTGGGTAAAGGAGTTTCTGTTCATCAGTGAATTTAAGTTCATCATAGTCTTGTAAGTATCTCTTGGAGCCAGTGGGGGAAACCTTCAATAGCCTGTCAATCATTAAAGACGAAATGTCGGAGCTTCCAATAAATGGGATAATCACATCCACGGAATCAGGATATTTATCAACAAATCTGTGAATGATGTGCCCACCCAAGGAGTACCCGCTAACAACATTGCTGAATTCGAATTTGTAGTCAGTCAATTTTGGAACAAACAGGTCTAAATTCAAGTAGAAAGGTAAGTAGTCCATGATTAATTTCAACTTGAGAACAGAATCATCAATTATAGATACCATGTCCAAAGCATGATTTTTGTTTCCTTCAGCCCAGTCGTTGTTGGCCAGTTTGTTCAAGAGCCTGCTCCCATGATTAGAGACATCAAAGGTAACGAAAACCAAAGGGATGTCAACATCTCCCTTAAGTTTGTAGTATTTATCGGTCATGTAATAGCCCATGGATTCGGTATCAGTATAATTTCTATATCTTCCGTGGATCAAGTAGAGCACTTTGATGGGAATCTTGGTCAAATGAGAAGTTTCTTTCTTAAAATCGAATTGGCTCAAATAGTCTTTCAAAGGAGCTGTGTTGTAGATGTGCACGGGAATTCCGCTGATGAAGGTTTCATTATGGTCAAATCGAGCTGGATCAAATGGTGCTTTCTTCATACTGGCTATGGGTTTAAGAATAGATTTTCCAATGCGGGTTCGGATTTCTTCAATAGTGGAGAAATTTCGAAGCATTTATAGTAAAGAATGTGGGGTGGGACTCATAGATTAACGTAGAAGACGGAAATTTAGGTTCTATTCTACCTAAAACTGTTTATTTTTGTTCCACAAGTACCTGAGTTTGCGCAATTCATGAAAGTTGGCCATTGTACAACAAAAAAGAGATTGGGCCATGAAAGGGAGTCCGTATCTTCTCACCTAGGTTTTGTTCACCTTCATGCATTTCATTTTCAGAACGAATTGTCTAACTATCTGCATCCAGGATCATCTCCAAACACTCAAGTCGCAGTTCAAAAATAAAAACTCAACTTCGCAAAAGACTCACATCAAAAGAAACACACATGTCTCGGCGAAATAATCAATCATCAACCGCCAACTCCACCATCCTCTATATCGGAGGAGTTCCATTTGACTGGGATGAGAATAATTTAAGATCCGTTGTATGTGGGTCAGGGGGTGTTGTAGATGTCCGATTAGGATTCGATTACTCTGGGAAGAACAAAGGATTTTGTTTCATTGAATACATAACGCCAGAAGAGGCCCGTCAAGGATTACGCCTACTTGGTCAGGTATTGATCCACCAGGGTGGTAATAAAAGCAAGAAATTGCGTGTCGAGTTATCCAAAGAAGGTCTTCGAGCTAATAACCAAACTTCGAAGAGACTTTTACAGTTGGACAGAAACTATTTACCGTCCAACGTCGAGCTCCCACAAGAAATGTTAGGTAATGGACCAACCCCACTGTACTATAACCCACAACAGCAGATGGGTGGAGGCGGAAGCCCTGTAAACCAAATAAATCAAGTGAACCAGATGAATCAACGAGGCCAGCAAAACATACAAAATGATCAACAACAGAATTCAGGCTTGTCATCAAGAAATCTACCACAACCTCCAACTTTGCCTTTCAAGGCTCCCGATAAAATCAGCGAAAACTTAAGTAACATACCTCCTGCTCAATTGATAGAGTTGATTGCAAACTTAAAAGGTGTTTTGAGCGGACCCAATGCCAATAGAGCTCCAGATGTATTTCAATTATCACCATACTTGGCGTCGTCGGCCGCTCAAGCATTATTACTTATGGGATTCATCGATACTAACGTCATAAATGATGCTATAAATGCTCCACAGTTTGACTCAACTCCACAAATGCAGAACCCACAACCGGTTCACAATAACCCTCAACAACCTTACGGGGTGTCACCCCAGATTCCCAATGCTACCGGAGGCATTGGTAGTAACGGAATGAATCCAGGCGTTCCTATGCCTTCAAAGTGGCCATTTTTGCCACCATCTACCCAAGTGAAACTTGGAGCCATGCCACCAGAACAAGCTGATTTGATCGCTCAAGTGTTAACCATTCCCTCAGAGCAAATTCCTGCTTTGGAACCAGAGAAGAGGGCGATGGTGACGACGTTGAGAGCTCAGTATTTGGCTTAGATATGTATATACGAACTACTGGCTTAATAAACAATATCAGGGATACTTTGTAAAAAAACTTATATATGAAATGCTAATAGAAGATATCCAACATCAGCAATAATGGTGCAAGTAATAATAATACAATTATTGGACAGAAATCATGAATGAAATATGGCTGTTTATCTCTAGACAGATTTTTGTTCTATCTTCCAGGCCGACTTCTGGTACCTTCTTCAAGTTGATATTCATCTCACAATATAACCATTGAAGGCTACTCATAATTGACAATTCGACATCAAACCCATATGTCTCATCTATAATGTTCCACTCGTACAAGCGTCTTCTCTTTCCATCAAATGTAGGACCTCTACCATATGAGTTGTGGTTGAACATTTCATGAAGTTTGTACTTTGGCCAATTGGCATGCAAAAACATCAAACTAGAGGATTTGAAATAGTGATAATCATAGTTCAGGTGTTCTTTATCATCAGAATTAAGAGCATAATCTGGAACGAATTCTGTAGTCAATGCTATATCCTTGTTAGTGTCTTGGATGTAGTCAACTAATGGATCATACTGACCCATTCCAAAGAATTCATGCTTCCCATTTTTAAGAGGTCCAAATTCCCTGTTGAACTCTTTGACTTGATAATATGGTAAATCTAGTTTGTGTGCAGCCGCAATAAACGTCTCCTTATCACCTTCACCAGCTGCTCCCTGACTTAATAAAGGATAGAAATAGTCAGGTCCATAATAATTGTAATACATGGACAAAACCAATGTTGAAAAATGAACCCTTTTGTTGATCAAAAGTTGACCCGTTTCAGACAGTGCTTCTGGGATAGCTCCCATAGCATCATGAAATGAAATGGGATCATTCTCTCCTCTCTTATCACCATTGAAGTAGCTTGATCTCTCTCTGATTTTAGGATTAACTTGTATGTCGGCAATCGTATAGAATGAAGGTGAAGTTGATCTTCTCCACAAGTCAGGCCAGATGACAAGATGGTGGTTCGTAAAAGGTTCGTTTGCAAACAAAGAGTCAGGGTTCTGGATGGGAAGATTATCAGCATCCAAGTATAACACATTTTCAAATGACGAAATGAGTAATGCAACGTTCTTGTACTGGTAGCCTTGTATGTTTGAAATAAGCTCTTTGGGTAAATAATGAGACATCACCTTACATTTACCGTTAAGAGCCGGGAGAATGTTATTGCACAAATCCACATCGTAGTCAGATTCATGAGGAACAATTAACTCTACTGGCAACTGAGAGCCTGTGGATCTTAACATTTTAATGGACAATAATGCCAATTGATTGTAATCATCACCGCCCAAATACACTATACCATCTCCTTTCATGAACTCATTATATTTTCCAAACTTGAAGAGATCAGGGGGAAATTCCTTCACCATTTTCTTCATAAACGATGCATGACTGCCCTTTAAACCATTTATTTCATTATCATCCAACCTCAAGTAATTGGCTAAAACCTGTTCGGTTCGGACAACCTCTTCCAAGTAATTTTCACGCAAATGGCCGCCATAAAGAGGTATACGACCATCTCTATTGGGATACTTGTCCGTGTCCCTAGCTATACGATAATGGTCATCATTATTAATAGATGGAATTCCAGGCTTACACTGGTCGAGCATCTCGAATAAGTCCTCAAAAAAACGTTGGAAAGCGGACTTGAACTCGTCATCGTATTCAAGTTTGATCAAAGAACCATCCTTTGCCATTTCTATGATGCCTTTAGCTAGCGTGTCAGTGGCATTGGCATAATCGTATTCCTTAATCGATATCACATTGAACCCTTGCGATTGAAGGTCATTAGGATTGGTTATAGGACGAGGAGTATTAAGTTGAAAGGATCTCAAGTCCGATTTCTGTGGGTTGACAAGAGTTGATTCCTGTATTATAGCTAGTTTGGACAACTCATCTATATGGTAAATCCTATTTGACTTAAACTGACCAGTTGCTGCCTTGACCAAATCGAGAGACAGACGATTCAATTCAAAAGAATTTGTGGTGACGTAGACCAAGTTAATGACCGCCAAGAGCAACAAGAGCACCAACACCCTTCGGTAGCGTCTCGCAAAGTCTAGCTTGATCATGAGTTTGATTTTGTGGAAGCTTAAAAAGTCAGATTTGAAAACAAGCTCCGTGCTTACTGCAATTTCGCATTCCGGTTTTTTTCTTCGCGTGTCCGAAGAGGAAACAAGCGAATATTAACGAGATAAAAATAGGTTTGAGAGACAAAGCATTGCTGTGAGAAACTAAGAAACTAAGATTGGCTCTGTTACTCAAAATACAAGTTCGACAAGAGAATGCTTTAGCTGAAGTTTTATGTCAATTAATCTGAGTCTCTCAAACTTGAATATCATTTCCGTTGCAGTCGTAGCAGGCTACTCAAAAGCAGATCCTTTTGTTTATAGTGCCACGACATACACATGGGCACGACATGCACATGGTCGTTTACCAACGTGCGAGCTTTGAAGATTTAGGGACCTCACACGACTTCCGCGCCAGGGGCTTGATTCTTGAGCATTCGTGCTTTATCACGTGACAAATCCACCTCTCATCACGAGAATCTTATCGCGACAGCCGAAACATATGTTTATCTGAGTGCGTGAAGGATAAGATGGACCATCCGTTCGATATTGAGCAGGACAACAATCCATCCCTCTATGGTAATTCCTTCCAAGATGATCAGTACTTTAACAAGTCATTGTCAGTTCTGTCTACACTACACAAACTTTTGGCTTCATCCACATTACAAATAGAGATTGCTCAAACCGAAAAGCTTATAAACTCCAACATCATAGTTTACTTGATAAAGGTATTCGACTCCGAAACTACAGATCATATAATTGTAAAGCGTCGGTATAGTGAGTTTAAGTCCTTTCGGGACAACTTATTGAAGCTTTACCCGACAAAGTTGATTCCTCCTATCCCTGAAAAGCATTCACTACTCTCATATGTGTTAAATTCTATCAATGCAAATAATGAAGTGGAACTAATTGGCTTCAGGAAGAGATTTTTTAACCAGTTCATGATTGACTTAATAGCTGTTCGATTCCTCAATTCTTCTCCTTTTCTACAGAAATTCTTGGACCCAAACTACGAATTATGCTGGAATAATGCATTAAACGAGCTGCCCATAAGCAATCTACCCAAAAGCCTTTTACTATCTAATCCCTTAGATCCAACAGATCAAAATGGTCTCTATTTGTTACTACCCAAAATTAACAGCTTTCATAACAACAATTTACTGGAGTTGTATAAACTCAACTTGGATCCATTGAGCCACATGAATGATTCTTTATTGCGATTGAGCAATCAAATAAATTTTGCTAAGTTCCCAGTCAACGAGTTTGTCACTATTCCGACAAATATCATCAATTTTGAGACGTACATTCTTCACAACCTCAAAATCTTGAAGAATCTTCACAAGTATAATGCTGGTCATATCAAGAATTTCAAATTGTTATTGTCAATAATGATTAATTTGGGAGGCAATTTGAACAACTTTTCCTTGGAGATATATGAGCTAAACACTCACCTCAGTAACCTTATTGAAAAGTTTGGATCTATCATTGATCTTAACTTTTTGAACTTTGAAAACTTCTTGTTTGAGAACTTTATACCCCATTGGCACGAAACTATCACTCAGCTTTATCAATATTTTAACATTGCATTAAACTTGCTCAACTTTTACAAGTATAAGATTTTGCAATTTAAGATCCTTTTCAACACGAAGTTTGCAATCTTTAACCAATTGACCAATTTGAATACTTCTTTGAGTGTCAATGATTTAAACCATTTGAATGAGTTAAATTCACCCTCCATTAATAATTTGGTTAAGAGCTACCAGTCTAGAGGACTGTTACGGACAAAGAAGTCTTGGTTTAGAGTATTCGGAGGTAGTAATGCCACTGCTGCTAGTAGTCTACCCTCTCCAGCTTTGTCAGCCAAGGCCAACAATTCTAGTTCAACACCTTCTACACCCGACAATCCTGATGCTCGGATAAAAATTGAATACTTAGAACGGGAATTGAATAAGTTGGATCAGTTGATTGATTTGATGAATCATGATTTAGTAAGTTTAACGAAGGAAATCGACCATAACTTAGGAGAATTTGCCAAACTTATTGAGAAAAAGTGGTTGGAGGTTTTTCTAAATTTTATACAATCCACCAAACAGTTGTTCATTGAAAATTTGAGCAATTGGCAGGAATTCAAAGATGCTTTTGAATGTTAGCATGGTTTCTATATATATAAGTTCGCATCAAATTCTGGTTCGCGATTTTCTAAAAAAGTAGTTCGTTTTGTTTTACATCGAGTGGCAATAATGTCGGCAATGGATATTGATAATGATATTTCCACAGTGTTGGGAAACATCAGGCAAGAAACAGAAGTTGAAGAATTGATAAACTTGACATATCAGTTAGAAGATTATTCGGAAAGAAAATTATGGCATCAATTAACCATCACTTTGGAAGATTTCTTCAAGATCTGTTCAAATGATTTGAAAGTGCAGTTATTCAACCAATTTATAAACAGATACACAAAGAAGCTTAACGCCATCAGATTGACTGATTTATTATTACAGGCTTTTAGCGATGACAACGAAGTATGCCTTGAAAATTTGTTGGAATTGAAGTCCAAGGTCAACGAAGATTATGAGAGTTTGGTGTACATAAACCTCCAAATTTCTAGATTTTACATCTTAATTAACAAGTTGGAAGAAAGCACTAAGATTTTGGACGAATTGGAGTCCAAATTCAACTCCATAAATAACGAGTTTAACTCCAAAATCAACTCCGCCTACTATTTGACTAAATGCCAGTACTACAAGTACTTGGAAAATTACAATTCATTTTACTCCAATGGCTTATTGTACTTATCCACGTTAGACGACTTGGACAGCATCAACAAATTAGATTTTGGATTTGATTTGTCTATCAGTGCTTTATTAGGTGACAAGATTTATAACTTTGGAGAGTTGATCTTACATGATATCTTGAATAGCTTGAAAGATTCTGATTACGAGTGGTTATATGATTTGATCATGTACTTGAATTCTGGTAACTTGAAAGAATTCAACACCAGTTTGGCCTCTAGTTCAAAGAAATACCCAAAGTTAGAAGCACATGAAGTATTCTTGAAGCAAAAAATTATCATAATGTGTTTGGTGGAATTGATTTCTGTCAAGTCAACCTTGAATAAGCAGTTGAGCTTCAAGAAAATTAGTGAGTTTACAGGCGTGGATTCCAATGATATTGAACACTTAATAATGAAATGCTTCTCTTTAAAGTTGATCAAAGGTTACATTAACCAAATCGATGAGGTATTGACCATAACCTGGTTACAGCCAAGAATTCTTAACTTAGACCAAATCAAAACCTTGTCCGACCATCTCGACAATTGGGATAGTCAAGTTGAAAGCTTATCCAAACAGGTGTTCACTAGCGGGGGGTCTGTTTGGGCAGGTGTATAGATTGGCAGGATCATAATAAAATAAAGAGATTTTTAATCACGTGTATGTTTATGAAAGATATATACGTAGGTTGTGTCTTCGGGCTTCAATACCCATTTTTAATATTCTGAGGGGAGCTATTATTCTTGATTTTTCCCTCTCAATCTGTCATCGCTATGTCTATCTTCTTCATCACTTTCATCACCCAACTCAAACAAAGTATTACTGTCAGTTCTCTCAACCGGTTGGTGATGATCATGAGCCTGTGCACTTTCGTAGCTTGGTGGAAGAGCACCGTTGACATCTTCTCTCAATTCAAAGCTGTCTCTTTCACGAACTCGAGCATCTTCATCATCGCTATGACTTAATAACGATAAGTCATCCAATTCGAATCCTGTTCCAGCATTGTTTTCATCGTTTTCTTCAGTACTTAATTGTTGACTGACTGCCAACATATAGCTTGTTTCAGTTGGTCTCCACAACCAAGCAATACCCATGAAAATGATGAAGTAAATAACACTTGGGGCGAATTCAAAGATGAAAAAGGTACTCTTCCAACTCTGTTCAATGAGCTGTGTAGTTGACATGCTCAAGAAAATGAAACTAGCAACAAGTATACCAGCAAATGTCAAGAAGAAAGATAAAAATATGATCCGGAATAAACTTTCATATAATTTCAATTTGATCACTTGTCTTTGCTTGTTCAAATTGGCAGTAGTTTTCTTAATTGAGATCAAAATCATGGCATAATAGATACACAAAGTGACTGTAACAGGGATCAATGGTAGTAATGCTAACAATTCATCCGATGAATCATCATCAAACGACGAAGTAGAGTTGATGGAAGCAACAGAATCATTGTAGTAACTGGAAAACAAGTATAATAAAGAGGCGACAAAGTGGAACCCAGCTAGGATTTTACACTTCAACATTATCTTTTTGTCCAATTTGACCACCACAACTCCATATCCTAAAGCAATGCAAAGCAAAAGGAAGAATGAAAAAGTCAATTTCAAGGAATTCAAAATCGACAAGAATGCCATGTAAAAGATAACAAAACCCGACAGAGGGTTTTTGGACCTGTTCAATAAATCATAGTATGACCATACAACCAAAGTATCAAAGGTCAACAACCCCAACATGGCCAAAAGATAACGTTGCAAAGGCAAGATTTGATTCGCCTTTCTCTTCTTGAAGAATTGGAATCCAAACAATCCAATGGCAATAGCATATAGTAAGGTCAATATTCCATATGCTGGGAGTTTGGGAATTTCACTGGCACTCAACTGACCAAAGGCATTTTGAAAATTAATGATCCCATTATATTTAATGGTTTCATCTTCCACAAATGTAGAGACACAGTAAAATCCAGTTTCGTTAATCGGATAAGAAAAATTTGCCTGGCCCAAATGTGTCAATTGGTTCGTTAAAATGGTATTTTTGGTACTGTTGTTATTGATAATGAATTTGCCCTTCTGCTTTTGGTCACAAATACCCAAGCTGTTAATAGCCGTATCATCGCAAATATATTTAACTTGGCCATCATCGAAATGGTAACCAATGCTGTGAAAATCTTGGTACTCGAAAATAATGTATGTCATCTTGATATCTTCAGTGTGTGGTTGTTCTGAAATTTTCTTGTTCTTCTTATACTTATCTTTTCCGAACCTTGACAACTTCAAGTTGATTTGAGGCTTGTAACTTCCACCCCAATCATGCTTAGAATACATACCCACACAAACCTGTGAATTTAAACTATCGTCATATACAGCTCTATTAGCTGCACATCCCAAAAGCAATTGACAGACCAATAATAACGGTATGAGGACTTTCATATTTCAGCTAATAGATAAATCGGCACAGTTGTTGAGGAAGAATTAAAAAGAATCGCGGCGCTTCAACTGGGTTTCTAATAAAATACGCTTACTGCCTATCGAAAAAATAGAATGTATATTTATGTTAGTTCGTTTATCCTTTTCATAAGTTTGGATTCAGTATCGTTCCAATTATCAACCAATCCTTTGTAGAAATCTATTTGATTGTCACAAAGCTCTAACATACTCGATTTCAATTCAGTTTTGTTGAACTTATCCCAATTGGGATATTCTTCATTGGTGATTTTATTGATTAGCTCCTGTACTAGATTAGTTTGAAGTTCTACTTCGTGTTCCAATTGATGGACTTTGGCTTCTAATTTAGCTCTTTTAGTTTCAGTATTGGAAGAGCTGATATTTCCATTGGCAGATGTTGACAAAGTGTCACGAATTAGTTGAGTGGTATTATTGACAATTCCACCAGTCTTGTTCTTAATAGGCGATGGAGGTAACCGATGTGTTCCTTGACCACTAGATGTAGCAGGAAATGAATTCAATTCATTCCTGGCCTTGTCCAAATACTCTTGTAATACCTGCAAATCAATTTTCTTGTTATGCTGAAGCTCGATCAAATTGGTCAAATTAACAATATATTTTGAACAGTCCTTTAACGACGTCAAGAATGACTCGTTTATAAACGTAAATGACTTTGACCAATTTTCCAGGTATTGGTTTAAACATTCAGCAAAGAACTTGAAGTTATCATTGATAGAAACCAAATCAGTATTACAAGTTTCATTCACCACTGCAAGCTTTTCGATTTGTTGCAGGAAAAGGTGGTAGTCTATGCTCAAATCACTATTCTTCTTGCTCAATCTAGCAAAAATCTTATCTAACTTGAGCAAGTTTTCGTACATCTTTTTTAACTTATCTGTTATCTCCAAGATTTCCTTGTTAGTCTCTTTCTTATGCTTAGAAGGTGTGAGGAAGTTCATCACGGTTTCAGCAATCAACTCTTCGTTGACAACCTTGTTCACCATATTAGAGGTGAAAGATTGCTCCTTTTCAACATCACTGATATTGCTTATCTTAATATTCTTGCTGAAGCTCAACCAATCATTTGAATCACTCAAAAATAAATGGTACACCGACAGCTGGGAGAGGATTTTATGACCGTTGATGAACTTGATAAACCTATTCAACGAATTGAGTCTCTTGTGAACAAATTCTTGGCTGAAAGTGTCACCAGTCAAATACTTTAAGTTCAGCTTTGAAGGCAATGGAGGAATCAAAAGGAAGGGGAAATCATTATTCAAGCAATGGTATAAATTTCTGAAGTCTCCATACCGCCTTCTGACTGATACCTTGATTTGGGTTTCGGTCACTTTAGTGGTCAACTTTATCAATGAAGGATTATCAGTTTCCGTAGTAACCAAATAAGAAATGAATGGCTTAGAAGATTGGTCAACGTCTCTGATAGGCTCACTAACAGTAGCTTTAATGAAGTATTTCTCAAAGTATTCGTTCATCTGAGTTTCATGTTCCGCAAGCTTACTGATTCTATCTTCATTTTCTCCACTGTTGCCGTCATCTCCCATCAATCCATCGTCAACGGCTAATTGAGGGTCACGATCATTAGATTGTAAAGTGGCATCGACATTGCTTGTGGAAAGTATCAACAGGCTAGTTGGACTGCTAGAACTCTTTTGTGCTGTATTCTCATTATTATCAATAGAATGGGTTACTTCTGTATTGACATGCTCGTGTTGCTGTCCTGGGGAGCTCGGTGTAGCCCCGTCAAAACCTAACATATCGCTATCCGATGGATCATTTTCTTCATCAATGGGGTCATTAGCAATAATTTTACTGCCCCTATCTAAACGCACAGAACTAAACTGGTCTTCAGACATAGTTTATTATTCTGTGCAAAAGAAGTCGAATAGTCACACTTGGATTATTTTGATAAAGGATCGCGAAACCTGGAGTTGCACAATATCATTTGAGTTACGTACATTCAGTTGCATAGATTGCATATTTTACACAGAGAAGCTTAAAAATGTCATTATCAAAGAACCAACCAAACAGTTGAAGCTACTATAGAAACACCAATAACAGCGGTGATGATACCGGCACCAGCCTTATCTTTGGTTCCCAAGGTCAACGGAGTCGCGTCCGAAACTACAGTACCATAACCGGCGGCTGGATTTCCGAGAGATGAGCCACCATTATCAGCAGTATAAGGAGGATCAACATCACCAACTCTTAATTGGGTTATCACTTCCAATGCACACAATTGTTCACCAAGTCCCCAAGTACCATCCCACCCGGTTGTGTTGGTCCAATCCAAACCACAAGTATGTCCATCACTACCACCCGAACACGATCTAGCTGCAGCCAATGCTGATGTTGTCAAATAGTTCATGACAACATCGTAAGTGGAAGGGGCCATCACCGCAGTCTGTCCCATGAACCTCGATAAATATGCCTTGAAAGACCGTTGATCCTGGTTACAATTATTGGATCCTTGACATGTCCGTTCATACATAACATCATCATCAAAGAAGACCTTGGCACCAACTAACAAGTTCTCGGTTCTTTCTAGCCACTTGGGATCCTCTGTGTAATTGTACAAGTAAGCAGCACCAGACATCATCAACCCTTGATTGTAAGACCACACATACTTGGTCATATTGGTACAATTTCCATCAATTTCAGCACCATCATACACTAACCACCAAGTTCCTTCAGTCATAAAACCAGCACCGTACATCCAATCCCAAACGCGTTCACACCATTCAATATAAGAATCATTAGAAGTAAACCGAGCTAACCGGGCACCAATGTTAAAAAGACATCCATTAGAAACTGAGTTCTTGTAATCATACCCTGAGTTCCATTGGAAAATTTGCCATCTTAAACCTCCACCACATGAAGATTCATCCCATCTTGCTGACATGGTATTGAACACCGCCTGGGCTAAAGTTAACCAAGCCTTTGATGGATCAGAGGGATTTGAAAAGTTCCTTTCGGCTGCACCCATGGCAGCCAATCCCCAGAACCCTTGATCATCATTACCCTCGGTGGTAGATTGATTTAAAGGAATATAATTGTTATCATCACCAGTTTGATATGTCATGGCTTCTTTAATAAGTGAAGTGTATGTGTCATTTTTCATCAATATTGTGTAGTCTATCATACCACCCCAAACTCCACCTGCTTCCCACCAATAGTAAGGCCACACGAACGTTCCAATAGTTCCACCCTTAGTAGTACCCGCATAATAATCCAATATACCATCACTAATAAGCGCAGTTGCTTCTTGAAGACTAGTGAAGTTATCAGGATCTAGATAAAGCCCTTCTATCAAGGTAGAGAGTAATACCAATGCTGCCGAGTACAAGCGAACGTAACTAGCACGCATTTTGATTTAATTGTACTTCTGTATTTGGTCACTCGAAACAGCCGATTGTGCGATTGGTAGATTGAATTTGATCCCTTCGAAAATTTTTCGCAGACGTGATTGCAGAGCGCAACGCATTCCTACGCAACGATCTTTTATCTTGGCCATATCGTGGTCTACAATTAAACTTTCTAAACTCTTTTTCATTTACAACTAAACTATAGGCATAAATACAATTACCAATACTTTACAAACGTTTTTCTTTTTAAGCGGGCGTACTATCACGCTGATCATTCAAAAGCCGGGTCAAGTATCTTATCGATTCCGTCATTGGATTGTTCGGTGTCAAGTACATTGCCATTAATTCCACTCAATTCACCTTCATCTTCTTCACCATCTTCCAACTTACTGCTATTATCTTCCTTGCCTTCGTCATCGTCTTCATTGGCATCGTGTCTTCCACCTCCATTAGAGGTGTCGTCCGAGGGCTTAGGTGGTTCACTCAACTCTTTGGTAAGTAACTTGTTCTTGTGACTCTCAAAAATGTCCCCCAAATGATGGAATTCATTGATGAAATCTTCTTTGTTGATAGCATTGATAATAGTTTTAAACTCATCTTCGTAGTCGCCGAGCTTATTGGTTAATTCCTCCAATACAATTTCTCCAGTATAAGGGTTGAATCCAACTTTTGAAGGGTCAGAAGAAGATTCTTTGACGCCATTGTATATCTCATATAGTATGTTGATAAACCGCAATGGGTATGTGAGGAAGAAGTTATGCACTTTATGATTGTACTTGATTTTCAAAAAGTTATTAAATAAGCTATAGTCCAAAAACAAGTTGGATTCACAGCTGATCTTATTGTTGATTTCTTTCAAACACTTGAAGTATGCTTTGATAGGCTTGGTGTCTTTGTACTGATATTGATTCGAGTCATTGACAGTTGGAGATGTTGAGCTCAATTCGTTCACATTAGACGATATTAAAGTAAATTCATATCCCGAACTAGCAATAATGGGTTCGATATAAATCTTTTTCAAATTATCCAAAATAAACTCTCTGAACTGTGTTTCAACATTTATCACCTTATTCATAGAGTTCAAGTTGTCCACGAAGTTCTTGTCAATTTGTTTCAAAAAGATGTGATTAATCACATTTTTGGAGTTGTTTTCACCCACTTTCTTCAAAAATTCATTGTAGTCATCAAAAGCATTGTATAGCTTGAAGGGATCGGCATAACAGTTGAGACATAGGTTATAATGTACAGAAATCTCCTCATTCAAGTCCAATTTTTCATTACAGATATCACAAAACTTTGGGCTTTTATCATTGTTTTTTGGTAAGTTTGTAGATTGGACCGGTAAGGCTCTTTGAGCAATTTGTTGATAGTTCAAATTCTGCAAGTGATAGTTATTGGTGGTTAAAGGAATTGATTGAGGAATTCCAACTCCATTAGCACCTCCCAATCTTCCACCATCAAAGTTATTACCATACGCGTAATTTGTATCAGCAGACCCAGCCATGGTGGCAGATCCAGCAACTCCATTAATACCTATGTTACCATTGGTTCCAGCAGCACCATTACCGTTTGGATAGGAATATTGATATTGGTATTGGTATTGATTAGAATTCATATTCATATTGGCATTGCTGTCATACTTCTTTTTGGAGAACAATTCATCATCCATGAATATATCATCGTGTGAGAAGTTCAGGTTCAGACTTTGCTGTTGAAATTGTTTCATCCCATAGATCATGGTTTCCTCTGCCAAAGGTTTTCTCAGCTTTTTCTTTTGCCTTTCAATGATTCTACATTTGGCACAAGTTTTGTATTGTTTAACCTCAGGAGGCTCATCATCCATTCTCTTTCTCTTACAACGACGACATCTTCTTACTTCGGCCATGATGATTGCTGTGTTCTTAAGTCACCCGAAATATATTTCAATAATCAAAGGTGTTAGTGGTAATAACCGTAAGATATAGAGAAATTTATTTTACTGAAAAAAAACGCTCGACACATCAAAACAGTGCCAGGGGGTAGTTTTGTGTCACTTTAAGGGACTTTTGTGTCACCAAATCCTACATCACTGTAGTGTGATTGGTCAATTTTGGCAATTTTGTAAGGGACGCCTGACCTGATTACTAATATATTTCTTGAATGTTACATCTATTAACTGATCATATAGTACTCCCACTATTCATGGTTTGTATGGCAGATAAACCATGAACACTAGTCTCATTTTTTTGCAGTCGCATAGCACCTCCTCGTACAAATAAGTGAAGTTTTCCGACTGAATCCCGCGGCTCGGTAGCGCTTGCGTCCCTGCCGCCCCAGCGCGGTACCAACATTCTTCTGACCATTAATTTTGCTTCAGATGTGTCACGTGAGGCAATGGCTGTCGACTAAATTCACTGTTATCGATCCCCTTTTTTCGGGTTTATGTGTCAAATTCCTTGTAGAATCGAATCAACAGTTGTACAAACTTGTGAAGGGTATATACTATTTGTCTTTATACTTCTAATACTCCTGTTCTCGCCTTAGTAAATTCCATGAACATCACTTGGGTAGTCCAGGCATTCGCTATGACCGGCCTGGTAGGCCGCCAAGATTTTACGTGCGCAGCTCATTTAGGAATCCAGTCATTTCGCACTCGAGTATCTGCCTTGAACCTCCGATAAAATAGGGTCAACGCCTTTTGAAGCAAAGGGTTTACAGAAAAAAATGTCTAAATCGTTTGTTCGGTCCATTAAGAATGTGGCCAATGGCTATTCTTCTGTTCAAATCTTGGTCAGAAAGGCCACTTCAAATGATTCAACAGGCCCCACCACCTATGATATGGAAGAAATAAGTTCATACACTTATCAATCTCAGACAGATTTTTTGGAAATCATGGACATGTTAGACAGGAGACTTAATGATAAGGGTAAAAACTGGAGACACGTGGCAAAATCTTTGACTGTGTTAGACTACTTGGTAAGGTTTGGATCAGAAAAGTGTGTAATGTGGGCTAAGGACAATTTGTACATCGTCAAGACCTTAAGAGAGTTTGTTCACTTTGACGAAGGAAATAACGATCAAGGTGCAATAATAAGAGTCAAGGCCAAGGAATTGGTAAGTCTTTTGAGAGATGATGACAGATTGGCTCACGAGAGACTGTTGGCTGCCAAAGCCAATGGTTCTAGAGGAGATGATAGAAGACGGGGTAGAAGAAATACTCAATCTAGACAGGAAGAACCTTATGATAACGACTTGGAAAGAGCATTGGAATTGTCAAGATTGACTGCAGAACAAGAAGTCAACCAAAGAAATAGAAACCAAGATCAAGAGGATCCAGATTTGCAAGCGGCCCTTAAATTGTCCTTGGAGGAGGAAGAAATGAGAAAGCTCAAGAATCAGCAAAATGATAATTTATTGGATTTGGATGATGGTCCTTCGTACTACCAACAACAGCAACCCCAATATTACATGGCCACCGGATACTATCAACAACCTCAACAATATGGTCAGCAATATGATATGTTTGGTAATCCAATACAGAACCAGATGATGACCGGATACTATCAGCAGCAACCCTCTCAACCTCAGTTCACCGGTTTCAACTACCAGCCCCAGAAGCAACCCCAAGAACTGTTGCAGCCCTTACAAACCGGCTCTAACAATCCGTTTGCCATGGGTTCTTCGCAAGCCCAACCTCAGTCTCAAACCTTGAACGATTTGGCTCAACTGCAGCAACAACCACAACAACCTCAATTCTTCACTCAACCAACCTCTCAATCAACTCAAAAGTTACAATCTCAGAACACATCATCATCCAAGTTTGGTGATCATTCTCACCCTGAATTGAATAATCTTTTAGCGCAAGGAACAGGTATTGACACTTTTGGTAATACCGGTGATGCAAGGGTAGCACATCACTACACAAAGGGAGCTTCTTTTCTCACCTCCAGTGGAACTGGGATCCAACAAACTGACAAGGCTTTGTACGCTCATACGGGAAACCCTTTCATTCCTCAACAAACCGCTCAACCAGGTCAAAATCCTTCATCGGCTCCTCAAGCTCAAAGACAGCAACCAGTATACACGGGCTATGGTTTTGGAAATGCTGCCCCCTCGAACTCGGCTCCCAATCAAAGAACAGATGGTCCAAGCTTGATTGATATCTGAGGTTTCTGTATTCAATAATCGATCAATGTTCAGTCAACTTTATTGTTAGTATTATTACTGTAAGTATATTATATATACACTATTTCATTTCAGTTGGCAATATATTTATCAAAAGGTTCAATCTTTTGCTTGAATATAGATTTCACACACCAGTCCCATTCAACGAATGTACAATTCTTCGGCAAAGACTTGATTAATTTGGCATCTTTAGTCTTGTTAACAATTAGAATTTTATCGCCATCCGATTCAAGAAGGTTCTTCTGACTACTGATAGTCTTATTTACAAGTTTCAACTCTTCTACTCCATGGCTCAATAGAATTCTTGACAAAACTTCGAAGCCTCCATTCAAATTGGCAGATAAATTTAACTTATAACCTTCGAAAAGTTGTCCTCTGGGGCTATGTAGTATTTGCTCAATGCCATTTACCTCTTCAAGCTCTTCATCCAGATATCCAAGTTGTTCATTGGCTTCTGAAACCAGAATAATCTTGTCCAAACGATAATCTTGTATCTCAATTTCTGGACTTTCCCCTCTACCTAATAGGTACTTTAAATCAATCAAAAGTCTTGGGTGCAAAATAAAATCCACTTTGCCCAAACTGCTTAAAAACTTTTCTGTTCGTAAAATCCTTGGAGCTATCAAACAGTTAATCTTACCAGCTCCTGAAGAGATTTTGATCCCATAATTTTTCAAATTGGCGATATCTTCTCTGGTCAAATCCACTTCACTTTCGCATCCAGTCATTATGGCAACCATACTCAACTGACTGGCAGTCTTCTCAGGAGTAAATGCCTTTTGTTTCTTGCTAACAGGAGTTATGTTTTCTTTATCTTGGGAATTTGGTCTCTTGCTTGAAGTGTGTTCCAACTCCCTCATATATCCGGTCAAGTTCTTAGAGCTTTTGAGCATTTTCTGGTGTTTGACAAGATCTTCCATATCATCATGCAACTTCATTGCTGCCTTTGTCTTAGCACTTCTACCTCTCTTATTAGGGGGGGTTGATGTGTTAACGCCCACAGCTAGTGATTCTTTCTGAAGATTAGGCGAATTTTTTTCGACACAAGAAGAGCTACCTTGCTCTTGAGATGCTTCTTCATATTCTTGTTCTTTTCCTGCTTTGTTATTCTCCGATTCTTGGGCTTCGTGCAACCCTCCTGAGTCTGCCGAAACCTCAGTTCTTTCCTCCTGGATTTTCTCTTCGTCTTCATTGGAATAATCGGTCTCTTCTTCGACTGAAGGTTGAAGAATCCCGTCATCCATACTGTCATCAACATCAAAATCAATCCAGTCCCTTAACACTTTCGTTTTCAATTTAGTTCTTCCTATGAGCCTCGTTACCCCATGACCACTGACATATCCAAGGTGAGTATACTTGGGGTTTACGTGGTCCATGACTTGCCAATTTGCAAAGCATTCTTCTAGCCAGAGATGGTTAACTGTCTTAACAAGTTGCTCACCATCAACTACCCATTTATCGTGAGCTGCATAGTATTTGTTACCAGTAGGTTTTCCTACAATAAGAAAATCATTATCTTTAGTCAAGTTCTTCGTGAAGGTGCCGCCCATAATGGTAATCAATTTGGACAAGTAATATCTGGCTTCGTGACTATAATTAGTTACCGAAATTTTGAGATTTTTGAAAGCAGTTAACGGCTTTGATGGGATTGGGTAATGCAAAAGCTGGGAATTAGTGGGAAGTATCCACTTATTGGTCAATACAACAGTATAAAACCACTGTAGGTTTCCAATGATTATTCCACTATTCTTGACACTCGCATTATACTCTTTCCCGTGCCTATACTTCCCGATATAAGTATCAATGCTGTCGGTAAACTTTGAAGATATCTTTCCCCCATTCTTCAATATAAGGGCATTAATAGCTCCTCTAAGGTTCTTTGAAAGCATGTAGTCAGCCGAAATATAGAACTTTTTATCATTAAAGAAACTTGTGTTAAAGCTAAGCATATTATCCACATTGGCCTGACATTCGTTGATAATTAATTGATTTTGCTCATTGTCTGCTAAATTATCCACCTCTAAGTAGTATTCTTTTTCGGACACCTTTCTTCCCATTTTGAAGCAATCGTCTATCCAGTTTGGAGTCACAATCTTGATGTCTACCTCACTGCTGCAAGCTAAGATCGATTTGTCATTTTCAAGATCAGTGGTTATCAAATGAGTTGTATAACTGGTTAGCATATCCAAATACATGCCTCCAAAAGCTTTCACTCCGCCATAAATTATTTCTTTGTCGCTGTTTGGTATGTCATCACCAATGCAAATAAAGCACTCCTTGAGAAAGGACTTTGGATCCGGGTTAAACTTGGTAACGTGAAGTGCTTTCCCTGTTGCAGTACTTTTGTGGACCCAGTCTGGAGTAGTAATGGGGATCATCGAGTCTCTAGCTGTGCTATACTCTATGAACTCTTGGGTTCTAGTAATAATATGATTGATATCATACTTCTCCAAATAATCCTCACTATCGTGGGCATTCTTAATATACGTGATGCCTCCGTTATTTTCGATAGATAACTGTAATCTATCAACTTTTTTCGGGTCCTGAAAGCCTTCCAGCTTTACAATCAATGCATTCAAGCCTTTAAACATGCTGATCAGTGTTTACAATATATTTCAGTTTACGCGTTTCTCATCAACTTTCCGCAAGGTTGCAAAAAGATGTGCAAAATTATCCAGGTATTATTTATATTGTTATATAATGACGACGATCAATGCAAAAAAAGAACTATACTTGAAAGAAGATAGTCCACTAGTGTCTACAAGTAAAAAATTCTCTACCATTAAAAAGAACTAAAAGGATCAGGTTTGAGGTTTTGTGAAGTTATGTCCGATGCAGTAACGATGGATGATTTAATCATTTGGACAAAATAAAAATTAGATGGTAGTAATAGGAACAGGAGCTTATGCAGGGTTGTGGAACAATTTAATCGACAGCTCAGGTCATAATTACTCATTAGCATTTTCAAAGATATCCTTCTTCTCAGCTATTATCTTTTTGGCCCAACTTCTGCATAATATGCTTGCTTTCATAAATTTTTTAGTTGAATACTTCTTAAAAAATTCGTCATGCTCCACAGGTGATATTAGGTATTGGATAATCATATTGATACAATCCTTCATATCTTCTACCTTATACCCTCCAGAATAGTGGATCAAATTTCCATTCCAAAGAGGAAATTTACCCATGATTGATCTACCAATGTACATGGCACTAGCTGCACATAAAGATGGCAACATACCAATAAATTTGTAGTCAACAACGGTAACCTCAAGAAGGTATTTACCCAAAGTTCTTGTTTGAACATCATAATCATCTGCCTTAGATATTCTTCTCAAAAAATTCATGGGATTGGGGTAATTCAATTCGAATTCAAGTATAGTCAAAATATACTTTTCCGCTTGTAAGATTTCCTCTTCTGCAAATGAACCATCAGTGAAATAAGAATAGTTCTTGACGGAAGGACTGAAGACTTCTTCATATTTAGCAGCAATGAACAATGAACCAGTTGCTAACAATTGCAATTTATCAATCTGAACAATTTCCAATGACATGAATCTATCCATTATGTTGATCGCTAGGTAAAAAGTTTCTGGCAATAGCCTGAATCTTGAATGCATCTCCACTAACCAATCTACCAAAATTGATCTCATTTTTGGCTTGAGGTGTCTTTGTTTGAAAATGTATTGGGGGTCAGGTAATGTCTTGCATTCGAGCTCGTGTAAATATGGATAGATTTCATTCACATATTCACTTACCATTAAAGGATCGTCCATATCTTCTTCATCCAAATCGTCCCATTCATAATCGACGACTTTAGATTTTTTGTAATCATTGACGTTCAACTTTTCCACGAGATTAGTGGAAGATTCCGTGGCTTGCCTCTTTTGTGGCAACCTGGAAGGAATAGCCAAGTCACTGGTTATTACGTTGTTCTTTCTCTGTTGCAACGGTAAAGATTTCCCACCTAAAGGTTTTCTTTTGGTTTGTAAATCAAGAGACGTTTGAGGTTGTCCAGTTTTGGATCCGGCTCCATATTGACTAGAAATATCACCAAGATATATTCTCTCTTGCAACTTTCTTTTATTCGCCCCGTTTGTACGTTCTTCGTGTGCATCATTCAATTTAAGGTCATTGGCGTCATTCTGAGTTTGTTGTTGTATTTGTGAATGTGATTGTGATTGGGCAGCAGGTTGTAACAAAAGGGATTCGCTTGAACTAGAAGTTTGCACTTCATCTTTCCCTCTTATTACTTTATAGCCATTCTCATCATTCATTATTTGGACCATGTCGACACTTAATATACGTAATTGAGTGACAGATTTCTCAGGTTTGTTAGGCGAAGCGAATCAAAACACGTTCGAAATTTAAGATGGATAGCTGAATTAGAATCAGCTAGTTGAAAACTGGGGATGGTCAGGTATTTCTGGAACTGTAGGGTATACGGAGCTGATTTGCACGTTCCTTCTATCGCAAATAAAAACTTATCAAGTACCTTAAGGAGTATGAAAAGATTTGGGCAAGTGAACGGATGAACGAGTGAGTAATGCTAAAAACCAGTAGACACGTGAGGGGGGCAGACGAGTTTGGGTTATTGCAATAATAAGGATTCAATGGCAGTGTTTATGACTGGGAAGTTTTTAAAAGGAGCGATATTCGTAGTTTCGACCAGAATATATTCCTCCAAACACAAAATTTTTTTGATGAAATTAGTTTTTTGTTTTCATTATTTCGATTTTTGGAAACCATCGCGTTCAAACACATTGGGCACCGAAGTAAACAAACACTAGTTTTTACTTAAAAATATGTTAAGCTCATAGGCTAAGGCATGCATAAGTTTCTTTATGTATGTTATTTTTTTAATTGTACCAAGGAATTGAAGGACATTGGTATACACTACGAACGGCATGAATGTCTAAAATTTCATATAGACGGCCAATGAAACCATTCTGCAACTACGGTAATCGCTTAAACATTCTGATTGTGTAATTGGATTTTCATTATGTTCAGTTATACAGCAGAGGCTTCTCCTAGAGGGTCCATTTGTATTCTCCCATCAAATCAAAGGCATAATTATTTCTTTGCTTGTTGTTATTACTTAAAGGGCCCGGAGTAATATTTTGGTCTAAAGACGTCTCACTCGCTATTGTTGAACATCTCTCACATTTTCTCCTCTCTTTGGTTGATTGCACTTTGCTGGGAATGTTATGATTGGAACTTGAAATGACAGAACCTTCTTTGGGGTCCTTGTATTGATTGTGAAGCTTATCGCAGCACAAGTAGCATTGTAAAATTACATCCTGTGCTGCTGCATTTTTAAGCGGTTGCGCAGTGGAAACACCTATTTCACCTTCGCTACGAGACACGGGTGGCGTTGTGCTGTTTTTTACACCTGGTGTGTTCTGATTCGGTATCAGCAAAGGCTCTGATTTTTGGCTTTGTGGCTGACTTTTAGATCCCAAACCTGGAGATGATTCCAAAATACCAATTAACTTCTCGTAGAGCTTGTTGTTATTTTCGAGCACAGTGTTTAAAGCGCTGTTGTTGTTCTTGTGGTCAGCATCAGGCCGAAGATCAGATTTATGTTGCTTCACAATATCTTCAAACTGTTTCAAGAGATTTGACTCCATGTTAGCCATATCAATATCCCTTTCTTCTTTACCATCATTGACAGCTGATACCAGCTCGATGTTACCAACATCATGATATGCATTCAATGGGGGTCTCGACCGCTTCTCCTTATTAAGAATTTCAGCCATATCATTGTACAAATGAACCAATCGATCGCTGCCAGCCGATAAATTCTTGGGGGAAACTTTCTTTGAGATGAGAGGAGGATTTGATCTCACATTTTCTTTATCACTAGACCTCTCCCTTAGTCTCAGTTTGCCTTCATAGAGGCTCTTATATTTGATGAGTTTGGTCCTTAGCAACTCGTTCTCTCTCTTGAGTTGGTTGCTCTCATTCAACATATTTATGAATTCCTCACTCTGTTTTGCTATCTCTTGTTTGTGCATTTCATTGGACTTAGTTAACCCATTGACTTTGGCGTTCAATTGGGTGATGATTATCTGGTCATTGTTATTCTTTAACGACTCATTTTCAATTGAAATGCTTTGGCATTTCTTTATTAACCTATGGATCGAATCAGTCAAAAGACTTTGATGATCTTCGAGCTCTTTATTCCCCATTGATTTTGGTATATCATTGATTAGTTTGTGGGTTTCTCTGATTAAAAGGTCGGTTTTCTCTTCATTATCTTCAATATACGGTGAGTCAGGCTCGACTACCGTTTTGTTCATAAAGTTCCGGACGTTTTGGTGTATTGACGTATCACTGAGGTTATTGAAAGCTTGCTTCAAAGGGCTCCCTCTTATAGATGAGCCAACTACACCTCTACCAGCCTTTCTGATGTTACCAGGGGTAAATGGCAGTCCTCCATCGGGAACTTTGGGAACGAATATCTGCTTCTTCAAGGGTGTTTTCTTATCTATGGGTTTTACTGGAGACGAGGCTTTGAGGGGACTAAAATCTGTACGGAACATAGAATCATCCGAATACAAAGAGATATCTTCTTCATCCAACATCTCCGTATGACCCTCATTGCCAGAACCATATATATATAGTAAGTCCTGAGTACTCTCTTCTGCCATCAGCTTCTTTAACTTGTTTACAAAAACTATAATTTCTTTGCAACGCGATTTTTTCAATATATTCTACGAACCCGCAACTCATCTACTAACGCATAATATTTGTTTATTCCTCGACGTCAATATGAATCAAATAATTGAGTGACTTTCTGACTGCGGTAATATGCCATGGTACAATACCAGAACTAATGTAGTTTTCTCTTTCCACTTCGTCTCCAAATGCACCTAAAATACTTCTTGTACACAAGATATCGTTCAAAGTGATCAATTTCTTATAATGATTCAAGATAATTTTCATTAAAGACTTCAAGTTCCAATAGTTTGAACAGCTCAAAAGATTTATGTCAAATATAAGGTAATCAGGTTTTAATGGATCAACCTTTTTCAACAAATATCCCACTCCCATTGCTGGCCTTGTGGGGGTATTCAATGATGGCACTGAAGTCATAGGAACAATGCCAACTATTGAATCCGAAGGATCCTGTAAGGTGACATCCTTGAGATCAAAACTACCATTATATATCTGGTCAATCTTCGAACTGTCTCCATTTTGAGTTTGCCCACCTAACACACCTTGTACATCAGGGGAAAGGAAATTGGAGGCATTGTTAAGTCCAAAACTGAAGTTATTGGAGGGAGATATCATGAGATTCGAGTTGTTGGGAGAAGGATTATTGGAACTCGACATATTGTTGAAGTTCTTGAAAAAGTCGTTGGCCAGCTCCTGTGGGTCCATTTTAATCCCCTGTCTCGACATCCCTTCTTCGGTAATCAAATCTCTAGTACCATCTTCAATGTCAATACTCACTAAATCATTGTTTGCTGATTGATCTAGATTTGAGGCACCATTCTTGATCCCATCCGATGTGATGGTAGTCTCAGTTAACGAGGCCTTAGGTGTGCCATTAACTGACAACACTATCAACGAAATATCCTTGTATTTGACGCTCAATCTTTTCCAATGAACTAATTCATCATCAGGAATAATGCTATTAACTCTTGTCAAGACCAAGAATTTCCGTCCTCCTAAACCACTTGTTCTCTTTATTATTTCATCATTCAATTTCTTGAATAAATCGTTGGAAATCTCCAATATTTGATCACTAATGGAATACAAGTCATGGACATTTCTATTGATCCCAACATCACCATGCCCATTCGAATTGCTGGTTGCTTGGCTATTGGTTGACTTCAATAAGCTGGCAGAATTGCACCATGATTTGGTGTATGTAACTATACCCAATGGATCAGACCAGGCAGCAGAAACCCAGTTTTTGTCGATGGATCTCTCGTATGCTAAATGCAAAAATGCATCATCATCTGAACTTGTATCCTTGTTTGAAGCATTATTATTGAAGAACTTAAAATTGAGCTTTGAAACTGGTTCCTTAACAATGTTTGTAAATAAATTCAAACTAGTGTCGACAATATTGTTAGGTCCTATGGTTTTGATTGGATTAGGACACTGGTTGTACAAATTCATTGCTAACTTTGTCAACATGTAATTGGATGTGTGTTTCAAGACTCTCTGTCCATTTATTTCTCTAATAATGTGTTCGCTTGGGATAATCTTACTGAAAACTTGAACTAATGGTAACTGGTGTCTCTTCAAAAATGTTTTGAAGTTCCGACAGATCTTAGATATCTCTACCAAGGAATTAAAGTTCTTGTTGAAGTTTATGAACATCAATAGTAACGGTCTGTCGAACTCAAACCGGTTGGTCTTGTTTATAAGATCAAGTTGAATCAATTCAGCAAGAGAGTTTAGCTTCTTGTTCATCTGTCTGTAAATGTGATTATAATTATCATCATTTTTGTTGATTGAAAGTAGCCCGTTATTGATACTTTCAAGGTCTGGTCTTGCCTCTATGGTCTGAAGTGAAACCTTAGATATATTACCAAAGTTGCAATCGTTATAGTTGTAAATCAACGAATCGATAAAATCTTGATTGTAAGTATTATTCAGATTATCATTCAATGTTTCAGAGATCATCAAAATTTGGAAATTCTTGGGTCCAAATATTGGATCAAAATTCAAATATTTCCAAAACCTTATGGATATGGAATTCAAATTGATGATGTCCGATTTATTTTTGAGTACCCTGATCTTATTCTCATTTAAAGTCTTGATGGACTCACTAACGTCCAACAATGACATTTCACTGATTTCCTTCATCACTTGAGCATATTCCTTGAACCCTTCATCATTCCTTGGGTTATCTAGATAAATAGAATCCCATTCGATCGTCCCCAACTTTCTCAATTTGGATTTAGGATTTAAAATTTCATCATTCGTTATATCATCCAAAAAGCTTAATTGATTGTCCATAGAATATTCTTCCTTGTCCTTAAGTTCCAGGATATCACTGAGAAGTTCTTCCAACTTAATCTTATATGTAAATGGGAATGCGTCCATCAAAACCTTCTCAAATTTTTCTGGAATTAATTCACATTCAATGAGTCTTGAGTTATCCTTTGGTTGGTAATCTTTGAAAGGTTGAGGGATATTAGATGTCAAATTCTTTCTGATGTTATTCAAGCCAAGATCAAATATTAAATTTGGGCCTAACCAGTTCAAGAACTCATTGAGATAGTCCACCTTTATAACCATCTCATTCTTCTTGCTTACTTCTGTATCTTCTTCATCTTGATCAACATCCATGTTAAAATCTGATGCCGTTGCTGACATCTTTATGGCTCCCATTATGTTGTTGAGAAGGAATTCATCTGGAATTGTAGCAATATTAACTCCCCTGAGAATCAATGGGAGACAATTAGATGATTCTGATATCGAATTAGCGGTAGACTCGTTACTGGAAGATCCATCCGCCGTTGGATTCATAGTCGGAACACTTGTAGAGGGCATTGATATTGGGGTCTGTCTTTTAAACTCATCATTATCCATAGTCAAAGGTGAGTTATACTTGTTCTTCTCATCCAAAGGTGAATCATGTATTGCAAATGGAGAATCAAACTTCGGGAGAGCATTTAGCTTGGTTGATTGGGTGAACAAAGTGGTCGATAAAGGAGAAGAAAACCCTCCTGAATTAAAAGTATTTGTGTTAAGCAAATGCAGAGTTTTAACTGTTCCTGGTGGTTCTCTCACAGAAGGTACCCCAGTTGGATTTTGAAATTGTAAAGGCTCTGATTGCATATTTAATCTCAAAGGTGAATCCTTTCCAAGGTTGATATCGGCATCTTCGTCACTCTCTTCTTCCTCGTCATCGTCATCGTCATCGTCATCGATGTCATCATCATCACCCTCACCTGGTCCTCCGTCTACACTTTCTTCCTCGTCATCATTACCTTCAACTTCTCCTCTTCTTGAATGTGCAATAGTTCCACCTTGGGGAACATCTTCTTCACCTTCCTGTATCTTTTCATCTTCTTCGCTATCGAAGAAGACTTTGCTCTCGGGGAGGTATTCGATTCCTAAGCCCTTTCTGTCTGGTGACTCGAATGTTCCGCTGCTTCGGAGGTCTAATCCGATGACACTCGTCGCTCTAAGCTTTTTGATTGGGGTTTCCGAATTCTGATTGTAGTAGAACTTTCCACCTTTGCCGTACTTATCGTCCACATTACTCTTAATCAATGGATTGAACAATATAGGTGAGAAGGCTGATTGACTGATGGCTACATCCGAATCAATACCAGCACTGACCGGATTCACCTTAGATTTATCGAAAGGTGGGGGTATCATTGGGGTGGGCATTATAGGGAGTGGAGCACCTGGGTCATCGTATGGAGTACTATCTTTTAAGGAAATAGCCATTTGATCTTTGGGAATATCGAATGTTGTAGACTCATTAGAAAACAGTAGTTTCGACAGTCTACCGTTGAAAAGGTCATCTTCTCCAGAAAACAGGAGATCGTCAATACTTGATTTAAGTATGTCTTCGACGTTATCTTTTTTGGACTCATTTTCTATCAACCCCAAATTATTATCATCTGATTCTTGCTTGGTTTCGTCTTTACCATCTGTATCCTCACTACCACTATACCCTCCAAATAAGTCATCCATTTCATCATTTCCTTCATCAGGAAGGCCATTTTTGTCTTCACTGATCATGCTTGTATCTTCCATTCCAATATCACGGTCATCATCTAGCTCTGTGATATTGCCCATCATTTTTTCATCAAAGAAATCAACACCTACTGGATGTGGAATTCCTTCGAAAAGATCAGGAATCATCTGGATTTCATTGTTCTCCATCTGTAGATCGTTCTTATGTTCAGCAGAACTCATGCCGGTTGACATTACGCTAGGTGCATTAAAGGTCGAGATATTGTGAATAGTTCCTGTGTTTTGTAAATGTTGATGATTCTGTTGCATCTGCTGCTTAGTTGCTATACTGAAGTCCATGAACTCAGAAATTAACCCAAGAGGATCTGAATATTTGATCTCCTGATTAGAGTATTCAGCATTGGCTAACGAATCAGATTCGAAATCAATGGAACGTTCGTATCTACCAAATTGCAACAAACAAAGCTTCCAAGGCCACATGATATATTTCTTATTGTCAACTGTGTGTATGAACTTGGCTATTTTTGATGTCTGGTTGTTCAAGTGCTGTAAATTAGGAATCAATTTGACCCATAAAAGGTTTGGTTCAATGGATAAGTCTATTCCTGTGGCCAACTTGAGTAAGCTTAACACATTCTCGTGGTTCTTTGGAGGAGTGTATGTGAAGCTGTTAAGCACCTTAAAGTTATCGAACAAATGACATCTTATACCAGAAGGAGTAAGGTATATGATAAAGTTGGGCGAGAGCTCATCTTCTGGTGCATCAATGGAAAGTACTGAAGAGTCATAAAGTTGTAAAGCAGACTTTTGGATCACACAAAGGAGCAAGTCCCCATTCGTAGAAATCATTGGTTCAATGAATATCACATGGTTGGTCACCTCATCAATACTAATGACAGCAGAATTACCAAATATTCTTGCCGAGCCCTCTTGTGAAAGCCTATATAGAATCAACTTTTTGATGGACTTTAAAAGACTTACACTGATGTATGGAGAGTGTTCAGATATCAGTTGTGCAGAAGCCATCCCATTTTCCAGGCTTGCCGAGTCATTGCATTGGTTATTGGAAGGAGTTGACTGGGTTTGATTCTGACTGGGTTTCGGAGATGCACAAAGCAATTCCACAGAGATTGATTTGGTTGTCTTGAGGACTAGTTCGGGATACTCTTTGGACAAATCAATGGAATTGGAGTTGTGTTCGAATTGAAAGTAATAAAGACCCTTATTGTAGTAAGTAATTAAAATTGATGGATATTTGTATCTGATGGCTAGCTCAAGCTCCAATAGCGCCTGATCATTATTTGTATTCAATTGGTACAGGGCATATTTGACCCCCGTTATGTGGCCAAACTTGTAGTAATTGGTATTGACCTTTGAAGCATTGATTCCTTCCATGGTGGAGGAAATAGAGAGTTTTGCAAGGAGCGTTGTTCAAAAGCTTTAGATAACCTGCCAACGGATTTTCGCTGAATCTGTGCTTGAAAAATATTGAGATCTGACTTAATCAAAAAAGGGTCTTATCAACTCAACAGAACACAATTGAGTGCTGTTCAGGTCCCTTTATATGGTCATTGCAATATTACAAGTCTTGAAGGCCATGTTTCAGACGTTTTCTTGTTCAGTTGTCAATTGCAACCTATACACAATAGATACTACTAACTCTGGTAGCTAAACGAATTGGCCAACACATCATCTCTAAACTTGTCAACACCCAACGCGCTGGTATGACCCCATGGCTTCTTGGAGTTCTCGTTATCGATAGCGGCTGCAAAACACCCCAACCATCCGTCTCGTGGATACTTTTCATTGATGGCCTCCACCGTATCAATGTGAATATATTGGGTGTTCAATCCCACGTTATCCAAAATAGTAGAAATCTGAAGAATGAGACCAAGAGACGTGATGTATCCAGACTCTCCCAAGTCTTGGTGGCGGATTATGGCCTCTGCCACCGCCTCCGAAAAATCTTGGTTACCCGTATGCTCCATTACTAATCCATGAGAGAGAAATCCCCCGTAGAACTCAAATGACATTTTAGTTGCCTCCATATTCTTGTCGGTGGTGGCGATGTCATGAAGGAGGCACGTGACGAACAACACTTCAATATCAAGATTCCAGTCGGAGAACTGATCTTTAATGATTGCCACGCTGTATTGAAACACTCTCAAAGAGTGACGCAAGACTTTGATGGGTAAATTGTCTTGAGCATACTTTAAGATAGACTGGCTCAATCTCGAATCTGGAAGTGACACTACATGTTGCTTTGTAGGAGGTTTGGGGTCGGGAATAGCATCGGTGATGGATCTAGGAACCTTAACAAATCCGTACTTTGACATGTTAGTAATATCTAGTGGCAATTGTCAAACCCCACATAATTTTCTTTTGAGAACAATCGCCGAACAGTGCTGGCAGGGTAATTTCAAGTATATACTTGCCGAGGAAGAAATTACATGCAATCATATAGTTATATTGTGGCTGGAAGAGTGTTTGAACCTTAACTATAGGTTTTGTCATAGGAAGGTCGATGATATGGAAATTGCACCCACCTCTTTGGCCCACCACTTTGACCCACAACTCTAACCAACCGGTTTCAGAAACATCACGCGTGACGTAAAGACCAAGATATAGATCAAAGTTATTTTTTAGTGCTGAAGCAACCTAATGCCTAGTTTTATCAATTAGGCTCACAAATGACACAACCTGGATATCTCACGCAATCAGTTTTTCATGGTAGCGCATTTTTAGAATCGTAAACACTCAAGATCAAATAATGTCTGAAAAGCAAACACGTACGTACAGCTTATATTAAAGCTAGTATATCCTTTCTATCATCGTTTTCCCATGAGCATCATTTACTAACTGGTTCCCTATAGCCGTTTTGAGGGTCGCCGACTTGCCCGATGAGATCCAGACTAAAGTGTTTGAACTTGCGCTGGAGGCAACTGATAACTACAAGGTTGAAAAGGAGATTGCTGCGTACATGAAGAAAGAAATGGACCAATTATATGGACCCAGCTGGCATGTTATTGTGGGTGAAAGTTTTGGCTCGTATGTGACCCATGACCAGGGGTGTTTTACATACTTTTACCTTGGAGAATTGGCATTTTTGGTATTCAAAAGTGGATAACCATATTTGTGTATATAAGTTATATTAATATAAACATTCTAGCTATGAGGACAACTTTTCAGCTTGTCCGCTTAATAAAGTAAAGACTGGTTTACCTAATTTATCTCTACCTTTCAAAAAGTCTAATTCCATTACAAACAAATATTCAATCACTTCAGCCTTTGATAATTTGACCAATTCTCCAGCAGCACTAGCACTTCCTCCGGTGGCCAAAATATCATCCACGATGATTACCTTAGCTCCCTCAGGAATGACCCCTTGTTGAATCTCGAATTTGTCACTACCATATTCTTTTTGAAACTCAGCTTGAAAGGTTGGTCCAGGCAACTTACCAGGCTTCCTCACGGGGATGAAACCAGCATTCAAAGCCAAGGCTAAGGTTGGGCCGAATAAAAAGCCTCTACTTTCTAATCCAACAATGTAGTCGACCTTTTTGTCGCCAACATGCAACTTGAAGGCGTCGACCAACTTTTGGAATAATTCGGGTTTGCTGAAGATAGGCAAGAAATCTTCGAAAAGGATCCCTTCAGAAGGGAAGTTAGGGAATTGTTTTAAGTTTCCTTTTAATTCTTTGGCAATCTCGTTGATTTGGGACATCGTGGACAGTAAAGGGAAATTTTAGAGATGAGGAAAAACCCGTTTTCCAATACTGAGAACCTCACTAGCAGACTAGTTTGAATAGATTGTTTAGATAAGTCCGTGAGGAATGAACTCATTGTAGTTGGGGATCATACCTTTATCTTCTATTCCCAAGACCTTTTGAATATACTCTGGATCCAATGTGCATACAAATACTGGGTTATCAAAAGTTCTAGCTGCAAATGTCTTTTCTTCCCATTCTCCAGCCACATACTTATTCTTTTTGAAAGAACTTTTTTGCAACGCCCAAGTCCGGTATTCGGTATTGACGGTGTCTCTTGGCTCGAACATAAATAAAGCGCCGTATCCATTTTCGGGTATATTGCACGAAGCTTCTGCTGTGTAATCAATCCCGGCAGTCAAAGCAAATGCTACATTAGTATCAAGATTGGCAGAAAAAAGCCTCCAGAAACCATAGGAATAAGAAACGTCTGGGTTTCCTGAAACAGAGATTCCCAAATTTTGTTGTCTCGAAATAGAGGCTGTCCCTCCAAATTCAGATTCCACAATACTCTGTGCAATTGGCCTTCCGTAATACTGCTGTTTGTCTGTTTTGTGGGCTTTAACTTCCATCCAAGCATCCATATCACTGTCAATAATCAGAGTATAGGTATTCAATGGCAAGTCAAGCCAATGAACATAATGCAAAAGTATATGGTCTTCAGCAAACACATAAACTTCATTCCAGTTCACAAGTTTCTTCAGTGGAATGTCTTCGGCTGACTTGTATTTTCTGATAGCAGTTAACTGGTTTTGTGGGATGTTTTGTTTCTTTATACTGCAAGTCGTAACGAATGTAGCCTTATTATTTTGTAACCCTGTTTGAAAAAAAGTGGAGTTACTTACTGAATTGTTTAATCCTGTAAAGAAACTTAAAGATGTTGAGTTCATTATAATCCGTGAAATTTGCAAGTTGCAAACACTTTTATCAAAAGTTCGGGAAATTAACAAAAAGTATTGATAGAGCCAAGGTTAAATAGGAATTGCTTACTGGGGTATTTTTATGTCCTTTAAATAACAATATAGCCTGACATTGTGATATGCTTGATGAGCATGTCAAAAAGAATTTAAAACCGGGCAGAACTGTGCAGAGTCAAAGCTGCTAAAATTCCTTCTCAACAATCAATATAAGATGTACTTAATATAATGAATTCATTTTTAGTTCTCTGAAGCAAATTTACCTTATATCCATGTCCAGGTATTTGCAGTAATGAAAGATTGATAAAAACAAGGTCGTGTCTGTTCATGGAAAACTCGTGAGAATCTAATGAGCGACCAAAATTTTGAAAGACAAAACCTTTCAATAGTTCAACAACCATGTCTGAAGAAACTACTGATAAACCAGTGGACACCAAGCATGACATCAACGAAGTGTCTGATGCGGGCTATGATGTATCCGCTACCGATCAAGGTGAGATTGATGAGCAGAAAGCAGAGGCGTCGGCGGAACTGGAATCTATCAAGGCAGAATATCAGACAGGTGACAAAAGACGTTTGGAAGAAGACAATGAAGGTGACGTAGGCTCGAACGTAAGAGTTGATGATGATGATGATGATGATGAGGAAGACGAAGATGATGATGACGTTGGAGGAAACAAAAGAAGAAAAGCCAGAAGAGCCAACCAGTTTCTTGATATCGAAGCTGAAGTTGACGACGAAGAGGAGGATGAGTTGGATGAAGATGATGAAGAAGCCGAGTTATTACGGGAACAGTTCATTTCTGATGACCACGATCGTGAAAGAGGAGAAGTTGAAGAATCTCATGATGACAGACTTCACAGACAATTTGATCGTCGGAGACAAGAAGCTGAGGATCAAGATGCTGAAAAGTTGGCTGAGACCTTGAAGCAACGTTATAGAAGAACCCATGGCGTATACAGAGGTGATACTACCACTAGCGGGACCGTTTCTCAAAAGTTATTGATGCCTTCTATCAATGACCCTGCTATTTACGCTATCAGATGTTCACCTGGACGTGAAAAAGAATTGGTTCGTAAGTTGTTTGAAAAGAAAAGGACTTTATCAAGACTGGCCAAGCCCTTAGACATTTTGACTGTTTTCCAAAGAGATTCATTCAAAGGTTATATTTATATTGAAGCCAAGAAACCAGAAGCCATCGAAAGGGCTTTAACCGGTATGGTGAACGTTTATGCCAGACAAAAGCTTTTGGTACCTGTTCGTGAGTATCCAGATTTATTAAAACAAGTCAAGTCATCAGATGTTGAGTTAGTTCCAGGAATTTATGTGAGAATCACTCGTGGTAAATACAAGGGTGATTTAGCTATCGTCGATAACTTATCAGAAAACGGTTTGGATGTTAGATGCAAATTGGTTCCTAGATTGGACTATGGAAAGAATGATGAATTCGATAAAGAAGGAAAGAGAATCAAATCTAAAATTGTACCAATTCCTAGATTATTCAGTGAAAGTGAAGCCAGGTTGTATGACAACGAAAGTTTACAACCAGGAAGAGGACCAAGGTCTTTCATTTACAAAGGGGAAGAATACACTGATGGATTCTTATTCAAAGATTTCAAGCTTCAATTTGTACAAACTCAAAACGTTCATCCTTCTTTGGAAGAATTGGATCGTTTCCAAACTGGTGATGCAGATGAAGATGGATTGGATATCGCGGCTGTAGCAGCTTCTTTGAAGAATAAAAAGAATGGTGCTGGCCAAAGCTCTACTTTCCAACCAGGTGATAAGGTTGAGATTCGTAGAGGAGAACAAGCAAAGACCATTGGTAAAGTTGTTTCATCTTCCTTGAATGAAGTTTCTATAACTATTACCGATAGTGAAGATAAGAATTTCATCAATCAAAAATTGACTGTTCCAGGTAGTGATCTAAGAAAAGTATTCTTACCTGGTGATCACGTCAAGGTCATTGAAGGTAAGCACTCAGAAGAAACTGGGTTGGTTATTAAAGTGGAAAACGACTCTGTCGTTTTATTGAGTGACCAAACACAGGAAGATATTAAGGTTTTCGCCAACTATTTGATCAAAGCCACTGACACATCACTGACTGTAGCGTCAAGTGATAGCAAATATGAAATCAAAGATTTGGTTGAGTTGAGTGCTTCTACCGTGGGAGTAATCCTTAAAACAGAAAAAGACCTCTTCCAAGTGCTCACTTCTGACGGAAGATTCATAAATGTTAAACCATCGGGTATTGCATCTAAGTTGAAACTCAGTCGTCTTGAGCAGGTCGCTACTGACAGAAAAGGAATCACCATAAAAGTGGGTGATACTGTTAAAGAATTGACTAATGATAAAAAACGAGAAGGTAATATCCTTCACATTTACAAAAATACATTGTTCATTAAGTCCAATGAAATAATCGAAAACTTGGGTATATTTGTGGCCAATTCTATGAATGTAATGACTGTTTCATCGAAAGATTCAATGGTTTCTAAGTCTTTAGGACCTGACTTGACAAAGATGAATCCTAACTTCAAAGCCCCAAACCCTCTCGCCACTGCTGGATTAAAGACAAGAGTTGGTGGTAGAGATAAGTTGATTTACAAGGACGTTGTTGTCACTGGTGGTAATCATAAGGGTTTGATGGGTAAAGTCACTGATGCTGATGACATCTATGCCAGAATCGAATTGCACACAAATTCTAAGAAGATTAAAGTCAAGAAGAATCAATTAAGTGTGCTAATCAGAGGCCAATCAATTCCTTATTTAAGGTTTATAGGAGCACCTGACACCCAAGGGCAAGACATGAATGCTCCTAGAACCTCTGGACCGGCGTTTTCTTCGGAAACTAGATCAGGTGGTTGGAGCTCGCGTGGCCCTGCTGGTTCTGGTGGTGCCTCCACATGGGAAGGAGGAAAAACCCCAGCTGGTGGTGCCTCAGCATGGGGAAGTGGCTCAACTTCGTCTTGGGGTACGGGTGCTAATGCTAATGGTGGTTCTTCTTCGTGGGGTGGAGCCTCTTCGTGGAAGAAAGGAGGAAACTCTAGTTGGGGTGGGGCTAATGAAGGTACTGGTGCAAACTCAAGCTGGGGTAACAATGGTGCAAACTCAAGTTGGGGAAATAATGGTGCTAATTCGAGCTGGGGGAACAATAGTGCTCCCTCAACCTGGGGAACTAATGGAGGAAACTCTAGTTGGGGCTCAAATAAGTAAATTGATTCAGCCTAAGGTGTTGATTTGTTTCAAGGCACATGATTTGTATATTTTAAAAATTGTACAGATTGTTCACCACGATTTAGAAAGAACTATCCTGTATTCTTTCAAGTGTATAGTATATAAGAAAAATAATCATTGATTCTCACAACCAGGACAATTGTGTAATGTTTCATGGACAAAGACATCACAGTCGATACAAAAGTCGTTTTTACACTTTTTGCATCTATACCTTGAGCTAGACATAGTTTCTAGCTTTTCTTTACTGTCTTTATGAATATTTTCAATCCCTTCGGGAAATTGTAGTAGACACCCATAACAAAACGAAGACGGATATGATCCTTTCACAGGTACTTCTTCATAATCCACGAGAGGTACAAGGTGATGGTACGACCTTGCCAAGTGGGTAGAAAGAATTAACATCAACCCACAGATAGGACATACTGTAGGTAAACTGCAAACTTTGCTAGAACACTGGGGGCATCTATAACCAATCACACTTGAACTTTGTTGGATTGCAGCGGCGTCAGATCCATTTTCAGTTCTTGAGCCTGAATGGCAAGCACATATTTGTATGAAGTCAAGTGAATGTCCTCCACTTGAGGATGAAAGAGTAGGTTGAACCTTAGTGGGGAATCCCATTTTCAATAGAGGAACAGACTTACTTGCCTCGATTTCTTTTTGTTGTTCAACGGTTATAGGTAATGGAACCACACAGTCCATAAGTAATTCTTTGAAGTGACTTTCATTCATAATTACACCATAATTTGGATTATTAAAGTTGTTACTTGTATGATTTGTTTTGTTGACAATTTCTTGACAAATAGCAACCTTTGCTGATAATCCTATCACCTTGACTTTGATATTATCTTTTACAAGACTGCTTATAGTTTTATGAATATCTCCAGGGTCACTTGTGAACAAAGCACCGAAGATAATTAAAATTTCTTTGGAATTTTTAGTGTCATTGATGTTATTGCCAAAATTGTATCGGAGAAGGGATCTCGAAAGTTCCAATGCATTTTGAAGAGATGGATCACCCTTAGGTTCAAACCTGTTATGCTGTTTTCCTCTTAGTTGTCTGATTTTATCGAGATGAAATTGGGGAGACCCATTTACATCACTCACTACATCTGATATACCATTTCTCATAAGCACAATTCCGAGCTGTGAAATAGGATTTTGATCAAAGAATTCAACCACAAACTCTTGGAGTAGTGACAACATCATAGAGAATCGGTTAGGTCTTAAATCTTTCTCAAGCATTATCAGTGAGCCATCAATTACCACCACCAACGTTCTTATAATACCTCTTTGATAGGGGGCAGTTGGGTTCTTCATAATCTTCTTCTTCCTGCTCTCGATCATATTCTGGATCAAACTCTCAAGCGTCTGACCACTATCATCATCTTTGACTATATCCCATGTCCTCTGATATTCATCTTCCCAAGCATAGGCTCCATTAGCTCCCTTCTTGTCGTTTGCATTACGAGAAGCCGGGTTAGCAGTTTTGATACCTCTTCGTACACCTTCTCCATCACTATCACTGAAGGAACCTCTCGATGAAGGAGATGACCCTTTATATTCATCATCTGATTCCATCACCACGCTTCTCGTTTTGAAAAGTTGAGAATGCGAAAGTTTCGATTGCAAAATAGCTTCTGTCGATTGTATTCGATTGTATGAGTCTATAATGTATATACATGTAATGTAAGTTGTTAGTCTTGATCAAGCTTGCGTTTCTTTTCATATTTGGTTAAGTCCTCAACAGTTTGTATAGTTTTAGAAAAATCTACTTTTTGGTGTTTAATGTCATAGAACAAGCTGCAAAATGTTTCAATATCCTCTACTACATCGAAACTGCTGTGTCCCCCAAAGAGTTGAGGTAAATCAGGAAGCATATTAACAGTATTTTCACTAATATACTCGTTCAAGCTGTAAGAGTCACCATTGGGAGTAATTTCATAGAATACTTCGTGGTCCACATGGAATAAATTAGGATCACAACAGGTATAGAAATCATTGAACTCATCACTTGTGTACAAATTGAAAAAATCAATGTTAGGAGTATACTTCTTCTCAGAAATTTGCTTATTCAGCTTGATTTTGGGTTTGGGTGCTGTGTCATTTTCTTGAATATAAAAGTTTCTTAAAAGTTGCACAGCTTCACTCCTTAAAACACCTCCGTAACTCTTGTAATTTCCTCTTCTACCGTCAATTTCATCATCATTGATTTTCAAAACAGTTCCATTTCCTCCGAACCTGTCGTTTCCACATCCATATACAGCCCTTTTAATACCTATCTGCTTCAACGCCGAAGCGCACATCACACATGGTTCGACAGTTACATACAAAATCACATTCAGGAAGAACAGTCGTACGTATTCAGCATCTCCATGCTTTTCTTTGGGGATGAACTGGTCAAATATGCTGTCTATGGCAATGAATTCTGCATGTCGGGTTCCATTCAAAGTATCGTTGGTTCCGTTGTATCCCACGCTCAAGACTTTCTGAATGTTCTTGTCAACCATAATACATGCTACCGGAGTCTCATTATTTCGGAGAGCCCTATACGCTACGTATAAGGCCAAGGACATCATGGAAAATTCTGTGGTAAGTCCATCGCTCATGGTTTGAGAGAATCCATCTGTCGCACCTTTTTTGTGAAATCTAATTCAGTATGTCTGATTTACATAAACAGTTTTTGAAACGAGTTAAACAACAAGAACAGGCATTTGGGTTGGCTCTGTTGTCAGAAGATGGCGGTGGTGACAACGACACGGTTTTTTTTCCGCCAGCAAAACAACAAATTGAAACAAAGCCCAAGTTTGACAGAACCGAGATAAATCATGAGGGTATATTCAAAAACTACGAAATGGAGAGAAACCTGACGTTTCCAATAATTGAAAGTTATAAAGATCAAAAGTCAGGCATAGTTTTCCAGGTATACTTTAAACCTCCATCATCTAGCAAAGTTCCTATATTTGTTGGTTGTCATGGTGCTGGCTCATCTTCTATGACATATTGCAAATTGGCACAGAGTTTTAATAAAACGTACGAGGAGGAATCATGTGGTATTTTCTTATTCGATATGAGAGGACATGGTGGCTCCACTTCGATTGAGCCACTTGATTTCTCATTAACCACCTTGACCGAGGATTTTGCCTTTGTTCTTGAAAAATTCTACCAAAAGCATAATATTGAGTCTGTTTTGTACTTGATGGGACACTCCTTGGGAGGATCGGTTCTAACCAATTACCTCCATCATTACCCAGATAATCAGTTTAATATCAAAGGATTAATTATGCTTGATATAGTGGAGGAGACAGCTGTGACCTCCTTGGGTGCAATGCCTGCGTTTCTTGAAAGAATCCCCAAAAGGTTTGCAACTTACAAACAAGCCATTGATTGGCACGTCAAGGCCACAAATCTCTTGAAAAATACAGAATCAGCATCTATAAGTGTACCAGACTTATTTGTGGATGATGGTGAAGTCCTCAAATGGAAAATCGATTTGAAGATCACCAAACCCTTTTGGGATTCTTGGTTCAAAGGATTGTCGGCAAACTTTGTGAGCTGTGGTCTGAAACAACATGTTGCAAAACTTTTGATTTTAGCTGGTCATGAAACATTAGATACCAGTTTGATCATTGGGCAAATGCAGGGTAAGTACCAATTGATCGTTTTCAACAATCCAAATGCAGGCCACTTTCTCCAGGAAGATATTCCCGCTAATGTTGCCGTTAGCTTAGCAGACTTTGCTAGAAGAAACGACTCACCAGATGACTATATGAAAAGAGAATTAGGGTTTGTACCCAAGTGGGGCGGAAAGATTCATAGTTAATATACATATATACTAATCAACACTAAGGTTAACCTTTCTGATCTCATCTTCTCTAATAGTTATAGCTTCCACCAACCTATCAATGTTCTTATTGGCCAATGGGAATCTTGGATTGATTAAGAAAGGTCTTAAATCAAACCTATTGTCATCGGGGGAATACTGTTCTGCATGGTAAGCAGGTGTCATGGTTGTCATTTTATGTCTGTTGATAGCATAAAAGAACCAAAATCTTTTCACCTTTTCAGCGACTTGTTCAGCTGTCAAGTTGTATGGAGGTTGGGACCATTCATGGTATAACTTTACAAACATGGCCAATGGTCCACATTTGTCAACTTTCCGTAATCTTCCAAATCGGTATAATTCGGCATAGCTCATACCCATATCAATCTCATCACTTTGAACATAATCAGCAGTAATAGGTTCTAACTCGGCTGTAGGAGTGGCTTCTATAAATTCTCTCAAAATTGGAAGCTCAAAGTTGGTACAAGCCCAACCAATGAATCTCTTCAAATCAGTTTTGGAGATACCCCCAATTGGATTAAGATCAGCACTTGAACAATCATATTTGGTCAAATAACCTCTTAAGCATTCATCCACATTAGCACTTCCCAAAACAAGTAGCCCACCAGCAATATCTCTTGTCCAAGGTAACAATTGTGCAAATAAATAACTTAACACCATTCTTAATCTAGCTTGAATGTTTTGTAAAGCTAAATTCTCTGTTTGGGAACCACCAAATATTTTGAAAATTGGTTTACGTCCAGTTGCAACTTCAAACACAGAAACAACAGCAGTCACCAAAGAGTCCATGTTCAAGTCGACGTGGAATGATCCAATTTTGTCTGCTAATTCTTTAGCTCTTGATCTGGTTTCAGCAGAGGAGTTTTTGGTACCCATATAACTTGTGTAGAATAACTTTCCAGCCACTTCTTGGGGTGTCCTGGGAATCCAATCTGGTGATTTAGTCAACATCTGGATGTCAGAAATGACTTGCTTGTCACCATCTTCGCAACTCAGAACAATTAATCTGCACATCAGATGAACAATAGTAGCAGTAGCACATGAATCAACACCACCACTTAAAGGTAAAAAGAACCCAGCACATTTGGATCTTCTCAAATAATCCCATAACCAACAAGCTGGACCCAATGCAATTTCTTCTTCAGGCAAATGATACTTGACCGAAATGGGCAATGAAGGTCTAATTAACGGGTTAAACACATTACTTTGAGGACTCAATTCGATACCTGCTTCAATGGACTTAAATGGATTCCTTTCCGCAACCGCTTGAATCCCCGTCAGCTTCTGGTTTCTGAAGGACTTGATATCATCTAAATCAATGGTTGCAGTTATAACTTCAACATCCTTCAAGGAGAATTGGGAACCTTGGGCAATCATTTGTCCGTTGACAATGATGGAAGCACATCCATCATAATATAATCTATCTCCATCACAACCCTTCTGGTTGGAATAAAGGTACACACCACCACATTTCTTAGTAGCTTCCATAATCAACTCTAATCTGGTATCCAACTTTCTTAACTCGTGGTGAGAACCAGAAGAGTTAGTGAAGATCTCCACTCCGTCCAAAGCCATGGCAATGTGAGGAGCTTGAGGAGTGAACAATTCTTCACAAGTCTCAGCCCCAATTCTTGTTTCAGCAGTTTCAATAACACAGTCACCAATATAGACGGTGGATTGTCCAGTAACTTTCTGGATGGCAATAGGTAACCGGTATTCTTCGTAATACTTTGGTCTTGACCAAGGGGTGAAATATCTCATCTCTCTGTAGTTCCCATCATTAGCCAACACAAGTTTTGGCCTAATCAATAAAATCTTCCCATTATAGGAGATGACTCTACAGTTATATTTGACAGACTTATGAATAATTGGCATTCCAATGTCTACCAAAATACCATGGGTATCAGTATTAGCCAATATTTCTGAGTAGATTTCCCAAGAATGGTCATACAAGTCATTTTCTAAGAAGTGGTCTAAACATCCGTATCCGGTGATCTCTAATTCAGGACCAACTCTAAGGCTGGACCCATGGTCTTTGGCTTCCTTAATACTCTCAATGATTCTGTCCCTATTTCCTTCAAAGTCCAAAGCCCATTGGTTAAGGTTACAGGTTGATACCGTAATATAGTGACCCATCTTGAATAAATTCAGTGATAAGAAATGTGTTTTGGTTGAAAAGCGTTCCGCACAACCCTTGGATGGCTGAAAGATCGCAAAAGACTCACATACATTTTAATAAATACATAAACATTCAAAACATAAAGAGGGTTATAAGGTTGTCTTAGGATCGACTCCACTAGCAATGTTACACTGGTGCATCAATCTTCTTTCATCTTGACCATCGGATTTCACTCCTTTAAATTCTCCAGTAACTGAATGCCAGACTCCTCTGTTGAAAAAGATAACCAAGTCACCTTCACCCCAAGCATGAGCCAACACATTCTGTGGAGCAATAGCAGGTCTCATCAACAGGTGAACTTTTTTACGAGAGTCTTCCAAGTCGAGAATAGACACAGATCCATCGGATTTTTTCGTGTGCAATTTGAAGAGACAGCATCCATGGATTTGCAAGTGGTGTTGCTTGGTGACGGGGTTAGTCCAAACCATGGGCAATTTCTTCACCTTTTGTTCTTCCCAAGCAGGTAATTCGTCGAATGGGGTTTCTTTACCTTCGCTGACCATGGTCAAACCATCAGAAGTAGCTCTGGCAGGAGAAATGAAAATATATGGATGAGGAGCGTACTCGATGGTGGTGTTCAAAGCGTATTCCTTTTGTTCATCAGACAATAATCTGAATGCTTCAGCCCCACTGACAAAACATGTAGCGCCTTGAGCAACTTCCAATTGGTCGTCAGAATCACGTCCGTAGGTGATGGTGTTGGTTTGGGTGGCAGGTGGAACCTTGATACCCAACAATGTAGTAACCACTGGTGGAGATAACTCGTACAAAGCAGAATCAATGTGCCATCTGTAGAATCTGGTTTTGTGTTCATGCTTGATCTCATCAGGTGTTAAGACGTCTTTGTGGAATGAGGTATGCGAAGGGTGAGTTAAGCTTATATCTTCACCGTTTTCATTACCGGGTTCACCAGCGGTGAATGTTCCTTGTCCTAAGATCTGGACTTGCGGTTGACTTTTGACAGAAGTTCCATCTTTTCTTAACACAGACTGTTCGTGTCTGAACTCTTTACCATGTCCATATCCACCAAAACCTTCACCTTTTGGTTCAGGGATAGTTGGATCAAATTTCTTGGTCAACAAATATTGGGATTTTGGTTTTAACTCGGCTAAGCCAGGAATCACTACCACCAAGTACTTATGCACGGCTTCAAAAAGTTGGTTGAAATCATTGTCATTCAAGTTTATTGGATCATTGTTACAGTATTCAGGTAACTGGATCTTGCAACCAAACTTGTGTTTGGGTAAAGGGGTGATAGAAATCGACAGTGACTTATTTTCAGTTGAAGGCATGTTTATCGTTGAATGCTAGTGTTATAAAAGGGGTGAAGCAGCGGGCAGGACGTAGGAGAAAGTCCTAGGTATTTATATAGTTGTTATCATCGGAGACTCCGTCGGAGTTGACGCATACAAGTTGCTTGGTTTGTACTCATCCGCGGGGCTTCCGATAAGAAATTTGGCATTTTGGCTCCGACACCCATACTTAAAATCGGTGCCCCCGATAAACCGGTGCATAGACACACTTGACAAGATATTGTTCCTTCGGAGTCTTCTCTACATCGTCATAATTTGAAAGGTTGGATCATACTATTTTGCTATTTAGAGACTGATGTCGGCACTCAAGTAAAAGTCCTTTTGGCTCAACATCCATATCATACTGATGGTGCTGACTAGAAAAGGCCCAGCCAACCCTTTGTCAAATTTGCAGTTTTTGTATACCAACCATTCGAGGTTGAAGTGAGTGAAAGCGACGAAAAAACTCCAGAAGCATAATTCAAAGATCTGCTTGTTGCCAACCAAATACCAAGATCCGTACAACCTAACTATCGACGTAATGAAAGTCCAAGTTCCGAAAGTTCTGACTCCTAATGGGCTAATTTCTGAAGGGGAAGCGTTTGAATAAACCTTTTTACTTAAATCGGTAGAGAAGTAAGCTTGCACTGAGTTGAAAATTGATACCACAGAAATGAAGAATAGCCAATGAGGTAAATAGCCTCCATTGGGGGTGGAGACGGGAAGGATAGATTGTAATCCAATAAACATTGTACGACAAGTTATTTCAGTGAGTGTTGAGAACGCGAAATCAGAAGTTGGGCAGAAACAGTATTCTAATCGCAAAATGATAATTGTTGGTTCCTAACTAATATAGAAAAAAAGCAGTAACAAAACGTAACCTCTTGTACATCAATGATGGGTTGGATCATTGCTCTTCAAAACATCGACAGCCGGGCCCAATAATCTTTGGAATCCGGATTTATCTAAGGTAGCCACTATCACCGTATCAACTGCTTGAACAGTAGCTTGTCTTGGTAAGTTATTCAACAAAGCAACTTCACCAAAGTAATCACCTTTGGACAACTCTGTCACCCGTCCTTGATCGGATTTAAACACTTCACAGTTTCCACTTTCGATGAAGTAGAAGTTTTCTCCACTTTCACCTTCAGTGACGATCTTATCGCCCTGGTGATAAATTTCCGTAGTCAAAGCATCAGCCAACTTTGAGATTTCTTGAGTAGATAAACCAGACAAAATTTTGACTTCTTTCAAGAAGTTTTCATACATCAATCTCTTATTAAAAGTACCTTCCAATAAGATTCTTCTGAATGTTAATCTGTCCAAAGCCCAGCAAGTGACATCATCCAGAGCAGCTATAACGGTTGCAGCTCTCGGAGAGTTGTGCATCAAGGCCAATTCTCCAAACGATGACCCTTCTTTGCTCGTACCTCTTTCAATATTGTCCACATAAAATTCGACAGTACCACTTTCAATTATATAGAAATAGTCTCCTTCATCACCTTGTGTGATGATCTCGTCACCCTTCTTATAGGTCTTCTTAGTTAATGCCGATAAAACCGTCTTTTTGGAAGTACTATCCAATTTTTGGAATAAAAAGTTGGAATGTAAGGTCTTACCCAATTCAGTCTTTTGGGATTCAGTCAAATTATTGGTTGGGGGTTTCCAGCTGTCTGTCTTGAACTTGTCGGGATTAAGGGCTTCTGCAGAAACAGATGTTCTTCTGTTAACGTTAAACTTAATTGGGATCTTGGTGTTGGTTAAAGGCCTTGGTTTATCTCTACTTTCTTCGAGATCGGCAGGCAATGGGGCATTGGGGTCATTGGGGTCTGTGAATGCAGGCGAAGGGTCATTTGGATCCAATTCAGGTAAGTGGTTTTCATTGGTGGAATGATTGGCACTATAATCATCTTTAAATAATTGGTGAGGGTCATTCTCGTTAGCGTTGAAAGGAGATTTGAAACTTGGCTGTCTGCCATTAACATGACTGTTACTCATTAAACTGACGTTATCAATGTTTGGAAACAAATTGAGGCCTGCTGCCTTCGCCCTAGCCTGTTGCTGCCATAAGTAAGATCTTTGTAATTCCAACTTGGAGTTGAAATAGTTAGCACAGAACTGCAACACGTCAACGGGGTTTTTTGCAATGATTTCCTTTTGCAACTGATTTAATTCATCGGTCACAAGTTTTTGGTTGTTCATGGTTCAGGAAATGCTGGTAATTGATGATTAATTTATAACCAAACTGAATAGATTCAGAAGTAATAAATGTTATCCCAGTTTCTATCCGTTTTTTTCTCAGTTTCTCGATTAACCCTGCGCACTTTTCGCCCGCACACAAACGACCATCAATGGCTGCTAATAGTGCTATAAGTGATGCTATTCACAAACCCCAAAGTATAAGGGGCAAATGAAGAATGTCGCAAGTGAGAGAGTAGTGACCGCCTACAAAACAATGAAAAATGTTTATTGTCTTGTCCAACATCACATAGAACGCAGACATACAATTAAATCACACAATGTGGCAAAAGGATCATAGTTTATACAGTGCGAGTTGAACTTACTATCCAATTAGACATCTGGAAACACGTGACATTTTATCAATCCCCTCTCGGCTGACATAGGTCACCCATAACGGTGAAGAGGACAACTGTTCGCTTATAATTGTCTCGCCGCAAACGAGAGTTTTTTTCTTTGATCTCGGTAGAATCCACGAGGGGTGCACTTTGTTCATCTGTACTATTTGAGGATTTAAGCATATGATTGGGTTTCCAGGCATCTAGTTATATAAGGCTACATACTCATGACACTAATTTAACCGTATCTGAGGCCAAATAAGATCCTGTCATGGCAAGTTAAGCATTTTAAGCTATTTAGATATTTAGTTAGCGACGCGCCTCGCCACGACTTATAGAAGTTGGCGGAATTCTATAATGTACACGTCAACATTAACATAAACTGAGAATCGTTTAAATACGGGGGAAAGTACCACCTGAAAATTTTTTGTGAAGAAACACAGGTTTTTTTTATATCAATCGAAGATGATATTTAAATCGAACAAAACGTTGGGCTTATCCGCCTTAACGATGTTTTACTTAATCTTCTTGGTTGTCTTACCTTTTTTCAGTCATAAAAGTTCCATGGCTTTGGCCTCTGAAAATGATACTGAAAGTTATGGTACTGTAATTGGTATCGATTTAGGTACTACCTACTCTTGTGTTGGTGTGATGAAGAATGGTAAGGTGGAAATCTTGGCCAACGACCAAGGTAACAGAATTACTCCTTCTTATGTGGCGTTCACTCCAGAAGAAAGATTGATTGGTGATTCAGCCAAAAATCAGGCTCCTTCTAATGTTGAGAACACCATCTATGACATCAAGAGATTGATTGGTTTGAAATACAAGGACAAGACTGTCCAAAAGGAAATCAAATCTTTGCCTTATGCCATTAAAGAAAAGAACGGTAAACCAGTGGTTCAGGTTGAATTCAATGGTGAAGAGAAAACTTTCAGTCCTGAAGAAATCAGTGGTATGATTTTGACCAAAATGAAATCTATCGCCGAAGACTACTTGGGTAAGAAGGTCACTCATGCCGTGGTCACTGTTCCTGCTTACTTCAATGATGCTCAAAGACAAGCCACTAAAGATGCTGGTGTTATTGCTGGTTTGAACGTTTTGAGAATTGTGAATGAGCCAACAGCTGCTGCTATTGCTTACGGTTTGGACAAGTCCAGCGAAGAAAAGCAAATCATTGTCTACGATTTAGGTGGTGGTACCTTCGATGTGTCATTATTGTCCATTGAAGGTGGTGTATTTGAAGTTTTGGCCACCTCAGGTGATACACACTTGGGTGGTGAGGATTTTGACAACAAGATCGTTAAGTACTTGGCCAGAGTTTTCAAGAAGAAGCACGACATCGATATTAGTTCAAACAAAAAGGCCTTCTCCAAATTGAAGAGAGAAGCTGAAAAGGCCAAGAGAACTTTATCATCTCAGATGAGTGTTAGAGTTGAAATCGATTCTTTTGTGGATGGTATTGACTTCTCTGAAACCATTTCTAGAGCCAAGTTTGAAGAATTGAACATGGATATGTTCAAGAAAACATTGAAACCAGTCCAACAAGTTTTGGAGGATTCTGGTGTCAAGAAATCCGATATTGATGATATTGTTTTGGTTGGTGGTTCTACCAGAATTCCAAAGGTCCAAGAATTGTTGGAAAGTTTCTTTGATGGGAAGAAGGCTTCTAAGGGTATCAACCCAGATGAAGCTGTCGCTTACGGTGCCGCAGTTCAAGCTGGTGTCTTGAGTGGTGAAGAAGGAGTCGATGACATTGTCTTGTTGGATGTTAACCCAATTACTTTGGGTATCGAAACCAGCGGTGGTGTCATGTCATCTTTGATCCAAAGAAACACTCCTATTCCAACCAAGAAGTCTCAAATTTATTCCACTGCTGCTGACAACCAACCAACTGTCTTGATCCAAGTTTACGAAGGTGAAAGATCATTGGTTAAGGACAACAACTTATTGGGTAAGTTTGAATTGACTGGTATTCCACCCGCACCAAGAGGTGTTCCACAAATTGAAGTTACTTTCTCCTTAGATGCCAATGGTATTTTAAAGGTTGAAGCTGCTGATAAAGGTACCGGTAAATCCGAATCCATTACCATTACCAACGATAAAGGTAGATTATCTAAAGAGGATATTGATAGAATGGTTCAAGAAGCTGAAAAGTATGCTGAACAAGATAAAGAGGTCAAGGAAAAGATTGAAACCAGAAACTCTTTCGAAAACTACGCCCATATGTTGAAGAACCAATTGAAAGATACCACTGAAACTGGATTGGGTAGCAAGTTGGAAGATGATGACAAGGAAACTTTGGATGATGCTGTTAAGGAAGCCTTGGAATTCATTGAAGACAACTATGATACTGCAACTGCGGAAGAGTTTGAAGAACAGAAACAAAAGTTGATCGAAATTGCCGCCCCTATTACCTCTAAATTATACGCTGGTGCTGGTGCTGGTGCAGGTGATGAAGCTCAATTTGGTGATGAAGATTCAGATGATGACTTTGATCACGATGAGTTGTAAGACATTTGTATTTAATCCATGTCTTTTTGAAGTGAATAAAGTCATTGCCTAAAGTATTTAAATAGAAGTATTTGGGGACTAGAAACACAAATAAGAGTTGTAATATACAGTTTCTAACCATCTTTAATGATCACTCTTCTGCGTCCCTATTGTTAATATACTTTGTGTGTTTCATGCTATCAATGCAATGAGAAATCAAGCGCATTCACGACTACCAGCAAAAATTTTCGTAGACAGAAAAAAGAACCCAGCAAGCTTTCAACACTGAAACAAGAGCAGATTTGGCATTAGGGCACGAATGATACATCATGAGCTCTAGAAAACTACAAAAGTATGTATACAATCCAATCCCGGGCTTCCCATCACTTGCTAAATTGAGCCTGATGTACTAACTAGTTATTTTTAGGGAAATCGAGAATACCTTTAAAAAGATCAATGAAGGGTTGGAGTCTTTTAATTATCATTATGAGCGACACCAAGACCTAAATGGCCAAGTACTAGATCGTAACTTGGAAAGTCAGAAAGAAAAGTTGGAAACTGACTTGAAACGAGAGATCAAAAAGCTACAAAAGAATCGAGAATTGATTAAGAATTGGCAACTGAATGATAGTGTTGAAGTGGTGGTAACAAGGAACAAGCTTCAAGAGTATCGAAGGTTTGTTGAAGAAGCCATGGAGAAGTACAAAGAGGTGGAGAAGTCTTCCAAAATGAAGTCTTTTTCCAATCAATCGATCATGTTAGCAACCCTCGAAGATTCTCAGCATCTAACGAAAGAAGCCATTGAAGTGATAGGCTTTTTGGAGGACAGTATTGAAGAAATAAACCAGCAAATAGAAACCTTGGAAGCTGATTACGAAAAGATTTCAAGCCGAAAGACAAAAAAGAATTCATCCGTGGAGTCTGAAAAGCAAGAGATTGAAACCTCATTGAGTAGGAACCGATTTCATTTGGAAAGCTTTGAAAAAATCATTGACTTCGTAAAGCAAAGACAAATAGATCCAGAGCTTGTGGTGAAAATTCAAGATGACATAAACTTCTATTTGGAGTCCAACCAAGAACCTGACTTCATAGATGATGAAGCATTATATGATGAGATTATTCAACAAGCGGAATCCAAGTATACTTATGTTCCTAAGCAAGACGAAAATACCCTTCAAGATATCATCGAGAACTATAATAATGAATCCAATGGACAAGCCGCTAGTGGCACTACTCAAAACAGCAATGCCAACGCCCCAGCAGCAACCATACCAACTTCCAAGAAACAGCCACAAATAGCTTCTAAGTCCAAATCACCCACTCCTATCACGCCAACTAAGAAATCTGTGGAAGCAACCACTCCTATAAAGAATAGGGGATCAACCCCAGATATTGATATTGTTCAAAAGTTGAAACCAGCTGCAACCCCTTCAAAGGTTTCAGGAGAAGTTGCTTGGTCTTCAGTTGCCCGAGTCAATGCAGCCGTTGCTGGCATTAGTGCTGCTCCGTCATCTGTAGAATCCGAACGGGCTTCTTTGGTGAACAATGGGAGTAACAATTCCAGTAAGAAAACAACTAATGATTCAAGTGTTCTGTTAGAAAGTGGAATTACTGATGATACTTCTGTGCACAATTTGGAATTTAATGGATCATTGAACAAGCTGGAGATTACCAATGAGCTTTTGAATACTCAATCAGAAGATCCGATCTTCCCATATGTCAAAGTATTGGTCAATTCTGGTTTGTCATCGAGTGAATTAAAAGTTTGCTCTGATTACAACTTGACAAAAGTTCCTCCGGGTATTCAGAGTTTGATTCTTTCTTTCACGTCAACCAGGAACATCAAATCAAGTGATGAGCATTCTGATTACAATGAACAAGGAAAATTATTGCATAGTTCTCCCGATTCTGATCAATTATTCTTGCCCATTCGAAAGCCATACATTCCAATTGGTGTTCAAAACTCCTACTATCAGCATACCAGTCCATTTACACACACTCAATTTGTGAAACCACCTCTTCATTTATTGACTTACCAGAATACCTGGGACAAGATCAGAGCCACTGGCTCGTATGATTTATTTGTGTCTGATATTTTAGGTTTGATTGAGAACCAGAAGAATGCTGTTTTAGCCGGTCAAGCAAGTATGAATATGGCAGTGGTGAATGAATTGATGATGGCATTCTTTTATGGGTTTTTCTATGGGTTAACGCCATTGGAAAATTTGCTAGCTGAATCAAAGTTGTTTCAATTGGGGTGGAAACCTTACACCATCAAAGCTGTGAACCAACTTCTTCTTCAAACTCCAGGATCGTTGAACTCAGACAAATACTACTATTGGGTTAGAAATATGAAGTCCACAACTGGTACCCAAGAACAAATCGAGTTTGGTGACTATCAAATTTTTGATTTGAGCTCATGGGAGATCCACCTTAAGCTTGGATTTAGATTGGATAATAGTTTGGCGGAATCCAATCCGATGCCAGTTTTAGCTTAGATAGTTCTTGTTATTTGTAGCTGTTTCTGTACTACTGGCATTTATGCCTCTTAATCTGATATTTTTAAGTTTGTAATCATCATTTAAAAATTGAACCGAATATTGCAGGTGAAATGAGACCGTATCTATTCTGAAGATGACATGGGGAAGATATGGCCAGAGTATTTACGAGCAGATGGTCGATTCTGTTCAAACAATGCAAGTAATCTTGCTGCTTCCGTCTGTGCATCCATGAAACTGATATCAGGCTCGCTTGAAACTGGTAAGATGTCCCTCTCGGACTCCACTACAGTCTCAAAATCAATCAGATCTGAAGATTCTTTCAAAATATACTCATCCAAACTGAATATTTGGTTACCACTCGAATCTACCAAGCTAGGAACTGATTGGGACCTAGAGATATATGGCATGTAATTTATATCTGTGTAATCACAGATATCACCAAATCCCCAAGGCTTCATTGTTTCAAATTTAACTCCCGTCTCTAGGCATAATGTATGGAGGCCTTTGAAAGTTCTCGCATATGCACTCATTCTTTGCTTTTCCACTGCTCTCTAAAGTGGTGTCTTGTGTAGATATAGAATCACGTATCCTTTTTTGCAGCTTTCGTTCGTGCGAAAGTACGTCCCCAAAAAAGTTCCCCAGAAAGTCACGCCGCGGTTTAGCAGTGAAAACAATTTCCACTAGCACCTGAAGAAAATGGAATACTACTCCTCATTGGATGCATCCCAATTGGACTCAGAGTCACCGACATTGTTCGAGTTGATTTCAGCAAACCAGTTAGAGTCTTTACTTTCGCCTTCCCTCCGATATATTCTTGTCCACTATGCTAGCAAGTATCCATACTACTTGTTGAAAGTAGTTAACAACTTTGATGAATTGAATCTATTCCTTCGGTCATTCATAGAATGGTACTTTATAAGGTACTGGCAAGGATCGTTCACGGAGAACTTTTATGGGCTAAAACGTATCAGTCAAACACCTTTATCTGACCCCAAATACAATAGCAGTAAATTGACTCAATTGGTTCCGCTGTTGATTGAAGAAAGAAGAGTTTTAAGCAGCTTACAACGGTTCGTATCGATATTTGAAGTCACCGGTTTGGCATATATCAACGAGAAGTTCACTTACTGGTATGAAATTTGGTATCCTAAAATGATTACCAACCAGTTGGTGCCGAGTGATGAAAATTCAAAAGCAGATGTGTATAAGACCAATTTGAAGAAGTTGTTTGTCAAGTACTATCCTTACATACAAAGTATATTCAAGGCTGCTAACTTAATCGCCTCTTTGATGTACTTGAGCGGTAATACCAAGTCACCTAGCCTTTTAACGTATTTGTTTAAGATCAACTTTTCCCGTTTGAACCAGTATGACTACACCAAAAACGAGCCCAGGCCAATTCCAAAAGATCATAGGAGAGCCAATAGAGTTAATCCTCCTACCACTCTAGAATATTTATTACGGTTTTTAACCAATAATCTCACCAGGCCATCTTGGAAGGTTTTGAAACTCATATTGGGTACATTTTTCCCCATGGCTATTTTCTCTCTTAAGTTTCTTGAGTGGTGGAATAACTCCAACTTTTCTCAAAGGTTGAAGAAGAACCAGGGTGATAGTTTGGAATCTATATTACCTCCTCCTTCATTATTGACCAACTTAAAAGCTAAACCAAAGTCATTCTACAAATCAACCAAAACATGTCCTTTGTGCCAAGAAGAGATATCCAACCCTGCTATAATCGAAACTGGATATGTTTTCTGTTACAGCTGTATTTACAACTACCTTGCCAACTCCCATAAAATAGTAGCTGCAAAATCTAGGGCAACAAAAATAGACGACCCAGAAGATTCCGACAGCGAAAAGGAGGAAGACGATGAGGGAAATGAAAAGCCAGAAAAGGCATCAAGTGAATCCTTTGACCTCTCTAAAGGTGGAAGGTGTCCTATTACTGGTAAGAAATTGCTTGGTTGCAAATGGAACGAATTAAAAGGCGAATATGATATCGAAGGTATAAGGCGGCTTGTCTTTTAAAATGAGCCATCTTTGAGTCCTGGTGACCTTCATGAACCTCCCTTCTTTCAAACGTTTGTTTTTTACATTACGATATTTACGAAATATAAAGCCACAGTATACAGTGCGAACGTTTTTCGCTTCTCCATCCCAAGAACAATTAAAGCAGTAATGAGCTCTGACGAAAAGACCCTTAAGGCGATAAAATTCAACAAGAACGACGTCTCTTTGGACATATTGGACCAGTTATTGTTACCTTACACCACCAAATATATTGAGATCCAAACGATTGAAGATGCTTTCCAAGCCATCAAGAAAATGCAAGTGAGAGGTGCTCCAGCCATTGCAATTGTCGGTGCTTTTGCTATAGCAGTGGAAGTTTTCCATTATTTACAAGATAAGAACTCAGGAAAAACAGTTGGTGATTTAATAAAGGACATTGACTACTTGGTTACTTCTAGACCCACGGCCGTGAACCTTTCAAATGCTTGCAATGAGATTAAAGATTCATTGAAAAAGTATGATCTGAGCTCCTTGATCGTCAAGGAGCAGAGTGACTTGATCTTGGATTATGCTGTTAACTTATATGAGGATGATTTAGCTAACAACTTCAAGATTGGGGACAATGGTGTCGAATACATTAAAAGAGTCTTAAATGCTGAGAATTTCAAAGGTCCTTTTTCAATAATGACCATTTGCAATACCGGATCATTAGCTACATCTGGTCACGGAACTGCCTTGGGTATCATTAGATCTGCTTACTCTAGTTTACAAAAAGATGTTTCCAAGGAAGAGTTTTTCTTGGAACATGTTTATCCTTGTGAAACCAGACCTTATAACCAAGGTGCCAAGCTTACAAGTTATGAGTTGAACTACGAGAAGATACCATTCACCTTGATTTGTGATAACATGGCTTCGGCATTGATCTCGACTTTGAACAAATCAAAGGCAATCAAGCAATCAACTGCACCTGTTAAGTTCATTATCGTTGGTGCTGATAGAGTTGTTAGCAATGGAGATACTGCCAATAAAATTGGGACCTTCCAGCTCTCGACTATCAGCAACCATTTCAATGGGATAGAGAAGTTCCAGAAGATTAAATTCATTGTTGCAGCCCCCAAGACTACTATTGATTATAAAACTCAGACCGGTGACGATATAATTATTGAAGAGCGTCCAGCAAATGAACTTACAAGTTTGAAAGGACCTGTTATCGATGGGGACAAAATCGGGGAAAAGCTTGTTGTGGGAATTGCTCCTCCGGGGATCTCTGTATGGAACCCAGCCTTTGATGTGACTCCACATGAGCTTATTGATAGCATTATAACTGAAGATCCTCACGTGTTTGAAAAGAATAGTAATGGCGAGTTTGAGTTACAATAGGCTACATAGGGTAGAATATACGAAGTGTAATTCTATAATGCTATGAATGAAGCAATCTTTATACCAGATCGTTATTTATCAACACCTTCAGCTTTGTTATCCCCATTTACAGGCTCATGAGGGTTGTCAATGTTGATGTTTGAGTCTTTTCCCAGTTCACCATTTGGAACAATAGCTTCTTCTTCCTCTCCTTTAGATTCTTCCTTGGGTTCTTCCTTGAGTTCTTCTTTAGGCTCCTCTTTAGGCTCCTCT